CCCCCCCTATCCTGCATTCCCTCTCTGTGACCTGTGTTTCCTGCTCGATACCTCTCACAATATTATATAGTTACTAGAGACGCTCTTGTAGTCTAGCAAGGTTATGTAAGGCATATATACTGTTCTGTACGCAAAATCAACTGTTGGTTAATTATTCGCACCTTTTTAGTTGGAATGGCGGAGTGGTGCAGAGCCCCGTTCTTATAGGTTAATTGCCCTGTAGAGGCTAACAAAGTAGTGTAGGAGGGTAGCTAGGCTTAGACATCTCAGATCTAACAGCAAGCACTACTAACGTGCTTAAAGTGCAATGTTTAAGGCTATAATAGGACTTAATGTAGAATTAGTTAACAGTCTTTTCTATATATTCTATGCCTAATATACATTAACATGTATTATCTTTGTCAGCTGTCCTTCGCACTGCCCCATTCCATTCAAATCTCCCGACTGTCAGAGGACATACGCCCCGCAAAACATTCCTCTTTGGCTTTCGTTGTTACACGACAATAGAGCAACTCTAGAATATCAATATCTTGGCTAGTGCAATGTGTCTCGCATTACTTAACATGACCTTGGCCTTACCCTCGTTTTCCTAACCTAGGTAGCACAGGTCCCCATGTCCACCGTACTCGGTTCCGATATACCAACCACCATCTCATAATCCTTGCCTTCAACGCCCGCTTCCCAATCGCACTATATCGTCATCCTCGTATCCCAACTCTCCTCACTGGCGATCGTGCCTTTGTCTTACTGTCAAACGTTGCGGTCACGTCACATCACTCCATTCACAGATTACTCCTCTCAGCTTCACACACGCCATCTCCAATACGAGCGCATGCGACATTGCAACCCATCGGAAGTGGTCACGTTCCTCATTCTCTCCTCATATAGCGGGATGCGGCTGAGCGATCTCACTGCCTTAACGTTCGGCGGCCTTTGCGGAAGGATATGTGGCGCCACGCTAATATATTCTACTGTAGGAGATCCTAGTATAATGGAGATCGTTGGTTCGCGTATATATTGGATGAACTGGAGTTGAAGCTTCGGCGCCATACAATAAGCAGTTTATAGAGGATTTAGTGGAACGGTAAGGGACACCGCTGGTTGGGATGTGGTTTGGGAGGGACGTGATGTCAAGTTATACCAAGAAAAGAATATGGAGGATCTGACTGCGAGAGTGAGGCATCCTTTGGGGGCATTGTCGTGAGATGAGATCAGAGGAAGATGTATAAGAGAAGCCTAATACTCTACCCAGAGCATCCTCTCTCTACTCCCAAAGATATCAGTCTTGTCTGGAACGTCTCACCATCAATCAACTCCAAATTACGTACTTTGATTCAAAGAACCTCCTCTTACATCCACAATGAAGCTCTTCCTCTTCACCCCCCTCCTGGCCCTTGCCGCCGCCGAAGATTTGCAATGGTGTGGTGGAGCGCGCTACTATCCGAGTAAATACACCTGCTTTGGCACCATGTTGTGTCCGAAGAACAACGGAGAAGTTTATCTCGCGTGCGGCAAAGCGTGCTATTCCACACATATCTACTTCTGCGATCAGAATAATCAACTCCAACTTTGGAACCCGACCAGCGAGCCGATTTTGGACTGTGGTGGAAAGCCGTATTATCCTAGCAAGGTATGTAAATAGTGTCCTACCCGGAGGGCCTCCCTTCGGCGTGATGTCCTCGTTAAGCCGGATAATGGGTTTTGTGATGGAAATGCTAATATAATTTAATAGTACGCTTGCTATGATGGCAACTTCCTCTGCCCGATTCTAAATGGGAATCCGACGCTTCGTTGTGGCGATGCTTGCTACAATGATAAGGAATATAGCTGTAAGGACGGCCAGCTCGGCAGGCCAAATTATTGATCTAATTCGGGTTTGAAAGAAAGGGAAATAGCAGTTTGTGCGTGGAGGATTTGGGTGGTTGATATATGTCGCTCCTTTAATGTCTTAGTATGCTATGATATAGTAATGAGTATGATTAATGAGCCCGTGATATCTTAGTGATGTTAGGGAAGTCGTCTTAAGGCTTGATTTTCTCGATAATCTCTACATTAGGAGTTGGAATCGCCGTGGAGACTAATTGGATACTTGCTTAGATTAGTATTGAGGCATTCTCAAGTCTTTAGGTATCTCCTAAATGCAGTCCAAAAATCCTACCTAAGTCTCTCCACCCATGATGGACATATCGTTAAGATTCTCCTGGCAATTTCTAAATTGAAATAGATGGCAAATTTGATTCTAATTGCTACAATAAATAGGCATAGGAGAGCGCATTGACATGCCATTAAATGTGATTCTGGCTGACTACGGTTACCTGCTCAATTCTACCCTATTTCCGAAATATGTAGTCTTGTAGTTTCTATAGCTTCCTGTCCTCAAACTATGAATGAGGCGGAATTGTGTCGTCCCCGTCGGCGTCCTTCTTTCCACCTAAAATCTTGATCTAGCTCTTGAATGCAATTCTCTTCACATGTATCTCTTTCCACCGGAGGTGAGGAACATATTCCTAGCTCACCGCAAACCAAGCTTCTCGCTGCCCCTTCGTCTCCATTTTCCTTTTCCTCCTTCACCACTGCCTCAATCCTAAACCTCGAACTGTCAACACTAACACTCCTCTTTTCCGCCTCTTCTTCTCCCTCTCCTCTGGCACTTCGCCATACACCGCACGCACATAGGCGGATTCACCGTTTTCTCCCAAGCACGTAGACACACGCCTAATGGCTGATCGCTTGCCCAGGGATTCGACCCTTTAGGCAGCCGGTATTTCTCTGGATATGGGTGTGGAGAAAGGTGGCAGTGTTGGATTAGCGTTTCGGTGTGGCAGGGAGAGCAGGCGTAGGTGTAGTGGAGAATGAGACACATGGTTTGGCGGCGGGAGTGTTGGTGGAGATAGGGGATAAGGACTGGGAAGTTGATGAGGTGTGGAGGTACAGTATGTAGGGTGGGTCTTTGAAGCACAACTCGCAGTTGGATGTATCGTCGAGGAGTTTGGTTGGCCAGATCCAGGTCTTCAATGCGCACGCCTAGTGTAGGTGTAGGCGTGGGAGAAAGTGGAGTAGAGTTTTGTAATGGGCGTTAGAGCTTCTCATGGATCAGTGCTATAGCTACCGCAATCGCAACCGCTCGTAGTACCGGTGCTGCCTAAGGGGAAAAGGATAGAAATGGTGCGTAGGAGCACTGTCGTTGGAAAGGGCAGTAGAAATACTCAAAAATATTTAGAAGTCTTCCAAGCAAGTATCAACAGACAAAACTTCCCATTGATTCACTCTACACTTCCTTATCTCACCCGAAACCCACTTCCCACCATACCCCAACCTCCATATAAACCCACCGGATTCCCGCCCCACCCAAAACATCCATCTTCCTAGACCCAATCCCCATCACAAGCCCCTTCCTACTACCCCTTAAGTCCGTAAGCACCAGCAGGACGTAGTACGAAGTTCCATGTACGTTATCCTTGAGTGGTGGAATTAAGGATACCAAAGCTGTACGATTGTTCGGAGACACTACTGTTCCAATCAATCGATAGTACGAACGGGCGTTCATGATGGGATACGGAGGCGCGGGCCTGGCCGTGTTTGGTATAAGAATGAAGCAAACAGGGTGGTCATGGGCTAGGCTGGAGATAGGGCTGCAGAGGACGGGGGTGCCGATTGGATTTGGGTTTGGGGGGTCAGGGGTTAAAGGGGCGGAACGTGGCTAGGTATTCTCGTTGGTCAGTTAGAGAGGGAAAACTGCGTTGTCTTAGTCTCCGATACAGGTTAGTGGTTATCCATATTTTCAAGAATAAAATTCAGAATAATGATAATTTAAGATGACTTTTGGCACTCTAAGGACACGATGATGAAAACCGCACAGCAGGTGGTTTTACACGACGACTCATGATAAAAGGAAGCATTGATTTTCGCATCTCTCGACACTCGGTAGAAATCAGGGAAGCTGCGAACTTATCACCCAGTGCCGCAACTGGGGCAGTGAATTGGAAGGAGCGCATACATGAGACCAGTACACATGGAGGGAGGAAGGAAGGAAGGAAGGAATGAAGGAAATTGTCATTCATTTCATAGCCGCATCAAGCATCGAAATACCTGAGGCCGGTCACTGTCCACTTTTCGCTGAAACTCCGGATATCCCAACACAACTGGACCAGTACCACCAAGCCAAATCCAGCCCAACACAACCATCCAAACTTGATCCGGCCAAAGAACTCCAAGAAAGTGATCTACGGTTATTAGAAGATGCCTATGCTGCACTCCTAGGCCGATTTCTGTTTGGTAGCGAATAACAACATCCAATCTATAAAAAAGAAATAATAGTGGGAGAGGCGGTAAGAAATCTATTTACGATGGAAGAAACGAGGATAGCTGGATCGTGGCGACAATAATACAACAGAAGCAAAGAAACTGAGGTTGTGTAGATTCACGCACTACTTAAAACTAGTAGACACCGTGCCTATTACAGTACCGCGATGAGTCTAGCTCTTCGTGGTCGTCCTCCTCGAAGTCAGTGGAGTAGCCTCCAGAAAGAATGTCCATATCTCCCTCGGTCCAAAGATCATCCGGATCTTCTAAATAGCTGTGTCCCCAATTGCACAACAGATCCTCCTCGTCATCAACATCTTCATCCTCTAAGAAGTCATCGTCTTCCATAGGATATGCCCTGGGATAGTATGGACTCCTACCGTAATGATGAAGAATTCGGGAGGCGAGAGGCATGTTACGGCAAGGGTAGCCGGGGGTGGTGCTGATTCTGCGCTGGTAAAGAGCCGGTTGCCTTGCAGGAGGGTACATAGGACTCCGAGTAGGGTAGCTGCGCACCATTGGATATGAAGAATTGTTGGGATATCTTGGAGGTGTTGGTAGATAGCCGGTACTCCGGCGAGAATATCCTGCGCTGAGCGGGCTCCTACGACCGGGGATAGAGAAGTGATAGCTTGGGAATCCTCCATAGAAGTGCGGATAGCCAAAGCCTCTGGGAAGCGTGCTTTGTTTCGCACGTCTCATCTCCGCCCTAAGTCTATCGTTGTTTCGGCGTTGGTTTCCATTTCCGGGGCTGAAGGGATTTTCGTAGAATGAGCGGCGATATGATGATGAACTAAATCGAGGTTGCGCAAGTACCCCGGGGCCACCAAATGGCACCATTCCAAAATGAGAGGAATGCTGATGAATCGATGGTGGAGGATAGTCTCGACCAGGCTCTGCGCGGCGTTGTCGGTGAGGCATCAAGAAGCCGAAGAGGGTGGTAGTGAGTTATAGCACTCTGTCGGAAGTTCGTTGAAGAAGATTTGATGAAGGTTACGCGAGTCTGTGGAGTGGTGAAGAGACAGGATGAATGCCTTGAGAATAGAAGTCCCGGTTTCTCAGGAATCAAGTCTTTAGAGTCTGTGGCGGGACTCTAGAGTGTCAACTGACCGGAAAGCTATCGAGAGAGCTTAATAGACGATTGTAGTACGTGTAGCAAACAATACGGGGTGATAGAAAGCTTGATATCTCTGTAATTAGAGAGCACTTCGTTACACCCATTGTAAAACAGCAGACAAATCGTCGGCGGGCTGCAAGCTTGCCTTTATAAGAGAAGCAGGATTTTGGCAGGATTCAGCCAGGTGTCACAGCGCCTAACTGCCGTTGTATCGGTAATCTTTGTGGGGTTTAGGAAACATGTGTGGCGAGATGAATGGAAGGCACAGTATGCAAGGCCCAGGAGTCCGGATTTACGGCCTGTAAATGATTGCAAAGTAGGGATGGGCAAAAGGTTGCATAAGCATTTTTGAGTCGAGAGTTGATTGGTTGCGTCTAGCTGTTGCGGACGTAAGGCACTCGTGGGAGCAAACATAGAGGAGAGGCCGAGCGGACAAACTCAGGGCGGGGAGGACAGCCGTCAGAGAAGATTGCCATGAGCAAACATGTTGAGGGTCAAGAAGGAGAAGGGTAAGCGAGTACTTTGACAAATACTCGGATATGGGACGAGAGCGGAGAGGGTTGAAGTGAGAAGACTCGAGGTTAATCCGGAGAAGTAGGCTGAAGAACTTAAGACTGAACCGGAAAACGCTTGACAAAACGAAGAAGAACAGCAAGCAACAATTCTGACGAGGGTTGTCGGAAGCTTGTCGGAAGCATGGTGTAAGTTGTTGTTTGTCGGCCGGACAGTCAACGGACGTACCAAAAGCGTTGACGATGGGCAGGAAAGCGTTCTAGGGTTTTCATACGGCTGCGGGCCTTGAAGTGCTTGGACTGACTGGGACCTGGGATCAGTAGCCCCTTTCCCAGCGGTGCTGCGCAGCGCAAGAAGGAGGTAACAGCAGCTTCAGGAAGCGTGGTCGAAGCACGCGGTCGATCTTTACCATCGCGGCATCTCTGCGTTGTCGCGTTGCGGCGCGTTCGTGAAATGAAATGGCTGGTGGAGGACAACCTCGCTAAGTCACATGACTCCCGGCTCGCCTGCCCTCCAATCGAGCTCAAGGTCTTTTTGGTGCAACGAAACCTCCTTCATCGACCTTCGATCTCGACGCTCCTCTCATTAGCCCGTAACCCGCCCTCTGGTGTCCCATAATACTACCCGCATTCATTCAGACCAATCCAGCTGCTAGCTTGCCACCGACTGTCCGTCGTTGCACCTGCATCGCCGTGCCTTGTACCTTTGTCGCCGCTCCCGCGTTCAACGACACAGAACTTCCCCGGCTTCGAACGCACGCTCTCTGCTCAACAGCCACTTCCCATCGTGATCATGGCTCCCACTTTTGCTTCAGCGGCCGCAGGAAACAATGCTAACTCATCGCGTATGGATTCGGGCGGGGACTGGTAAGTGCATCCCTCTATGACACTTTTTGTTCCGCACCTCCACGACTCCTCCAAACCATTGTGCGGCTCCCACAACGCAAAAAATTACGCAATACATCTTTGCACTAGCTATAACGCATTGATTGGAGCCATGCTGTTTTTCTATTGGCGATTTATGATACTTATAATCGTAGGGCTCGACGCGCCAATGGTGCCACGCAAACTTTTCGACGCCCATCACATGCGCCCACCCTGTCTGGCTCAACGGCTGCTGCCTCTTCTCGGGAAGGAAGCGCATCATTCAGCACATCGACGCCAAACCCCGGCGTCTATGTGCCACCCCACGCCCAGTCTGGTCGCAACGGGAGCACTGTCGAACCCTCACGATACTCAAAGGATCAACTTACCCAACTATTCCGCGGACTGAGAGAATCGGAGGAGATTAAAGATGGGCTGTCGAACCTCTACATTGGTGGCTGGGAGCCAAATATTTCAAATGGTGCCTCTAGCGCGACCTGGGGTCGAAGGGATGATCACAGTAGGGAGAGTCAGGGTGGTGTGGACCTATGCTGGGATAGAGACGGAGACGTATTGCCCCTCAGCTTGACCCAGATGACGGATGAGGAAAAAGAGGTATGCCGTGTTCCTTTCCCTTTAGGCCTTGTCTAACATTCATTGTGCTTGCGCAGCATTTCACCTCCTCGGTCAATTCGCCACTGAAACCCCCAACCCAAAACGCAGGAAAGGACAGTACACCGAAAGATGGCCTGTCTTTGCGCAAGACGTCCATTTCTCAAAGCGGCAACGCCCCCTTCAGTTTGTCGTCCCCCACTAGCACTCGGCCAGGTAATCGTCGCCGTGACACCAACGAGGCCTTCCCATTCCCTGCAAATACACTGGCATCCCCTGCCAGCAACTCAAGGTTCTCACGGGAAGAATCAAGCACCGTCACCCCGCCTCCGGCTCTCGTCCGTCGTCGAACCGATTTCAAGGAACCGGCCCCGGGAGGTGCTTTTGAAGAGCGCGACAAAGAAAAAGGTGCGGCTGAAAATGCTGGTCCGTTTGGAAGCCTAAAGCGAACTACGACCGCTCCCTTCAGCTCCACCGCCGGGACTTCGCCATGGCCTGCCACGACCCCGTCAGGAGGCTTCTCTCCAATGGGTGCATTTGGAAGCTTCGCTAATCCACAATCTGAAAAGAGGCCCGGCTTCGGAAGTGTGCGTGGCGAGAGCAGATTCAAGGGACTTATGAGTAAAGGCAGCTCTGAGGATATGGATAGAGGGGCGAAAGAGAAGCCTTCGTTGGGTAATCTCGGGAAACTGAGCGAGGCTGAATCCACTAGACAGACGCCATCGTGGATGGAAGCCCGCTCCAACCGGCCGATGAGCAACGATACAGACCCCTTTCCAGATGAAGAACTTCGGGCAGGGAGCGCCGCCCTCGGCGGTGGACAGGACATGAGTCCACCTCGCCTGCAAGGTATTGGCACATTCAGTACGCCTCACAGACAAGATCAGCGCGACGAAACTGGCTTCTCGGCGTTTGGGATGACATCCGACAATACTGGGTTGCGTGACATATTCCATTCTAGAGATAATCTCCCTCATCAAACTCCCCAACATCGTAGTGGTGGGGATGGCCACGAACCAATGAGCCCCACCGATACCAACCCATATCAGAGCCCAGACCATGACAGAACTGACAACGAAGATGCGGAAACGGATGGATCTGATATTCAAAACACACATTTTCCTGGTATGGGCAGCTTCCAGGTCGACCCTTCGGCTGGCTCTGGACTACATTCGTTTGGTGGACTCGGTAGCCTTGGGCGAGCCTCTGCGCCCTTTGAGGTCGCTGCAAGTGATCGTAGTCAAACTTCTAGCACTGGACCTTCCCGCGGCTTTCCAAGCATACCGGGACTTGGCGGCCTTCCTGGCTTGGGTGGTGCTTCCGCTTGGCCTCCCGGACAACAATCAATTGGTACTCCTGTTAGAGAGAGGGCTCTCGGAGGTGGATTCGATAGTATGTTTGGATCTATCGGGGAACTCCAATCGCCGAGCCTGGCAGGGCTGGGGAGTAATTCACTATTTGGACCTGGGACTGCTCTGGGGGCTACTGGCACGATCGGCCGTAGCAGCAAGCTTGGGTCTCTCTTCCCTGCCGCCATGCAAGACCAGATGCGCCCTGGAGAGCAACATCGACCGTCGGTTGATGAAGGTTCTGCGACAGGTGAGCGGCAGCACAGTATAGCTGGCACATTTGGCAGGGGCGCTTTTGGAAGCCAGGCTCCTGGAAGTGCGATCCCTGTGAGAGACACTGACAGCCCCTTCCGTACTGGACGCGGCTTTTTTGAAGACTTTCCGGGTGGTCTCGAGAGTGCCAATCGAGATAATCGCTCTACTGACATTGGAATGCCTGATCCCATTGGTTCTACATATGGCATGATGCAATCCTCCGGACCTACTCAATCATCCATCCTTACCTCTACTGCTCAACCAAATATCAATCCCACTAGAACCGCTCAGCCGTCCACAACCACCCCAAGCGTGAGTAGTCCTTCTAGCCAACCACCTGCTCCGCAACAACGTACGATGGTCATGCCTGATCGGATGAGATGGATTTATCGTGATCCTCAAGGTAACACGCAGGGGCCTTGGTCTGGTCTTGAAATGCATGATTGGTACAAAGCTGGATTTTTCTCTCCCGAGCTATTGGTGAAGAAATTCGAAGATCCAGAATATGAACCCCTTGCTCAGCTTATCCGTAGGATAGGCAACTCGCGCGAACCCTTCCTCGTCCCACAAATTGGCATTCCTCACGGCCCTCCGACAACCCAGCCTGGAAATATTTGGCCTGGCTCAGGCCCCGCAACTGGAGGAGCAGCAGCAGGCGCTCAACCTCCCTTTGCAGGTAGCTTCCCTAGCTTTGGCACAACCCTTACTGCAGATCAGCAGAATGCACTGGAGAGGAGGAAGCAGGAAGAACAATACCTAATGGCACGTCAGAAGGAACATCTTGCCGCGCAGCAACAGGCCCTAGCTAAGCAGGCTCAACTAGGGATGAGTTCGCATGGTATCCTCCCAAATCAACTTCATCATCATTCCAGTGCCCATAGTCTCCATAGCCAGCCAAGCTTTGGCAGCATTACATCTCCTGGAGGCTATCAGCCTTCCCCAACCCAAGGTCCTGTCCCTGGAGGACCTGCAGTCCCAGGTCTTTTTGACAGTTCCTTTAGGCCCGGGCCTGCACCTGTACCAGGATTGGGACCCATTGGGCCAGGCATGGATAGTATGCTCGGCAATATTCGAGAAGAAGATATTCCGGGAATGATGGATCGTCTCAATCTCGGCCGCACTGGTCAGCTCCCCTTCGGTACAGCGCCAATGTCCTTTGGGCAACAGCAGCCGGAATCTAATACGCATGCCCAACAGGTCGTCGCTATGCTCAATGACCGCGCACGATTGCAGCGTGAGCAAGCCGAGCATGATGCTTTGCAGCGAGTACAACCAAATGACCACCAAGCTGCTCAGGTGACTGCCGATCGCCTCCAACAATTCCACGACCTGAGGGTTCAAACGGATATGGACCAACTATCCGCCGCACCTCCCTCTTCAGAAGGTATAATTAGAAATCGATCTGCGCCTACTGCTGAGCTCGAAGAGCCTATCTCACCTGAATCTTCGAAGGCTCAGCGTCAACCACTGGTCTCCAGTACGCAAGATCCTGCTACATTCAAGGCAGAGCCTCTATCTCTTACAGAGCAAGTACAGAAGGCCGCATCTGCCAAGCAATCCCCCGTACCTCAATCTCCGTGGGCAAAAGTTGATCAAGCTATTCACCCATTTCCTCCGCCTCCTTCTCAATCCCCTCTTCCGGCTCCCGCCGCTCAGAGGAAGCCGATAATCGCTGATTCCCTTGCCGGTGAATCCCGATCTCGGTCTGAAACACCTTCTGCCGAGACTCCAAGTGCCTCAATCGCTCCGTGGGCAAAGGAACCTACCGAGGCTCCTCGAGGACCCTCTCTCAAAGAGATACAGGAAGCCGAAGCAAGGAAAGCTGCCGAACGCGAAGAGATTGCCGCAGCTGCTCGTCGCCAAGCTCTTCAACAAGAGTTGGCTGCGCAAGCACAATCTCCTGCAGCCCAGCCTGGACTTCCCTCAAGTTCAACCTGGGCAAGCGGTGCATCTCCAATAACCCCAGGTGGAGCAAGTCAATCCGCATGGGCTAAGCCCCTTGCTGGCAAAGCTCCCAGTCAACAGGGCACCGCTACAAAAAAGACGCTTCAGCAGATCCAGAAGGAGGAGGAAGCTCGTAAGCAGCGTGCTGCTGCTGCTGCTGCTACCGCTAGTGCTGTAAACGCTTTTGGAGCCTCCAACCAGGGCCTCTCCTCCGGGAAGAGGTATGCGGACCTTGCAAGCAAGCACACTCCCACCCAGCCGAGTGTCGGTGGCGCTTGGACTACTGTTGGTGCAAGTGGAAAGGCCAAGCCCCCGGTTGGATTACCTAGTGGACCACCACCAGCGGTTCGCTCTACCAGCACTAGTATTGCTCCCCCCGCGGTCAAGAAGGCTCCTATACCACGTAGCACTACACTGGGAACCCAGCTTGCAGGTAAAGCGAACGCAGAGGAGGAATTCCGCAAGTGGGCCGTTGGAGAATTGCGTCCTGATTTGAACAAGAATATCAATGGTAGGCCTTCTTCCTTCTTTCCACTACTTCTACATATGTACTAACCCTTATAATAGCCGATGAATTTGTCGCCTCCCTCCTCAGTTTTCCCCCTGATATCGAACTCATCACCGAATCCGTCCACTCTGCTTCCAACACCCTCGACTCTCGTCACTTTGCAGAGGAATTCTTGAGGAGGCGCAAGCTGGCTGATAAGGGTATTGTGGACTCTACGACCACGCCTAGCCCGAGTGATCCTAAAGCGGGTAGTGGGGGTTGGAGTGAGGTTGCGAAGAAAGGTGGCCAGAGTGGTCAGCAGCAGGGTGGGGGATTGGATTCGGGGAATTTTAAGGTGGTTGCTGCAAAGAAGAAGGGGAGTAAGAGGTAGATGGGTGACGTTTCTGGACGACGATTTCCGACGCTGCTGATGAAGATGTTGGTGGAGTGAGTGATGTATGTGTACGGATGGCTGGTAGCGGTCGAGCCGGATCGTCTTTGCTGATGTTGCTCTCTTGTTCGAGTTGCTGGCTCATTGATTGATTCGGAAATAGGGATGGGTATGAGGTCGTACGTGGTGGGTGAGATGTGGTTCATACTGAGTGTACGTTTGCTGAGAGTGTTAGATACGGTGGTGGGTTAGGATGATTTGATGGTTATGGGCAATATGGTACGATTATGTGGTAGTCGCGATTTGTTCTCTTCATTTGCGATGTGATTGATCGGATTGATGATATAAGAATACTTGTTTCCGTTTCCTTTGACAGTCTTAGCAGCAAACGCATAGCAAGGTAACGTGATCATTGACCTAGAACGCCAGGTATCTCTTGTCGGGGCCCGTACTCCTGTAATCATACCCATCTCCACGCTAGCCAGCGACAACTATCAAATACACACGCCCTAGACCCCTCATTTCACTTCGTTACATCCGTCCTAGCCGGTATCCGTGACATCCTAGCATCCTTACATCGTCCTCCAGAAGTAATTCGTATAGAAGTGCCTCGAGAACTTCGGATCGATATTCACAACATGCACATCCCCCTTCGCCGCATTTCGGATCACAGCCTTACTATACTGTCCCGTCATCGCATCGGCTTCGACATCGATACCAAGCGTGCGGTAGACTTTTAGCTTAAGCCTGTTCACTAGATTAGCTCTCACTCCATCTACCATTCGCATTCAGTCCTCATCCATGAACTTACACCGTAGCATCCTCCTCCGGCAACCTCTCTCTCTCCGCTGCGCCCTCCACCCCTTCCTCATCCAGCTCCCCTAACACCCCCCCTAACCTCCCTAACTCCGACTGCAGTCTCTCACCCTCAATCTCCAAATCACTCGCCTGTTTCGCGATCTTGAATTTTTCGGTATCAAGCCGCAGGATCTCGCTCGCATGGTTTGTCGGGTTGTGTTGCGAAAGAGTGAGGTTGTGCGTCGAGGAGAGTGTTTGGTGCTGGCGCGAGAGTTTTGAGAGTGTCGTTTGGAGAGAGGCGAGGTGTTGCGTTCGGAATTGGGAGAGGGTGGCAAGAGAATCGGAGATTCGGAGGAGGGAGGAGTGATCCGGGTCAGATTTAAAGTTTTTGGTACACTGAGCTATGAGCTGAGGAGGGGGGGATTGTTAGTAAGAAGAATATGAAAACATGAGGCGATGGGTGGGAACATACGGCCGCGGGGTCTTCGTCGAGGAGCATATTAACTGTTGAGGCTAAGTCGTGTAGATGATATGAAGAGAATCCGAGGGCTTAGGAAGGCTATTCGGCGGAGCGCAAGGTGTTTAGTGAACTGTAGTGAATATTGAAGGCGGAGAAAGTCGTGATGGAAGCTTGGTGTTGATGCGGGTTGTTTGCATGGCCCGAGCGTCTAGCGCGCAGGGCAAGTTGGACTGGGCAACGGCGACTTGGCGGCAAGTGTGGCGTATGTGGCACAGGCCTGCCCCGAATTTTGGCCACGAGAACCTGACGTACGTCACCCGCGACTTTTCACGAGACATTGTGGTGCATCCCTGCCGCCTGGGTATATTGTACCATAATTGCGTCTTTTCACCACCGCACCTCAACCTCTCTCTCTCTTAGACCTCCTGCAACTAGAGCAAGCTCTACTACGACGGCAAAATGTCGCCTTCATTACCCTGTAAGTTAGAGTGTAACAAGTCATGATTTATGGAGCAATCCTGATTGACGTTCTGTAGATGCCGCCGACGTAGAATCGCCCCTCAAACCAGAAGAGCTACAAGTCCTCCGCGCACAGTATGAGAAGGAAGGCGAATACGTCGGTCTCCAGACAAAATTCAATTACGCCTGGGTATGCTTTGACCTCATTCTCCCCGCCCTGTTCCCTTCCCATTCCCCCCTTCCTCTCCTCCACTAAACTTACATCTTCCCTCCACCAGGGTCTAATAAAATCCAATAACCGCTCCGAACAACAAGAAGGAGTCCGCCTACTCTCTGAAATCTTCCGCAACAGCCGCGAACGCCGACGGGAATGCTTGTACTACCTCGCGCTCGGTAATTACAAGCTTGGGAACTATGCAGAGGCTAGGCGTTATAATGAGTTGCTGTTAGAGCTGGAGCCGGCGAATCTACAGGCGGGGAGCTTGAAGGGGCTGATCGACGATAAAGTTGCGAAGGAGGGACTTGTGGGCGTGGCGATTGTGGGTGGATTAGCAGTTGCAGCGGGGATTGTGGGGAGTTTGCTTGTTAGGGGGGGGCGGAGGAAGTAGAGATGGGCATACGGGATTATTTGTATATGAAGGACAGTAGTTGATGAGTGTGGGATAAATAGGTATTGGACTTGGCAATGAAGAAGGGAATGAGGTTTTGGATGGGATGGAGACTCTGAAGATACATGGAAATCCTTAAGGATCTTGTAGGGGAGTTGATGGACTAATCATGTGTCGTAGATTGTATAGTATCCTCGTGGCCTGTCAAGTATTTGCGCATACAGATGTTATCGCATACCATAGATCATAATCACGGTAGACGCGATCTATTAACCCTCTGACCAAACTCAGGGAGAAGGTAAACATGAAGTTTATTTTGTCCCAAATCAGATCATTCTCATGTTCCTTCGGATGTGACAACAGGTGGTAGATTCGGCTGATCGTGTGGGAAATCAAACAGTTCGGGATTGTCGCAAGCATGGACTAAGACATGCTTCACAGCTTCTGCCTTCAAGTATACGTGCTTCATACGTATCCCCCGGTTGAAGTCGGGAAACACGTGTAACATGCCGCGTCGCTGTTGAGTAATATGACAGAGAACTTGATGGAAGCTCAAAGAAAGTACTCACTAGAAATGTGGACCATGTGGCCGACTCAAACGAAAGAGTCAGAAGAAACGACTACTCGCTCTGCTTGCGTAAAACCTAAACAGGCCTCTTTGATAGTGGTGGCCGACCTTCTATTTATTCCCGATTTTCTGAGAGTGTCTTGAGAACGGTCGGAGCAAGTCGGCCAATCGCACCTCCGACGATCAAGGAAACGTCATTTATTGCCAGAAGCCTCACCAAAGAACGTACCAACTCCAGACTCACCACAGGGCACTGCCAACTACGGCATTTCTTCCTCTTCTACATTACACCCGCCTCTTTTCCGACCTTGGTCATTTGTATTTTCCAGCAGCCGCAGTGAGAGCCACAACACCTCTCCCGGTCACTGGAAAGAGGCGCATGACAAGACCTCTATCCATCATCACGCTGAACGTCAAAAGCCCCAGTGCTTAGACACACCACCTCATAAGCACGCCAACGCTAGGTAGCGACTTCCTCCGCTGATATCCCTCGGCCGCCACTCCACTCCCTAGTCCTCTCCAACAACCCTTTTTTGAATACCCCTCCATTTCGCCATGGATCACTCAGATGGCCAGGCGCACGCGGACCGGACGCCGACACCCGCCCATCGCGATATGATGTATTGTCACGAATGTCGCGACGAGTGGTTCAGGGATGAGCATGGCTTGACTTGCCCAGAGTGTGGTTCTGATTTTACGGAAATTGTAAGTTAAGGCAAATGTCTCTGTGCCTTGCTTCCATAAGGCTGCGGTATTCGACCAATGTCTCGGACAACCTGCTAACTTGTTGATCCGACAGATCGAGGAAGACCATGACCCGCGAGACGACGAGATGCCCGGCCACAACGAACACGCAGAAGACGGTGATTCGATACCGTCTCTCGAAGAGGCTCCACCCAACCCGCACGACCATCCCCTTGCTCACCACAATCCATTCCGGGACCATAACGACCCAGAGGAAGGAGATATTAGCAACCTTCAGTGGCGCCAGGTGGGGCCAGGCAGATTCGCTGTAACTGGCACGATATATCGAACAATTTCTCCAAACCGGGGTGGTGGTGGCAACCAGAATGCCGGGAATCCACCGATCGGACCCTTTGCTTCGATGCTGAACAGCATAATTGGTGGTGCTCGACCTCGCTCCCAACCACAGGGTCAAGATGGCCAGTCTTCTCAAGGACAGCCTACGCCGGGGACTTCTTTGGGGTCAGGGCCTAGGGTAACACTCGGTGAATCTAGATTCCATTATACTTCAAGTGCTCGACTGTATCCTCGCGATGCAGATCATCCTGGGCCACAACTGGAGCCTATGGACGAGCTAAATAAGTATGTAGTGGCAATCTCTCACGATAACAAATTACTAACTTGTGTGATAGTGTCCTCATTGGTCTCATGGCTGCTTTTGGAGAACCTCCCGGTCAGCACAATCACGACCCTCAAGCCCCGGGTAATGATCCACACGTGCACTTCAATCCTCTGCTAGCTTTATTATCCCAAATGATGCCTGGAAATGCCGCAGCCGGCGACTTTGTTTATTCACAGGAGGCTCTAGACCGCATCATTTCACAACTCATGGAGCAAAACGCTACCGGAAATGCCCCAGGACCCGCTTCCCAAGACGATATCAATTCGTTACCCAGGAAACCAGTCACTGTTGAAATGCTTGGCCCCGAAGGCCGTGCAGAGTGCAGCATCTGCATGGAGGAAGTGCTCATCGGAGAAGAAGTGACGGAGCTGCCATGTCACCATTGGTTCCACCACCCTTGCGTTGCGATGTGGCTTAGTGAGCACGACACTTGTCCCCACTGCCGACACGGAATCACAAAAACAAGCGAAAACTCGGCGAACTCGTCAAACGACAATAGTGGTGGCGCATCGGAAGCTAATGCAAGCAATCCACAAATGCCTGGGGCCTTTGCTGGCGCTACAGGGGATGGAACACCTGAACACCCGTTCCTTCTTCCTGACTCCCCACATCATCCTGCACCAAACCAAGACCAGGGAGCATCGAGCAGTCACAGTGGCCCAGTGTCAGGCGACGAGAGTCACTCGGGGGGAGGCTTTGGAGAACGGTTGCGGAGGGGTTGGTTTGGGCCTCCGAGGTGATTTCTCCTCTGCGAGTCCCACGCTGACGCAGTTTTATCAGGGAAAAGGAGACTGAAGGAGCGGAAACATCGACACAGCAGGAGCAACGACATTGTTGGAGGATTCTTAAGGTCTGGACCATCAGGATCGAAGCCCTCCAACCAGCCCTGAGCACACTCTCCTTCCCTTATCCCCATCTACTTTCCTTTTCTTGGCCAAAAACAGGTGTTGCTCCTTTCTAGGTTTTTGTTTTTATTCCCCTCATGGCGTTTCCTTCCTGCTCATGCTTCAGCTATTGCTTCTCCACACAGTATATCTTTGGATAGACTGGCGACTTGGTTACGGGTCTCTTCGCACCAGTATTGCATAATCACGGCGTTTTTGGGAAGGAGTGGGCTGCGTTGATATCATCAATCACGATCATAGATATTCAATGTTAGGCCGCGAGAAGGGTTCCTTTTGGATTTATCGATTTCCTACTTTGGGTATATGAATAATTTGGTCGTGTAGCAGACGTCAAGCGCTTTGCTGATGGCTTTTGCCGCCAGACATGTGACGATGTGACGTTGTGTGATGGGTTTCGGAGCAGCGGTACTTGAAACTCGAAACTTCTGGCGGAGTGAGACTACCAAAGTACATAGCAACAATGGACGAAGTTTACGGCAGAATTGATCAAATGTTTTCTGAGCCAATGGGTTGAGCCAATTCTTTCTGCTCTCAACAGTACTCTGTAATTATGATTTGATTTGCATCCATGCTTGAAACATGGCCTCAGGATGATGGTGGCAAGCCGTTGGAGCGAGGTGTACATGTAACTCCCGCAGTTCCAACGTTCCCGCGGTTGCACCATTCCGCCCGCGTCCCGATTCAGACGCAGATTTTGATTACCGTTCGCGCAGATATGCAGCGTGTATGCGTGGGGCATGCGGACTCTGTATAACACGTATAGCATGCAGTGACAGCTGTCCGCTGTCGGTGTTGTGGTCGTCTGATGATTTTCGAAGCATGTTTGCCGTTGGCGCACCTCGGTTCTCTCTTTTCTGTGAAACAGCTTTGCTTTTTTAGGGGATTGTGTGAGCGCTTTTCAACGGTAATGAGAATGTAGAGAGGGGTAGCGATTGAGAGGCGAGGATTCGCTGAGGAAAAGAAATAAGTGGCTTTCGTAAACGCGGACGATGGGATGGGATGTTAGAAGAGTGCAGTGCTGCGGATAGGACAAGCTTTACGCGAATTGGGTGTATTGTGCACGTCAAAAAGGTCGAGGGTCGAGCCCAGCAGTTTTTCACTCGCCAATCTGCAAAGATCCCTTTGTGGACGATGCTGGACCCGACAACGCATCAACCGCCCCGGTCCCCCTTCCCTTCCCTCTCCCCGGCATAGCGATATGCCTTTCATCTCATGCCGCCGCGCTGGATGCCCACACGTTGGTTGGGCGCAAATTGAGTAGGCGGTGATTTGCAACATGGCTATCATGACCAGGCAGTCCCTTGAGACAACGCATGGCCCAACGTGGTCGACCAGCTGGTATTCGACGCCCTGGGGGATCCTGAGACGGAACATCCAAGGTGGTCTCCCAGTTCCTGCAGGGCTATTGAGGCTTGATACCCGTTCGCATAAGCCGAGTACATACATATGGGGTGTACAGCTCAGAATTTGCTGACCGACGCTGGTGGATTCGCTGGCCACGCATCTTAACGACGCATATATCCCACGCTCCTATTTCAATCAATTGTATTCGCTGTCAAGACCTAAAAGCACCTGTCCCCCAGCACTTGCATCGCACTTGCTCATCGTTTTTCCTGGCCCTCACGCGACTCAGGTGCTACTACGTGCTGTGCGTTGATTGGCACCTGTACACATTTCCTGCTCTGTTGGGTGCATCGGTGCGTGTTTGTGCTCGTACATAAAAGTCTCCAGTACCCAGCGCCCTTTGACCGGAAGAAGGACGCCTCGCCTGATAAGCCAGGAAACGGGCAAGTTATTCGCTAGAAGAAAAATTGAAGCGCGCTCGAGCTTTTCGTCAGTCAAGATGCCGAGCTTTGGGAGAAGTCGGTCGAGCTACGAGTGAGTCTTTCCTTTCTGTGTTGTTCACCGTTCCGCGTTCACCTCACAACCACGCAATCACGCAACCTCTCACCGCTTTCTGCAAATTTTATTTTCCTGTCCACAACAACACAACACAGCAGCCAGAGACACACAAGCTGAACAGCAGCCAAACAGTGCAACGTCCAAGGAGCAGAAGCAGATTCTCGCCGACATCAGTGCGGGTTCCCAGAAATTTGGGAGGAAGCTCTTGGCCAAACCGCCCGGCCACAAGCGAGGCAAGAGCTCCGAGACCATCACCCCCGTGACGGTCCTCAACCCAGAACCTGAAGAAGAACGCAAGGGACGCAGGTCTACCAGCTCCAACCGCCCCAAGTTACCCAAGAGATCTAGCAGTATGCGTCGAGCTTACCATTATTTCTTCGGCGCCCAGTCGCCTGCCCCGCCTTCCCCCAGCACCCCCACGACAGCTGCTGCAGAGCCGCCGTCGACCCCCAAGCTGGAGGATGAGGCGACACCACGAGAAGCTCCAGACACGCCGCCAAAGACGCCCGCTGCTGAAGCTCCCCCAGCCCCCGAGACACCGGGGCGTGCAGCTAGTGAAGCCGATGACGCCGGTGACGCTGCTGAAGCTCCACTATCCCCGCCCTCACCGAAAGAGGACGACCCTCTCGACGTGCAGGTCCAGAAACTCCGGGCGAAGCTTGCAAAGACGCAGGAAGAACTCGACGAGGCGAACAAGGTGGTGGAAACACAGAATGATGCTATTAGCGGGATGGAGAAGGAGAGCGAAGAGGTCCGCGCCGACTTTGAAGAGAAAGAGGCTGCCCTACGTCAGGAAAAGAAGGCATTGGAAGACCACCTCGTGTCTGTCGTCGTGCAGCAGGTTAAGGAGGCCAAGGAGCAGGAGAGGGTCGCCATTCGGGAACAGTGTGAAGCAGAGTTTTCGACTAGATTAGTATGCTTGCTCCTACTCATGTCCTCCTCAGCCCGACTAACGATGTGCAGGATAATGCAAAAGCTGAACATCTGGCAACCTTCACCACCCGAAGTGGCGCCCTCCAGGGCGAGATCGACTCGCTCAAGGCTGGCATTTTAACTCTAGAAACTGCTGCTCAGGAATCCAAAGAAGCCTTAGAGAAGGCAGAGGTTGCTCACCGCGAAGCTCTTGATGCTGGAAAGGCAGATGCTGAGAAGAAAGTCGCCGATGCCCTCGCCAGTCATGAGAGTGCTAAAGCTGCTCTCGATACGCAGCTCACGGAGCTTCAATCCAGGCTAGAGAGTGCTACGAATGAATTGCAGACTGTAAAATCCGACTATGAAGCGCAGATTTCTAGCCTTACTTCTCAAAAGGAAGCTTCCACCCAGGAGCTAGAACAAGTCCGCGGTTCGCTCGATTCGATCACCGCTGAACATTCGCAGAAGGTCGAGGCATTCACCGCACTAGAAGCTTCCCTCGCAGACAAGACCACAGAGCTAGAGAGACTTGCCACTGAGAAAGAGGACTTGGCTAAGCAGTTGAGTGATGGTCAAGGATCCACAGCAAAACTCCAGGAAGACCTCGACGCCAAGATTTCAGAAATTGCTTCCCTCACGAGCGATCGTGACGAGCTTGCGCAGAAGCTATTAGACGCTACCGCTGCTGGCTCTGATTCCGCGGCCATACTGGAAACCAAGGACATGGAGATTGCCAAAATCACAGCGGAAAAGGACGAGCTTTCTGGAAAACTTGACGCTAGCGAGGCCTCTATCGCCGGTCTTAAGAATGACCTTGAGTCCAAAAACGCTGCTATCTCAACACTCACTTCGGAAAAGACTGCGGTCGAAGAAACCTTGGCCAAGTTACAAGAAGAGTTAGAAGCTATGAAAGCTGAATTGCAGAAGGCAGGTGAGGGTGCCGATGCAGCACACCAGGAGCAGGTTTCGAAACTTAGCGCAGAGCTCGAATCTGTGAAGGGCGAGCTTGCAGAGGCCACTTCGTCACACGATTCAACTAAGGCTGCGCTTGAACAGCTCACCTCTGAGCATTCTACCGCCAAGGGTGACCTCGAGAAAGCTCTTGCTGATCATGCTACACTCAAAACCACTTTGGATGCTGCCCACGCAGACAATCAAGTTCGGGTCGATGGTTGGGAGAAAATGCTCAAAGAAGAAGAGGCCAAACACGCCACAACGTCTGAAAACTTCACCGCCAAGACAAAAGAGCTTTCTGAACTTACAGAAGCGCATGAGACTACTAAGGCGAAGGTTTCGGAGCTCGAGCAAGCACTTCAAGCTGCTGAGGCTGCGAAGGGTGATTCCGCCGGCCTCGCTGCCCGGATTTCAGAACTAGAATCATCTCTTAAAGATGAAGAGGCTAAATACGCCACAACTTCCGAAACCTTTTCTGCCAAGATGAAAGAGCTAGGTGAACTTACCGAGGCACATGAGAGCACCAAAGCGAAAGTTTTGGAGCTTGAGCAAGCACTTCAAGCTGCCGATGCCGCGAAAGGTGAAGTCCAAGTACTCAATGCCAAGATTTCGGAATTGGAGCAATCACTTAAGGAATCACAAGAGGCACATGACGCTAGTAAATCTGGACTGGAATCTGCGCAAGTTGAGCTTGCCTCTACCAAGAAAGCCCTCCAAGCGGCCGAGACTAGCAAAGAAGAAACCCAGTCGTTGGCGACGAAGATTAGCGAGCTAGAAGCGTCACTCAAGGAATCCCAGGAGCAATTGCAGGCCAAGGAGACTCAACTTTCTGAAAAGGCAGAAGCCCTTGCCGCCGCGGAGTCTGCCAAGGGCGATGCTGAAGGATTAGGCGCGAAAATTTCGGAGCTCGAACAGCAACTTAAGGAAAGTCAAGACAGCCTGGCGTCGAAGAAGACCGAATTGGAGAGCACTACGAACGATCTCAAGGCCAAGGAGGAGGCGTTGTTGGCGTCTGAATCTTCGAAGGGAGAGATCGAAACCCTAACCGCCAAGATCTCAGAGCTAGAGCAAGCCCACACTACTGCAAAGAGCGACCTGGAAAAAGCCAATACTGATCACGAGGCTACACGAGGCCTGCTTGCTTCTACCGAAGCGGCCAAGACGGCTGCTGAGAAATCCCTTGAGGAGAAGGTCTCTGCTCACGATCAAGCACTTAAGGCTGCCCAAACTGAGCATGAGGAGACAAAGGGGCTTCATGATGCCCGTGTTGCTGAAGTAGAAGAACTTATGAAGAGCAAAGCTCAGTTGGAGCTTGATCTCGCTAGCGCCAAGGAGGAGGCTGGAAAGATTGCGGAAGTCAAGGCTGCCCACGATGAGATTAAGGGACTTCACGATTCCCAGGCTGCTGAACTGGAAGAACTTTCGAAGAGCAAAGCTCAACTAGAAGAAGGTCTCGCTAGCGCTAAAGAGGAGGCCGGAAAGGTTGCTGCCCTCCAGGCTGAACTCGAAGCAGCAAACAGCGCATCCGGTGATAGCTCTGAGCAGATATCGACGCTTGAGGCAGCTAAGACTGAGTTGCAAAGTAAGTTAGAAGCCGCAGAAGCCTCCGGCAAGGAATTGGAGGCGGCCCTTGCTCAAGAAAAAGAACAGGCCGGAAAGGTTTCTGAGTTGCAAGCACAGTTAGATGAAGCGAAAGCTGCTACGGAATCCGCGCAGAAGAGTCTCGTCGATGCTGAAGCCGAGAAGTCCAAGCTATCGGAAGAACTTGAAACTCTAAAGAGTTCTAGCTCGGATAGTGCCACAAAGATCGAGTCCCTCGAAGCCAGCATCAAGGAAATGGAAACCAAGCTAGAAGCTGCCGAGACCGACGCCAAGGAGGCGACCTCCAAGGTTGAGGGACAGCTCCAGGCTGCACAGACCGAGAAGGCCGAATTGGAAGATAAATTGCAGGCACAGACCGAGGCTGCTGGGTCTACCGACGCCCAACTTGCTGAGCTCCAAGGCAAGCTCGACGCAGCTACTCAGAGCGAAAAGGACGCCCGTGACAAATTGGCCCAATCCTTGTCTGAGCATGCCGAGAAGATTCAATTGGCTGAGAAGGAGGCAGAAGAGAAGGTTCTAGCTGCCACAAAGTCTGTGGAAGAAATCTCTGAGTCAAAGAAACAGACTGAGGAGCAGCTTGCGCAAGCCACTCAGGCCACAAAGGACGCCGAATCGCAGTTGGCTTCGGCACAGGAATTGCAGAAGGAAATCGAGACGAAACTCGAGTCTGCGCTAAAGGACAAAGAAGTGTCCGAAAAGAAGGCAGAGACCGCCGAAAACGCTAAAGCCGAGGCTGAGCAACAACTTCAGGTTGCCTTGAACGAGAAGAAGGAGATAGCTGAGAAACTGGAAAAGGCCGAGGCTATACCATCTCCTCCGGCTACAAATGGTGTTGCAAAAGAGGAAGAGAAACCGGTCAATGGCGAGAAGGCTGAAGTACCAGAGGAAAGTATCGAGCCGGTTGAGAAGAAGGTCGAAATCCCAGCTGAGGAGAAAACTGAAGCCGCTGCCGCTGAATAATCGGTGCCACAACATCATCCCCATCAACTCGGTCACGAAGCCTCGATCAATGAACATGCAAGAGGCCATGACTGTGCATAGTTTGTGTGCATCCAGCAGAAGGGAAAGCGAAAGGCGATAAATTGTTTTCTGGTTTAAAATTTCTGCATCAGTGTAAATTGCGTCTCCGCCACTCACCGCATTTTCCGAGTCGTCCCTGGTTTATGTTTTCTGTTTTCTGGTTCTTTTTGACCTTTCGTTAGCAACAGTGAACATGGCATGGCATGGCATTATATACCCCCCCCATTCCCTCTCGATCGGCAGATGACGTACACATTTGTACTTTTTCGAATCGAAACCAGCATAGAGGTGATTGATTAGTTGGGTGTGTGTGGATTCGTTCTGAATCGTTGGGCGGGGATTTTTCGGTACGGAGAGGGGGTTGTTCTTGTTTCTGAGTGTATCGTGTATGATGACATGAGAGACGACGTCAACTGTCTTTTACGAGTATAGATAAGATTTGTTTGCGGCTTGAGTGCGTGAGGTAGATGTGTTTAATGGCAATACTTGTTTCCTTTTTACTTTCAATGGTGCGGCGATGCTGCTGGTGATGTTCTTCCATTTTGCGTGCGTAGCAGATTGAGGGTGCTTGTTCAATGGGTGAGGTTCAAACGGACTGATTCATTCCTACTAGGCATCCCTTTGGAGGAATGCGACAGTGCAGTATTAGACGAGAAGCAGAGCGGGAGGTGGGGATCAATCACAATTTCCTATTTGGGGATGTGTCTTAAGTTAGCGAGCAAGCCTCCAGAACGCCTCTCCCTAGATGCATAAATGCATCCTCCAAACACGTCTATATCTCCTCCCCCCATCCTTCCCTTCCCTCAAGCCCGCCATGCACAACTCTTTAGCGAGAAATTACAACATGAAGTCCGGGATTTTGGGGATATCTGAAAATTGTGTTGGAGTTATGGGACTCATATATACAAGGAATCAGATCTGAAAGCAAGTCTTGCCGCTTAAACAAGACCCACCCAAAAGAAGAGCTGAGAACCAATGTGCTTGCTATACTGCTGCCACCGAATCGAGAGAAAATTGAAGAAAATGAAAAGAGATCGGATGAAGATAGACAGGAAAAAGTGACAGGTTTGATCCAGATTGAGGGGTCTTAGGAAACCGCCGCCGCTGTCGGTGTCGTTGAGATCCATGAGTGATCTAGTCGAAAGTCGGGGAGGTTCGAGGAACGACTTATTTCTTCGGCGGGTACTTCTGGAACAAGTATCTAAACAGCAAATCAGAACTTCATCATATGTGGTCACATTGCCGGTCAAGCAGACAGACAAATACAAACTTACTGCGAAACATAATAATCCGCAACCCCAAACAACCCCACAACCCCCGCCCAAGCCCCAAAAACCTTCCAACTCAACTCCTCCCGCACCCATTTCTTGTACGCACCCAGACCTAGCATGGTCCCCAAGACTCCCACCGCCACCGCGTTCCCAATTAGCACGGGGTTCCTTGCATTCTCCTTGGCATACCGTCCCCCGCGTCCGGCTTTCGCTTTCGCCTTCTCCTTCACCGACTTGGCTTCGGCGGTAGCTTCTTCCGCGCGCTGCTCGAGCTCAATGCGCTCGGCTTGCGTGTCCGTCTTTACGGATTGCGATTCGAAGTCTGAGGGGACAGAGGAGATGTGAGGTGAGTCGACGTCGATGAGGGAGTGCACACTAGAGTCTGTGTGCTCGACTTCAGGTACAGGAGGGGCGCGACTAAATATTAATTAGCTTCTTGCGATAGACTTAAAATCTAGGGCGTGCTGCAGGAGCTGGGCCGGTAATGGGGTTTCAGAGGGTTGTGCGACAGACAAAGGACACCGCCTGGCTGGAAGATAAGGTTGGGGAATGCGACTTACGCCTGCGCACGTGTTAGATCTCAAAGTATATTATCGCATGTACACGTACTCACCTCTTCAGGACTCTGCTTCGGCCCACTGGCAGCAGCTTGTGCATATGACATTCTGGGAATATAGCTCAGGCGATCTGTTCTGTGTGTGGAAGCTCTGAGTGGGGGGTGCAGTGGAAGTATTCAAATGATAGGTATTTCCGTGAGAGGGGGACGGGGGAGGAAAGTACTCAGAGGATATGCACACGGGCGTAGCAGGTGAATAAAAGGAGTCGTGTGATGGGACTGTAGCCTTGCTGTGTGGGCTCGGAAAGAACAGGGCAGGATGGATGGGATGATGCCTCACTCACATGCTTGAGGTCTCGCCAGAGCCTGGCGAACTACGTCATTGACTCATTGCAAGGTTTGAGGCCGCTATGCACGAGGAGAATCAGTCACAACCACTCTCCAACGCCAATATTATCAAGTATACACGTTTTGAAGAGGGTGTCTAGCCAAGTTTGATGTGAGCTAGCATTCCGGTTACACTGTTACGAAATGAGTTCACATTGTATTTGACACAGGAGCACACGAATCCAGCATGGTTATTTCAGGCACCATACTCTACATTTGTTGTACATAATTTCCCCAGTGTAGCAGAGATTTGGGACACCAAAAAATGCTACCAAGACCTTTTACCTAGCTCCAGTGATGCCGCAAGGAAATATCGTACAGGCATCGCAGCAACTCATCTCCTAGCTCTTATCCTCACTACCAGACGCATCGTGCCATGGTTTAGGGACAACCTCATCACTCCCGCTTAGAGTCTCATGCTCCATCTTGGCTTGTTCTGTTGCTGCCCGGGCGTGTTGCTTCTTGGATTCCAGTTCTGCAGTTGGACTCAGTGGCTGTCCTTGAATTTGCGTCGCAACTTCGTCTGGCTTAGGTGGGGCGGGAGGACTTGACGGTGCGGATCCTGGCGTTAATTCGGAAGCGGTTTCGTGAGCCACTGCCGGTTGTCCGTCCTCTGTTACATCATCCTCATCATCGCCTTCGAGCTCAGAGCCGTAGATCTCAGGGTACTGTCGGAAGCAGTTCTGCATGTCCCTAACAATATACGTTAGTACATACATCCAAAAACCTTTGCAAACCAGAGTAGCGTACTTGAACCTGTCGATGCAATCCATTCCCTTCGGCTCCTCGGTCGAATACACAAAGCAGCTAAACGCCGCCTTGAACTCCTCCCCACAAGGCCCATCCGCCATTCCCCCCAAACACGGACAATCCCAATTGATCTCTCCCGTCTCTGGATTGAATGCGCCCTGTTGATCAGCCTCCTCTTCCAGCTCCTCCACACCTAGAGCTGTTCCCTGCGTCTCTGCCCGCTCTGCTTTCTCCATCGCCGCAGCATGAGCAGCTTTCCGCTTCGCCCGTTCCTTCGCTAGTGCATCTATTGTCTGGAGCTGTTCGTTTTCTTCATCGGCTTCAGGGACGCGCTGTGTGGTGGTGTCTACAAATTGCTGTTAGCTTCTCGCCACAAGGAGTCTCAATTCCATCTCACAAGCCGGTTCCTCCGCAAACACATCCGTCGTATTATAGTAGTATATAACTCCCGCCGCAGCACCCCACCGCATCACTGCGCTCCTCCACGTCCTAGACTTCTGTGTCGGTGGCGCTGTGCTCACCCATCTCCGTGTCGTCGCCGGGCGTGGGAAAGCGCGGACGGCCGAGGAGCGGGCAATTAGTCGCGAAGCAGGGCGGAACATGGTGGACAAAGGAGAAATAGATAGAACAAGAATGTAAGGAATGTCGTGGGGTTGTTAGCAAGCTGTCGAGGGGAAGGGGTCGAAAAGTTGCGCGAGGCCAAGGCAATGGGTTTGGATTTCTCAGCGGAAAGCTTAGCCGAGTTCGTCCGGGTTTGGTGCTTGTCGATCAACTGTGATCCTAACGATGCATACCGGAGCACGCTCTTTCGAGACACATGCACAGTATGCTGCTGACCCAGAAGTAACATCAAGCTTGTATATATTGGTGATCATCACCATCCGATTCAACCCAATACATAAAACACCTGTCCATTTCCCTTCAAGTTTCACCTTTGGATATCTTCTTACTCTGCTCTACAGCTTGAGAAACCCGCTCATATCTCCCGTCGAAGTTCCGTCTTCTTTTGGTGCGAATACACAGCTACTGCTGATGAAAATGCCGTCCTCTCTCATCTCTATAAACTGGACTTAAACATTCTTATTCATAGGCCAGAGCATAAGCCTTTTTTTCTGAATCTAGCTGCATTTGATGATAGTCAACAAAGCCAGTAGCCAGTGCCAGCTTCCCATAATACTGGAGATACAAAAGTGGCAGTGACTATGATATAACTAATTCATTAGTCACGTTCAGATTCTAGAGTCCTATGGTTACCACTCCTCTTTAGGTTACGGGTGAATCACCATGCTTGAAACTCTCAGTATGGCCATGGAGAATTTCGAGATCAAGAAAGACATACCTTCAAGATAAAGCTAACAATGCCTCTCCACTCTTGATTGCCTATACCATCCTAGCGAAATATTCTGTCTAAACTTTAAAGCTGATTTCCAGGTTCTCGTGCCCGCCTTATAGATGCCGTTACCAGAAGGGAGTTCTAATCCTAGGCTGTCATCTCAGATGAGCCTCGTTTGTATTTGCCTTGGAGAGAGTTCAATATCCGCGCTTTTTAGTGAAGCCCTACATATCTAGTCAGGCATTTTGGTATTTTGAGGAGCAACCCGGAATTGCTAGGCCTCGAAATCTGTTCTCGCCTTGCGCCAACATCCCACCGGCAGCTAATCTCTGCTTATTTAAATTGTGGCCGCTGTAACCTCGCCGATACTAAAGGTGCCCCTGCAAGCTTTTCTTTGCAGCACACTTTTCTACTTGCGACCATTTCCGCCCAGGTTAGGATAGCCCGTCCTTTGCACATTTAAGATAAGATGCAAGCGAGGGGATGTATAACCACGGCACTTTTTGACTGATGTTGCTGATGCCCACAATTACGTCCCATCCATCAATCCCGATATACTCCTGAATGGACTACCAAGGGATGTAACTTGGATTCACTTTGGAATTCTTGACGATTTCAGTTGCGCAGAGCCCATATGCTCTAACTGAGTGCAGAATTTCAGACAGTCGTCGCAGAATAGAAGAGCTAGTTTTCTTTCTACAGTATGGAAGTGTACACCTCCCGCTTTCCCTCTTCGCTGAGGGGAGAGGGCGAGTCCAGCCTCGTGGTATTGCGGTGGTGCGGCAAGCGCTACAATGAGAAGTCGAGGTCGATATTTGCGAGGGCTGCGATATTCTGATTTTGTCTACACACCAAGCTGAACTGAAGGATTTCAGCCACGGTATCTACCCCAGCGATCAGAGAGTAGGATGACACTGTACGTACGGCAATGTGCAAGGTATTAGAAATTAGGATGTTGCAAGTTAGAATAAGACAAAAGGTGGTAATAGTTCGAACAGTTTTCGGTCTTAGTTAAGTGCTAATGTAATAAGAAGAGGGAACTACTAGGTTGAGCTCTTGGGTGTTGTCGGCAACTAAGCCACCAGATCTGCCTCTACGGTGGAACCAAAGGTAGTTTAAAATCTCATTCATCTCATCTCACCAGGCTGTTTACCAAGTCCTTCAAAGAGCTCCTCATCAAGCTCATTAATAGGCTCCGATCAAGCTCCTAATAGGTTCTTCATTAAGCTCCTTATCGAGCCCTTCATCCAGATAGACAATATGCCTTGTGTATAAAGATTTGTGTGCCTCAACATGTCACTATGCATGTAAATGTGTACCTTTCTTTGTACGTATTAACATAAGCATTAGACCTTTTGAGATATAGGCAAAATCTAATAGAGCGTAATCTACGATGCCAGGCGTCTTAAATAGTACACCTTTCCAGTACTTAGATCTCCGCTTAGCACTAAATGGAACGAGCCCAGTTGTCTCGCAGAACAGGGCCCCTGCCTTCCCACATGCTAAACAAACAAGAACGTTCCTAGACCTTGGATAGAAAAACTGATCATTTGCCATTTCGAAACTAATTTACAGCACACCACCCTTATCCTGCCACCAGGCGTAAGGAAGTATACCTGCCCTCTCTCAATAAGTTCTTTCCAGCGACAAGCCAACAAGCAAGCAAGAAGACAATAGCTTAAGAAAAGAGTACGCAGGGTCTCGATTAATATACGAGAACCACATTCACCAGCCAGACCAAACACGCCAAAACACCCCACCGATAACCCCGTGGTTTATCTGTTTGTTTAGAGGTTGGAGCTGCAGAGCATTTTATGCATGCCCTAGCATTCCCTAAACCTCTATTCTCGAGAAACCATCACTGCCATCTTCGTACGGCTGGATACTTCCATCAATACTCGACCGCTTAGCGCCCATACTCTCGTCACCCTTGCCAACGCCAAATGTCCGTATCGCGTCTGTCAGCGCATTGACAGCCTCTTCTGGGCTGAGGGCGCCTGGAAGACCGGGCACACCGCCCAAGCTGGCATTGATTTTCTTTGTAGCATCCTCAAGCGCTCGCACACGTCGCTGGAACATGAGTCTGTCGAGAAAGAGTTGCTGGCGACGACGTTGAAGGTCGCGGCGTTCGGCGGCAAGGATCTTTTCGAAGGCGTTGAAGTGATCGAGCTTCATTTGGAGTTTCTGAAGTTGCAGATTTACGGCGCCAGAGACGAGGCGGGTAATATGACGCTCCTCGTGTGAGGCAAGTCCTGAAGAGCGGGCAGCTGTGAGAGCGAATGGTACTGTAATGAGAGGGCTGATTTCCGTGGTGGCAGGCGAAGCTGACGCATCTTTATCGGTCGTGGAGGTTTTTGGTGGTAGCATTGAAGACTCAGTGCCCGGTTGAGCATCGACGTCCATTGCATCTTCATTTTTCACTTCTGAACCTGCAGTCGCAGGGGTCTTGTCCTTTTCCTTTTCCTTACCCTTCTCCGACTCTGACGTTGATACCTTGTTGATCCGCTCTTCCATAATGCTCCTCATCGCCTTAATACTCCTTCCCGACGCGACTGCAGCTTCGGTGACGCCCGCTGGAGACAAGCCAGCCATGAAACTTAACACGCTTAAAACTGGGTTGTCGGCTTGAGAGATGGGCATTCGTCCGTTCTGCATAAACGATAGCCCGCTGACTGATTCAGGTTCCGCAAAGTCTGCTTCCAGATACTTGTCTTCGATTTCTAGCTGGAGGAATTTTAACACGCACTGTTCCCGAGTCTTGGTTTCGACTTTATCGGCAACCTGGTTCCAGTCGTCATCAAATTGCTCCAGGCCCTCAAGTAACCGCAGGACTTCCGCATCCGACCATTTTAAGTCAGGGTCTCCAGCCAACGAGTATTCACCATTCTCCACCTTGACATAGCCCTTGTTAGTATATGACATCGAGAAGCTGGCGTCCACAAAACACCTCGGGCAAATATCGTGATAGTTTGACACCTGTGCCTTATTCGGTATTGGTTGTGGAGAAGTCTTCGTATAGTGCCAATACGACCGAGTGCAGTCCACGCCACAGCTGTTGCAGTGGACGGGACTGATAGGTTCCTTTTGGGCAGCTTCCAGAGCCTTCATGTCGGCTGACCCAGACGCTCCGTTGGCGGCGCCTTCCCCGTTCGTAGTCTTGTCCTTGGATTCCGAAGGTGATAGCTCTTTCCCATTTTGTTCGTAAATATGTCGACCGATGGACTTAGTCAAGTCAGACTTTGCAGTTGCCGGCTGGTTGGCCGCTGCTTCGGTGGCAGGATTCGGCTTGCCTGGGGTCGTGATGGATTTGGGCGCGGGTTGGAATGGCTGAAGCCCCCTCGGAGTGTCCACAGTTGTCTTGAAATGACCAGTAAAGGGAGGTCCAATGTTGGACGGGCGTTCTTGCGGATCAACCTAAAGGGTCAGTGCGAACGTTCAAACAGCGCTAGAGTGGATCCTATTACCTGATAATTGATCAGACCCCACTGCTCGAGAAAGGCGTGAACCCGCATGATGGCACACACATCGCCCGCCAAGTTGCGCCGACAGGCCGTGACAGTCAAGTACTCGTACGGGTTTAGCCGATACGTGTTGATCATGAAATCTCGGTAGTCCCTATACACAGCGGGCGTCTTGCTGCGATTTCTCCCGTTGAAGAACTCCGGGAGGGCCTTACGCTCACGGTGGTCAATGTAGTGCATGTCGAACCAGCTAGCGTAGCTGGGGATGATGGTCGAATAGGTTTGGGTGGCAAAGTGTGATCGGGCTTGAGATTCCAGGGCCGATTTCGATTGCGCATCTGCATCAGTGCCCTCAGCGGCCTCTCCGTTCTTCTCTTTCTTCGCGTCGTCGGCTCCAGCCATCTCTTCGTCGTCGTGGCCATCGGCATCAGTCGCTTCTGGCCTGGGGCCCTCTGGCGCATCTAGAGGGTTGTCCAAGACGGGTGCGGGAGTTGTAGTGGAGGGCTCGCGAGAGGACTCCTTCAGGGAAAGAGAGGCAGGTTCTTGGTCGTCGAGCATGGAGACATCTAGGAGATCTGTTATCGAAAGGTCGCTCAGAGTGGTATCTTCATCGTCTTTATAGGCACGGGGCATGACTGCGGCCGACATTTTGGGGGTTGGCGCGGCGTTGGGGGATGGCGTGGTGCATGGAGCGGGTGGGAAGGATTGCAACGAACCTTGATCTTGCGCGTTGGACTGCGCGTGGGGAGCGCCTTCCCCTCCTGCAATAGAGCTGTCCACTTCGGGTGCAGAAGCACTCCCTGCCGCCGCATCGTCAGCCATAGCCGGTGATGGTGATGCACAGCGGTTGCGATGAGTCCGGGGGATTGTAGAGGTTGCGCCGATGCGAGTGCAAGGAGGGCGCGCTGGTCGCGAGTGCCGCGGGAGGATGGCAACGGGCAGGCAGAAGCTAGCAGGAAATTGGAATAGCAACTTCGAGAAATGAAGGCGTGGACGGCGGGGGATGGGGGGATGGGGGGATGGGGGGATGGGGGATGGTGGGCGGGTTGGGGAGCTCGTCGCGTCGACTTTCGCGATGTGCTCCGTACTTTTCCCCCGGCCTGGTTTGGCGGCTTCGACCAGTCACGTGATGGATTGGTGCTCACCCGGCCCAAAACGAGCAAGCCCGGGTCAAGCGATGCCAGCCGAGGTCATCGTTCTCCGATCAAACGCACCCAATCACTTGCGGCATTCCTGGACTTTACTTCTCCCCACTTCTTCGATTCTCCTTCCTTCCCTCGCTCCTGGTGATCTCATTGTTCAATTCTTTCATCATGTTTTCCGCCGCACGTCTGTCCGTCCTCCGACAAGCACGAACGCAGCTTCGATGCACACAACCCACAGCTATTCTGCACCACTCCGCACTTACACGATTACTGTCAACACTAGCGGTTCTGGAGCAAAGAGAAGGGAAGCTCAATGTGGCGTCATTAGCCGCAGTGACCGCGGGTGGAAAGGTTGGTGGTTCGGTGACTGCATTCATTGCCGGAAGTGGGGTCAAGGCCGCTGCGGACGAGGCAGCCAAGGTGAAAGGCCTCGAGAAGATAATATACGTGGAGAATGGTGCATACGATAAGGTGCGATGTTTGAGCGATTGAGAAAGAACCGAGCGGGGTGTTGACTGTAAATACAGGGCCTCCCCGAAAACTTCGCCCCCCTCCTCGTCGAGAATATCAAGAAAGGAGGCTTCACACATATTCTCGCAGCACACTCAGCATTTGGGAAAAACTTGATGCCTCGTATTGCTGCACTTCTCGACACTCAGCAAATATCAGACATCACGGCTATTGAAAGCGAAGACAGTATGCAGGCTCTTGCGCGAGCTTCTATATCAATTCCACTAACTTGATTTCGAAAAGCATTTGTCCGTCCCATCTACGCCGGTAATGCCATTCTTACCGTCCAGTCGTTGGACAGCACCAAGGTCATCACAGTGCGAGGAACCGCATTTCCTATCCCGGAGACCGAAGGCGGGTCCACCGCGATAGAGGAGGGTGTAGATCCAAAGGCAGAATGCCCTACTGAATGGGTATCGGAGGATTTGGCCAAGTCTGATCGACCGGACCTTGGTTCCGCAGATAAAGTAGTGTCTGGTGGACGTGGGTTGAAGTCGAAGGAGGAATTCGACAGGCTAATGCCGCCTCTCGCAGATGCACTGGGTGCCGCCATTGGTGCTTCGAGAGCTGCAGTCGACAGCGGCTTTGCGGATAACAGTCTTCAAGTGGGACAGACTGGAAAGAATGTGGCTCCTCAACTTTACCTCTGCGCGGGTATCTCCGGAGCTATTCAGCACTTAGCTGGGATGAAGGACAGCAAAGTCATCGCAGCGATAAACAAGGACCCCGATGCGCCAATCTTCCAAGTGGCAGATGTTGGCCTAGTGGGCGATTTATTCGACAAAGTTCCTGAGTTGACTGAGAAGCTAAAATCGCAGTAGAAGACGCTTCTTTCAGTGACGACTCTGTATATACATAGATGTAGAAGCTTCAATGCAAGCATGACGTCATGGAGACTCACTTTCATTCACAGCAAGCACCTAAATCAAGAGCCGAACAGTCAGTTTGCCACTAAAGGGCCTGCATCCAATCACTTGTTAGTAGCGGTTGGAGATGATGACAGCTTGGCATTGCATCTCCGGCTGGAGTCGGCGCTACTGGAGTCAGCTTCACACCGGACCTTGATCCACGTGTGAGACCTTCAAGCTGTGTCTAGTGTGACGTCCCGTACTTGCAGTCTGGTGATCCCCGACCGGCATTACGCCATGATGGACTGCGCCATTGCTTATGCGCCGTGTTCTTTGATCGGACCACCTAACCACACCCTGTCTCCCTTCTATCCTCTGTCACCCTAGCGTCCGATTTATATCCCCGCCAATGCACCTCATCTTTTACTATACCTTGGAACCTTAGTGCCATTTCACAGGCTTCGAGACCCCTCAATTCTTCGCGCGGTGTGACTTCTGCCTGCCCGACTCTCACGATTTGACCTATTTTTCTTTCCTGGGGTCTCCAAACGAGACTACTCTAACTTCACCACTCTAAAACTTCTACTATGGCCGCTGTATCTCGATAACAATAGCATCTCCGTGGCGCAACCATGTCATCAACTACAGCAACCCCCACAGACGTTCCATCAGGGAATCCAGAGAAGCTGCAAACCCCTGAAGAAAGCGGTTTCAGTCAGAACATTCAATATGACGAGAGCGCGAACATCGAAATGTCGGAAGCTCGACAAAATTGGAAGAACAGCAGATGGAAACGCAAGGTGAACTTTGACGAAAATGAAAAGAGGTACGATACCCTGACTATCAACTCGACTACTGCTTGTCTGCACAATTAGCTGGGTCCTATGCCTTCTCCTGAACTGCACTGATGTTGGATCTTTGACTAGTGACTGGTGGTTTGCGTCTACGGCCATTCCGTAAGTCCACAATACCTTCATACCTCGCCATCAAGGGAAGTGACTTACATGTGACAAGTCTTTTAGCAGCAAGCCTTGGTCCCCTTGCAAATGTCCTTTCTATTGCAGCTCTGGTTACCTTCTGGAGAGAGAATGTGTTCATCGACGATAAATTCGTCCCTGATTTCCAAGGAGTTCCATTTCGAGATCCCCTATGGTGAGGATTGCGGAAGCTTCAACCTCTTTTTCCCACATCTGACGTTAAGCAGGTGCTACTGGCTGAACGTTGCCTCTCTAATATTCGGATTCTTGGGTAACCTCTTCCTCCTCTTAAACTTTACTCAGCGAATTCGCTACATTATTGCTCTTCCGGTCACAATCATCTTTTGGTATCTGTCCACCGGATTTGTAAGTTTTAACCTACTCATACTCTTGTCACTACTTCTACCTCATATTTTCACTTCTCCACTATCTGAACCACTCTAACTTAGAACAAGCTCATGGCAATAACTGCCTGCATGCATATTTACGCACCACCAGTCCGCCCCTATGAGACCTACACCCAAGGCTTTTGGTACGCCATCGCTGCCGCAGCGTTGTACCTTGTTTGCTCTATGATTCTCATGATCAATATGCTTGGGTACTTCTTAGCCCATTACCCTGACACTTTCAATCTCACCGACGCTCAACGTACCTTGATCTTGCAAACAATGCTATTCTTTATTTGGCTAGCAGGAGGGGCCGCCATCTTCGCACGCATAGAAACAGATGATGGGGAGTCAGGGTGGGACTTCGCGGATGCCGTAAGCTTCCACCCCTCTAGCCTTTTTGCACACCCCTTAAAGCAGCGATAGCTAACGTTACCAAGCTATACTTCTGCGATGTAACTATCCTGACTGTTGGATTTGGTGACCTCTACCCTACAAACAATATCGGTCGCGGTCTTGTGTTCCCATATTCCGTTGGCGGTATCATTATGCTCGGTCTTGTCATCTCCTCCATCTATAAATTCATGCGGCAGCTGGGAGAAGAAAATATTGTTCACAAACATCTCAAGCGTGCTCGAGAACGAACGATCTCCCGTACAGTCACTAACTCGTTTGACCTCCGACAGCGCGAGCACGAAGTTCACCATCTCGTTCGTAGGCGAAATCTTCATGCTGGGGACATCAGCGCTCCGTTAGGGGGAAGGGCATACAGAACAGTTATGAGTAGTACAGCCCGCCGCGTAACATCTATTACACCGGTCCAGAACCGTCTCATTCGCAAACCCCGGCTCATCCTTATGCGCGAAGAAAAGGACCGGTTTGAAGCAATGCGAAGCATCCAACGCTCAACCTCGAAATTCAAGAAATGGTACGCGCTAACTTTCTCTATCTTTGCCTTCGGTATTCTCTGGTGTGTAGGGGCAATCGTCTTCTGGGAAGCCGAGAAACATGCTCAAGGCATGACATACTTCCAAGCGCTTTACTTCTGCTACGTCTCACTTCTCACTATCGGCTATGGCGATCTATCCCCGAAATCCAACGCTGGGAGATGTTTTTTTGTGGCATGGAGCCTCATTGCAGTGCCAACCATGACAATTCTAGTATCAGACATGGGCGACACTGTTGTTGAGAAATTCAAGAATTGGTCCAGCCAGCTCGCCGATTTCACTGTGTTACCGAAAGAAGGGATCTGGAGATCCTTTCTGGACAAACACCCCTGGCTTCTGAACTGGATCCAAACAAGACTCGCCAGCCGAGCTGCGAAGAAGAGACTAAAGAAGGGATTCGCCACTATGGATCCTTCGGAAGGCAATCCTGAGAACGGTGAGGAAATCGACGCCGAAGAAGAGGAAGACTTGCGTGCTACTACAAACCCGACGATCCCGTCTCTCGCGGTAGAAGCGGAACAAGATGCTGCAGGTCATGTTCCAACGTCGTTTTCGCTTTCACGACGTCTGGCGTTGAGTATTCGTCGTGTGGCAGCCGATCTCCGGCTTCCGAAAACGAAGAAATATACCTATGAGGAGTGGGTCGAATTTACACGTTTAATACGGTTTACGAAGAGCACTGCAGGTGAGCGGGGCGAAGGTGTACTGCAAGAAGAGGAAGAGGAAGGCCTTGTTGAGTGGGATTGGATTGGCGATGATAGTCCGTTATTAAGTGGGCTCGGTGAGAGCGGATGGTTGCTTCAGAGCCTTTGTGAGAGTCTTGTGAGATTGGAGAAACGAAAGGAGGCGGAGAAAAAGAAGAAGGAGAAGGAGAAAGCGCTATTCAGACTTGATCCTTTGAAAGAAAAGAGTGAAGATGGCACAGAGAAAGATAAAGATGAAGACAAAGAGAAAGAGAAAGATATAGGTATGCAAGAGGCTAGAGGGTCTGGTATAGAGGAAACAGATGAGATTCGGGAAGAGAGAAAGGATGCACAGAACCAAGTGCTGGTTTCTGGAGCAAATGGGAAGGGTCCCGATTAGGAATAGATCGGTAATGAGGTTATGATTAGGTGTCAATTGGATTAGGGCCACGTTAGATTTTTAGGTCGTTTTGGTGTAGTGAATGTTGATCTTGACATCAGGTGCTGACGAATATGACGTAGAAGAGTCAAAAGCAAAGGTAGGCTTGAATGTAATGCTTGACAGAGAGGGCAGAACATCTGAAATATTTATTTAGATTGCCTTGACATGGTTATATTATTTGCTCTTTACCTTTGGTAAGCTCTGACTTAATAGCATCTACACTGTTGCTGCTTGTGGGGTGGTGCTTCTAGTTTCGGAGATTCGTGTCCCGCTCAGTCAGGATCAGAATGGATGTGTGGCTTATAGAGAACAAACAGGGGGAGGAAAGCTTTGGCGATACCTTTCGGAGAAGTCGTTCTCCCTCGCAGGGGAGGTTGCACACCCTCTAAACCTGGCGATCTAGTCTATGTTTGGGATGGGATCCTTTTTGGTCTCTACGGTAATAAATAGGGATGGTTTTCACCTACCCAAGCTTAACCACTCTTCGACTCCTTTTAATCCTCTTTGCTGTTACCTGTGTCCTACGCAAGACTTGTCCAACCAATCATTCCATTGATAAAATATGAGCCGCAATGATATTTCCTTTTCTTTCTACGATACTCTGTGCTGTTTTCAGCTCAGCCTCTAATGGCCTCTTTATGAATCTCTCATCTAATAGCTGTACCGTCGATTTTTCACTAAATGTTCACTTTATACTGGACAAGCACCATGTTTCAAAGAGGTCATCTAGACGGACACTAATTTCGTTCAAATAAGCTAACAAGGCCTTCATGATGATTATGCCGCCACTAGCCCCGCTATCTACTCCAAGTGTCACTTTCTTATCCTACCTGCCGCACTCTCCTACACCACCTGCCTGCCTCGATTCAATCACATATCTCCCACTGTAGCCAGTAAAAAAAGAGTTACAATCGGGATTTAGTTGCCTTTATTAGAAGATCTCACCTAGCTTTTCGGCCTCACCAATTCTGAAATACTCTCTCTCTGTTCGGGGAAAACACCAGTGGCAGCATCCCCAATTGCGACCATTTCGCCTCCAATTGACGTGAACACAAATATTCCAGACAGTACCGGTTCCACAATATCTTCTATGCTCTGCCTATTTACACTACATCTTAGTACTGCAGAATATAGAGTATTGCCGAGCTCGACGCTAACAAAATCTACCTCTACTCTAGTAATAAGGAAAGCGAAAAATTGAGCACCCGCATTAGGTCCCAGTCTTGATCTTGGCATTCCAGTGTTGATTTTACTCGGCATCGGCGCAGGGATTGCTATCAATAGGGCACGTGATTCTAGGTCTTCTACTCCAGAACCCTCTAGTGTGCGCCCGCATTGCACGCATAATGGCCTTTTGATCTGGGTGGTTGTCGAAGAGGAGAACGTAGCTGTGAAGTGTGAGCTTTCTAGTGAGCCCGGCTCTAGGGTGGAGTTCTAGGAAAATGAGGAGCGTGAGAGGCAGAGGGCTTAGATTATATCACTTAGAGAGAGGGTTTTCGGTCAGGTCGTGTAGTTTGAATGGGTGATCATTGCTGGTCTTGCTGTCCACATTGTTGAATGAAGGCAGGTGAACCCTGAAAATCATGCGCCTAGGCGCAAGTGGAAAGTCATATGTAGAAGAATTTCCCTAGCGACAAGTCTACTCCATAGTAGGGTTTATGCCGCCCATGCAAGGGTTGTCTAGGTCTGCAAAGACAATCTAAAGGATCGTAGGCATGTGCAGATCAAGCTCTTCATAGTTCTCCTATTAATAGGTGCTTCTTCTGGTAATATCGAGATGCATTCTGAGCATTCCTGCCCAGCTCATCTTTTTGCACGCCGAAATATCGCTCTCTACTTGCTCCTTTGCTTTCGCTGTCAACCTTTAAGTGATTTTGCTCGATGTTGAGTGTTACCTCTTGGCTGACGTCTTCTGAAGATATTGACCACTTGCGTTGACGGAAATTGTTGGTTTAAGGTCTAGTTCAGGACGATACCACCTGCGAACCTCTGATAACACCTCTTCCACGAAAAAATATCTACGCGGAGAAGAACGTCGATGTCTGTTTCTTTATTGGTGTCTATGATTCTCGAGATAACAGTTTATGATCGATATGAGGTCAACATTTGCAGGGCATGTTGGAGAACAGTTAACACAGGAGATGGGAATCGTCACTACATTCCAACCAATTTGAGAGGTCCTTCAAAAACTTGTGGTTTCCCGTTGTCTTATTTAGAAGGAGAGAGAAGAGAAGATAGGAACGCGAGTCTACAACTAGAGATGTAGACTGAAAGTACTAAAGAAAAACCCTACGGACATCTCAGGAGGAGTAGGAATGGATTTTGAGTTGGCGGGTAACGTATCGAAAATCTGTGTGCTCGTACGCGCTGCATTGCGCTGCACTTTGATGTGCCGAGCTGTGCATCGCATAACATTCATGCCGATATATCTATGCGTTTACCTAAACCTACAGGATAGTCGTGAATACGAAAGCGAACAACAAACAACCCAATCACGCTCATCCTCAGACCGTCCTCGGAGAATTCGAAGAAACCAGCGCGTTGTAACTTGCAACAAGAGGCAGGGAAATGACAGGAAGAGGGAAATAAGGGAACCATTTCTCCAGGGAATCCACATTCTGACAGCCATCCCCTTACTTCTTTCCCCCGTTGGTGGAAAATATCGTGGTGCTCATTCGATCCTTCCTACTCGCGCGACCAGCGTTGCTTGTCGAACGGATATTGTCTCAACTCTCGGCGCCTCGCGCACAAGACAGAAACCCGTGCCTCATCCAGGCGGTTGCGAGACTAGTCCGAAAGGAATGGTTTTCGCACCTAGGTTACGGTTCCCGGACAACGGCACGCAAAACTAGACACAGTTCCGGGATGAATAGACGAAGTGGGAGATAGAAGAGGTACACGATTGGTTAGTGGATTTTTATGCTTAACAAAGTTCCCGCAAACGGTTAACCACTCCAAGTTTTCGGGACCGGGGGCTGCGTCATTATGCCTGTCTGTTTCTTACTTTGTCGGTAGTGGAGGTTGAAGGAGTGCGGAGGTTACTGTGTGAGGTTGAAGTGTAGCGATGTGGCTAGCTGTGATAGGCTAAGCGATGGTCAAAGCTCAAACCATTCACGCAACATCCTGAGGCTGTCGATACAAGCTACGGGCGCCAAGGAGGTATCACGAGGTTTTGACAGCTCGAAGCTTTGGTAAGGCGGCAGAGGCGTGAAGGTCCAGGAGAGGGAGGCAAGAAGAGTACAAAAGCAAGGCAGAGAGCGTTGTAGATAACTTCCATTTTTTTATCTCATCTTCATCAACTGAACTGCAGTTTCATTCCTTAGGGTTCGCTCCTGTCTTGATTGTTTTGATTCTTTCTTTGGCTACAGCTGGGCTGCCATTCGTTCTCTGTGTGTTTGCATTATACCTTCACTTAACGCTTAAGCTATTGTGCTATACCTAGCCCAGGTGGTTTATACTTCATCCTTTTATACGACCCAAAAACAACTTCCCACAATGCGTTTCTCAAGCTCAATCTTCCTTTTCGGCCTCGCTGCTACCTCTCTCGCTGCTCCCGTAGCAAACGCCAAGCGAGGTGTCTTGACGAAACAATCCTACGCCGACTTCCAAGTCTCCGATGGTGTGGCTGGAAATGCGCTCGCGGAAGTGAACGCTAAGTTCCCTGTACGTCCCTTACGGCCTAATATACTATTTCATTTTATATGTTCCTCCTAACAATTCCACAGATCGATACCTCGGACCTCGCAAATGTCGACCCGGCTGATCAACAGATTATCTCGGACGCACGCAAAGTGGCCGAGTCTGCCGAAACCGATGCTTTCAACCCCGCCATCGACGCCGCCTCAGGCGCCGACGCGACTGCGCTCCAGAATGGAAAGATCAAGAATAAGGTGCTGAAATTGCAACTTGAGGTCTTGGATTTGCAGATCAGTCAGGCGCAGGGTGAGGACAACGCGGCAAAGATTGCTGAGGAGCAGACGAAGTTGAATAACAACATTGCTTTGGACAAGAAGGCTGCGGGCCAGGCGAGTCAGAGTGTACAGTTTGATGGCTAGAATTTGAATCGAAGTTGGGATTGGGGTTGGCACAGGGAAATTGAGCGAGGGGATGTGCGCGGAGACTCTGGATTCGTGAATCAGGGCAGCCTTTGATGTATATATTTCATATACTCACATAAAATATAAATTTGAGGGTATGTTCGTTGTCAGTGCAGACTTCTCGAATTCGCAAGGTGAATCTGGCATTTTGAAGCCTGGATGCAAGGTTGGCGGCGCTTGTTGGATTGCGAAAGGTATTAGTTCCAGGTCGAGGAAGAGTGGAACAGACTGTTGAAATACACGCTGAAATCATTCAGATCTGCGGAACTGTACACTGACAACTAATGGCTTTGCAGCCAATGCGCGCTTATTTCGCAACCCAACGCTATAATTTAACGCATTTCCAATTAATAAAGCTGAAATAAAGTTGAAATACAGTTGGTCACGTATTATAATTCCGCTGAGGAGCAATGGTGCTCAACACCTCATTCTGTCCTCCCGTTTCCCGGCTTCACATACCCTTCAGGATACCAAACCATTGCCCAAATCTCCACACCCACTGCACTCTCCCCCGTTGCAACCTCTCCCGCCGCATCCGCCACACCCTTTCCTAATATAAATGGCCCTCCCTCCTCAACAAGCTGAAACCCTACTTTCTTATAAACATCCCTCGAACCGGCACTCGTAGCCTCCAACCAAATTGGCAATCCCTCCCCACTCGCCTTCTTCTGCAGGTCCCTGATTAACGCCGGACAGAGTCCTTTTCCACGGTGCGATTCCTCGGTGCCAATCATGAGGATGTAGTACCACTTTTCGTGCTTATTGAACGTGGTTTTCTTGACACCATCAGCTAAGGCGGGATACTCAAACAATACCCGCCGGAACCGTGTCAAGCCAGCCGTCCAAATTAATCCCAAAATCCCTGCCTTGATTAACGAGAGCCAGGCCAAAAGGTTGAGATCGTCGACTTTTTGCCCCGGTAGCATTATCACTGCTGCGGATTGAAATCCGGGTTCTTGGACTAGCTCCGTATTAGGACTAGCCTGATTTGCGGGAGTCAGATTTGGGTAGGAAGATTCATAGAAAATAGCGTCTTTGAGCGTAGCGGCGCTGAACATGCAATGGAAGAGTTTGTGTAGTGCAGCGCTTCTGGCGGGACCGCGGGGAATGCTGTTTAGGAAATAGGCCATGACGGGGTCGGCGGAGAACGCGGATGCTAGGACTGTGGTTGTTCGGGGTTCATATTCTGGAGGAGTGTTAGTCTAGAGATGAGAAAGGGATGTGAGGGGGAAGAGAGTCGCTTACTGACGCCAGAGGCGGTTGTAATCTGCACTGCGGCATTTGGATGGGCCATTATGTGTATGTGAAAAGCCCGGGGATTGATATTAAGTGAGACGAAGAGAAGTTGGGGTTGAAATTAAGGTTGAGAGGTCTGGGGTTTTCGTGTTATGAAAACAATTGAACAATAAATACTTAGCGTGTCAGCACCGCGCTGCAATATCCCAAGGGAGTAATTATGTACGAGTAGAGAGTTCGTTCCTAATCTTCGTTGTTGTGATCGATTACTTAATCTAGTCTGTGAACTTTGGCTTTACGCTGAGATTAATAGTTCCTCGACACTTGGACGCCCATCTTTACTCATATTTAATATTTGTGCACGCTCAGGGATGGGAACTTGAGAGCCGCGACGTCCCGCGGCGGAACCCGTGGAGTGCGCTGAAGCAATGGAGGCTAAGGAGTGGGCTGTGCTTATTACCGAATTTTAGTGCTGATTGGTCTTTGAAACTTCTCTCTAACCCAGCTGCACCGACGTCAGTTGAAGAATCTTGACAACTGTCAGGGTCAGATGCAACTCTGTCAGAGCTGTTCCTGACAGCTTCTGACGGACAACACCATTCTCAGCTGAGGCTGACTGATCTACTGATGCCCGATATAGGTTCAGGTGCTGCGTGTGCCAGCCGCAGGAATGCGATTCGGCCGAGCTGAGGCCAAGATGAGAGTTGCTAATGTCTTGGGTTTGGCAGCCTGGGTCTAGGTCGAATGGATTGGGTTCTCAACAACCAGATATGAGTTATCACAAGGGTTTCCGTACTTTGGGTGAGTCCTGCGGCACGTTTGGTGCAAGGGTGAAAAGATCCCATTACTCTTTGATCTCTGGCAACTCCACGAGTTGAAAGAGATGAAGGGTTTCGCACAAAAAGTCTCGGGCTAGCTTCTTGCTTTGGGACCTTGCAGCAGATAGAAGTATTAGATATAATACAGTACAGAGGAGCTGCTCTACTTGTTTAAAGCATACGCATTTGACCTTCACAACTAAGATCCAATTTCCTGCGCCCTGATATGCTCAACCATCCCATACCTCACACCCCCTGAGAAAAAAAAAACTTATTCCCAACCTTCGGGCTCCCCTTTCCTACGAACGTCCCAAAATCCTGGCATAAGCATCCTCTACTTCCCTCGCCACCTCCAACAACGTAACAATAACAATCTGATGCGTAACATTCGGCAGCCGGTCTCTATGAAGACCAATCCACTCCAACGGCGGTGTGGCCTCACCCATATCGCGTAGCTGCGGCGTTTCTATTAGCGGGGGCTCGAGTGGGGTGTAGTTGTATTTGGACTGTGGGACGTTTACTACGGCAGTGATTTTCTCTTGATTTTGGTTCTGAGGTGTGGATACGGTTGGGGCGTTGTCGTTTGGGGAGCCTAGGGTTCTGGGTGTAGCCGTATTGTCTTTTACTTGATCATGATCGCGATTAGTATTAGTCGCAACCAGAGCTTCAGTAGAGGGATTGGCGGGGGTGCCCGAACTCGTAATCTTGACCGCAGACTCCGGCAACGGTTTCCCTAGCCTACTCGCCAAACTCCTCGAATGATTTCCCCACATGGTCCTAATATACGAAATGCGATTATAATTCCACCCGACATCCACTTTCCCCTCCAAACTACTCTTAAAGATATAATCAATATGATTGTTCTCCGGGACCTGCCATGTGTGCATCGTAGCAATGACCTTGGGGACTCGTAAAATCGTGCCGCCGCGCGCGGACCTTGCGCTCTCAGCAACATCCTCGACGGTAAGATCGCTCACGGGTTTGGTTTTCTTGGGGTTGGGGATGGGCGAGAGCGCGACGGAGAGTTGGCCAAGCGTCATGCCGAGGCCGGAGTGAATTTTGGATTGTTCGAGTGCGACGGCGAAGCGGGCCTGGACGTCTGAGGCTTCAAGCATGAAGATTTGGCTGTCGGTGAAGGTGCTGGGGAAGACGCCTACGTTGATGGACCGGAGTGTTACGACGACGTCTGTGTGCAGGGAAATTGGTGTTTTGAAACTGTCGCCGTCGGGTTTTCTGGCGATCATGCTTTGGGAGGCGGAACGGCCGAAGGGCGTGGCGACTGACGATTTGCGGCGCAGGAATTTCTCGATGTCTTTAAGCGATTGTTTGTATGCCTGCTGATTTTCTTGTACCAGGCGCTCGATGGCTTGCCAGAGCGCTAGGCCTTGCGCTGCGCTGGTTGCTGTGCAGAAGACGTGGACCTTGTCGCCGTCTAGAATGGCAACGAGGCGATCTCGGGAGTCCTTCGATTGTTCGTGTACGTTGTACATCAAGAAGTTGAAATTGGCGATATCAGCAACCATGAAAGCTTGATAGTCGAAACCGGCCTTTGCACGCAGTTGCTGGAAGCCAAGCGATGCTTGGACGAGAGGCGTTTGTCGGATACTCGTTGCCTGTGACGGCCAGCTAATAGATGTGCGTACCCTGACGCCTGCAAGCTCGACGAAGCCACTTGTACGGCCAGAACTCTCGATAGCGACCTTCTTGATACCTATGCAGAGATTCTGCTCCCAGTCGGTGCTCTTCTTAGAAGACGCCCAGAGGTCGGAAATACTGAGTGATGTCTTTCCAATCGCTTGCCCAAGATCTAGCTCCACTGATACATTTGCGATAGCCACATTGGCATTCCAAGGGAATGCAGTTGCAGCAGTGACTTGCTGATAACGTTGGATGAGGTACTCCTGGGGCTCGGTGCTGACGTTTGTGGCTGGGGGTTTCGAGGCTTGTCGGATTTCAGGTGGGATCCAAATTTCTCGGAACAAAAGGAAATCCTGAAGCTGGCGAGCATTTACTTGGAGATGCATAGGATTGACTTTGAGGATGGCCGATATACCACTTGTGCCGCTAAGGTGCTTACTGTTCATTAATGAAAGAACGATGGAATCGACATCGAAACCGAAGGTAGACTCTCGCGAGTAGACATGTTGAACGGTTGCTTCAAGCTTTTCAAACGCAGCGGATGCTGCAAAGAAATGACCATGCTCCTGGGATTTGACGCTATTCACCGTTACATAAATGTCCTCCAGCTTGGCAATCGCAGCGACTCGAGCAATAGGCTGACAGCTGAGACTGAACTCCTGCTTGCAAATTCTCAGCCCGAGGTTCAGACGCGTCCTGCCTAGGATGGTACTGGGATCTGCGGTGATAATATTATCTTCGTCAGGTAGTTTTGCGGCGGGTTTTGGCTGCGACCCAGGTGACTTTTCCGTGTCTAGAGACTCGTCTGTGTCACGAACGACTTCCTTAATACTGTCGGAAATGTCAATGATCAAAGGTACGACAGTCGGGTAGAGCGTATTGTTGGAACCATTGACCCTAAGCTCGGCATTGAGTGATGGGTCTTGTCCATCGTCATTGTACTCCACTTTGAGAGCTACGCCCGGAGCTCGCAGGGCCGTACTACTGGTGGAGCTATCCCCAATAAATTGGCTATAACGCCCTTTTTGCTGCGATCGGCTGTCTTTGGGTGAGGCCGCATCATTGCCACTTAGATGTACAACCGCACCAGCGAAATTGGCATCGACAAGCAGCGAAGCCCACCTCTTGTTCCCAAATGGATTCTTTCGCTGAGCTCCGCTGGTAGTCGGTGTCATATTCCAAGTGGCTGAAGAAGCGCGAAATTTCTTGCCTGCTAGGGCAATTGATCGCTCAATGACATTCGCTGGAAGGATAAATCGAGAATCTAGTCGAAGATCAAGGCTCTTTCCAGCAGCTTGGAAGGCAATCTTTCGCGTCTCTTTGGTAGAGCTATACGCGACGTTGAATACCACCTCAGGAAGTAGAGCTGAATTTGGAGATCGTTGCTTCTTGTTCCCAGAGACTGGCACCATCTGTAATCGCATGTCCTCGATCGCTAGACGTGCAGCGTCATCTCGCCGTGTCGAAAGATCAATTCTCCTAAATGATAAGACGAGATCTTCTGATTCTGTTCGTGGATATGGAGGGATTGAAGTCCCTACGACCCAGCTGATCTGAATGTTCAGCAGCTCGAGTGAGTAGGTTGAGCTAAATAGAGCTCCAGAGCTGAGGCTATCAACCTCGGTGTTTGTTTCGCTCTTCTCGCGCCTGTGGGAGGTACGACTCTTAGTATGACGGAGCCTGCGTAAATATTTCTTCTCTTTTGACAGGTCTAAATCCTTGATCTTATCCTGGAGATGATTCACCACATCTACAACCGCCGAAGCAGTATCAGCAAATATATTAACCTCTAGCTCTGAGCTTCTGACGCGATATGCTCTTCGACCTAGCTCTGATTCTCCCTGAGACGTGGCTTGGAAGGTTGCGCCAAATGTAAGGTTTCCGCAACGACGGATAGATAATGAGTCAGTTAAGCTCATCTCAACATTGATTTGCTGTAGGTGTGCAACTACCTCTGGCAGGGCTAGAATTTCCAGATACGGGCCTATGTTTGTAGCTTTGACTTGGATGCAAGCCACCTTAACAGCCAAATTGGCTGTAGGTGAGTCGGGTGACTGCCCAGGAGCACTCGCGAGGATATTGAGACCAGAGAGTGTCATTTGAACGCCGAACACAACATCTTGTGATGGGGGAGGTGTCTTTGCAACCGGCGATTGAGTCACATCGGGGAAGATGTCCTCAATGTGGGTTTTAAAGACCGCTAAGTCCTCTTTGATGGCATGAACAACACTGGAAATTTCAGGTTTGTTGATTGTGGAGATTAGTGCTTGGATTTCGGACGCCTGAACATGCATTGTTTCGATAATCCCAGAGGCAAAGATTTTTATTTCCTTTTCCGTATTGGTAACGGTCAAGCGGCCGTTGACAGGAGGTAATTGCAATGAACTGATGACATTGGACCCTTCAATCGAGCTGCTATACAACCTGTGGGTATGGCCCTCAAGGTCGTAGTTGACCTTAAGCGTAACGTCTTGCCCAAGGGTTGGGACCACCGAGATTCGACCAGATGAACCGGTAATAGACCAAGTGAGTGCTTGAAGCAAGGCTAACTCGATAGTATATGCGTCCATGAGTAAGGCTACCGTGATGATAGGAAGTTGAGCCACTGCTACGGTACGCTGACTTGAGCCAGTCTGCTTCTTGAGAGTTTGCCGTATAGACGTGACTTGGTCGTAGAAGTAGGCAACCTCGTCACGGAGAACAGAATCGATGACCTCAATGAATCCAAGGATGTCTTCTTTAACCTGCAACTCGATCATTCGACTTGCACTGGCTATTTTGATTTCATCGGGCATTGATTCGCCAGTACGATACTCGTGTCGGGCGAAGTATAAACTGGGATAGTCAAATTGTGACCGAAGCATTAGCCGAGATCGAGAGAGGAGCTCCATAACAGCCTGGTCAAGGTGCAAAAGCACGGTTATCGTGTCACCATGGCCAGAGGCTCTATTGTCAGAACCAACAACAGAAAGCCGGAATTGGCGTCCCCTGGAGATACTGCGAAGGTTGACGGTATCCAAGCTAACTTCAGCTTTATCTGTCACATATATGAGCTGGAAATTATGATCCTCGCCCACATTGTCGTCGAGTTGCGTCGAAACTGGCTTCGGCTTGGGGGAAGTGTTGGAACCCTTTTGCAACTTGCCATCTTGAAAAATCTTGACCATAATTTCAAACAGCTCGCAAATCTCCCAACTGAGTCTGATAGAACTATCCCCAGTGTTGATTTGTATAATCGTAGACTTCTTGGGAGTCTCAGTGCCAATGAGCATGAGACCTGTTGGCCTAGGTGGGGGAATGATTGCGACATTGATGGCTAACATTCGTAGAGCAGCCTCGCTCTGCTTAGGACCCGGATCAATGATCAATTTTACCATAGCTGACCGGATGTCCAGATACAGTGGGGAAGCCTGCGAAAACCCTTTCTCATCCGTTGGTGATTTATAGAGTGTCCTCATCGCCAGACTTTTCTTGACATGAGCTAAATCCCAGGTCCGCCATCGGTCCCATGACGAGATGACCTTGTCTTCAGCTCCTTGAGGACAGTCAATAGATGAGTGGGAGCACTGGTCAAGCAGTTTCGTTTTATCACTCTCTGGTAGGCAGAGCCAAATGTAACGAAGCCGGGATATAATTTTCCACGAGTCGTGGTTGCGAAGGTGATCTCTTGCGGCTCGGAGTGCGTACGACGGTCTTGTTAAGAATGCAGGGTCTGGGATTTGCTCTTGCGAGTTGGTGAGGAACCATGCTAGGTAGCGGAGACGTAACTGCTGTTTTGCTTCGATGTGCTCGAACCTTGTTCCAAGATCGTCCACGAGTAAAATTGTTCGGTGGATGAGTGAGGCTAGATACTCAATCTTACGGCTTGCAGTTGCAACCTCAAATGCTCTGAAAGATAGATTGACCGAAGCATCTTTGCCCTTCAGCATCCACACAAGGAGATCTGTAATTTCGGCTTGAACCGCAACGCCATCATTCGGAATCTGGAGGGCCCTTTCCGTCACGGATATACCAAGTGAACCTAGGGTGGTGTGAAGAGAGACGGTGTTTTCGCCACCTCGCTCACCAGGGAGACTCTTAATACGAGTGACAAGATTGAGCTGGTTCAATATCAGGTCATACTGGTCTTTTCCGACTTCGATCTCACTCTCAACATGGGAAGTGAAATCACTCCCAAAGCGTAGATGAGCAAATGGAATGCGAATGTTGAACTCGATGGATGTTCCCTTTCCCTCACGTCGCTTCTGATTGTTGAGGATCTTCATCATTACATCGATTTGGAACACATCTAACATATCCTCTGGCCTTGCAGGATGAATGAGCTCCATAAAATTCGACAAGCACCGGACAGCTTCTGGGGTGCAATACATCCGAATACCCGGCTCAGCGCTGATTAGAAGGCTAGTGTGATGAAAGCTCTCGTCAAGATGTTTGGTGGGCATATCGTTAAATGTAGGCAAGTCGTCGTCGTTTTGGTCGAAACTAGATGACAGTGCTGGGAAAACTGGCACATCGGACAGGTCTGGCTCGACTTGGTCCAGGGGAAAGTATGGATTCGTTAAAGAGCTGGACAGAGCGAGAGAAGAACGAGGAAGATTTCTGCGCTGTCTTTCATCGTTGCTTGGAAGGAGATACTGGCGCTCGGTGCTCATTGTACGCGAGGGTGACCCACCAAGTAACGTTCTGCTCTGGCTAGACTCAACGGTGCGGCTGTTTGCTCGATGTTGATGAATGGAGTGAATGCTGTGAGCAAGGGAGCCTATTGAAGCCGATCGCATCCGGGGAGAGCGCAACTGTCGCCCCCTTGTGGAAGTTAGTTCGGAGTAATACCCTGACGAGATAGATGATCGATTTACGTCACGTTGAGGTTTGAAAAGGAAGATAGGATGCGGAATTTCTGGGAATTGCATTGCAGGAGGTTTAACACTGTCCCTGTGTTTGTCATGACGATGATCAGCAGGCGACGGATGGTCGATGAAAAGGAATTGTGCGCGATTGGTCCTCTGGTCGTGTTCTTGCATATGAGTTTGTTGCTTGTTACGTTCCTCCGTGAAGTCCAGTTTTCGTTCCAGCATATTCAGTGACACAGTGGTGTGGATAAAAGCATGAGTTCCAACAACGTGCTTCTCGCCTGTTCGAGACCTGTGACGAGAGTGAGCTCTTACGTTAACAGCTCCAAGGGTTAAGTCGGGGACGTAAGCTTTTAGACGCTGGGAGAAATTCGTGCCGGCTAGGTCATTGAAATCTAGGTTGATGGGACCGGTACTTAAGAGTACAGCTTCCTTCGCAATATGGAGCCATACATGGACATTTTGCGTCTTAAGTCGGAGAAACGTTGAATCATGGATGACCAAAGGCTCGGCTATTGGAAGAGCGTTCTCATCATCGTCAAATGTAAAAGCAAATGATCGTATAGCGCCAACTGCTTGTTTGATAAAGTCGGAAGTGCATTCACCAGATATCTTTCCGACGTCGAAGTCCCAGTTACAGAGATATGTGGGTTCTGCAGGTGGCAGTCCAAAGAGGCGGTGGCCGTATATAGTCAATGATGCAATGAACACCTCGGTCTGACCACTGAAATCATTTGGTAAACCTGAACTGGTGATTGAAGTCCCGAGGGAGATGCTAAGAGGACTGAAATCTACCATGAGATCCATATAATAATTTGTAAACCTGAGGTCGGCTGACGCATAAGGTAGATCGACGCGAAGACTATTCTCTGATGAATAGAGATTTGAGGGCAAAAGAACGTTGACCTGATCTGCCGAGATGCAGAGAATCACGTCGAGGTCATTCGAGACCTTCATAGACTGGTCTTTTGGCGTGGTATCGTCCACTGCTAGACTCAGGGTAGGGAGTTCCTGGAACTCTTCAAGGGTCTTGAAGTGCAGATCGTCACCAAAATAGTTATCCTTTATTTTCATGAAATGATGAACAACAAAGCCATAGAGCTCGAGAGCTAGTCGACTGCCCTGGATATCCATATAGAGCCGATCGGTGTTCATCGACGATGTCTCGGACATATAGGTATGGCTGCCTTTGAGAGTCAAACCACCTAGTTGCGCTACATTCGTCGAACGGACGAAGGCGTTCAAGGAATTTTTGGATGGCATACAGAGCTCCAGTCCCATATCTTGGGCCCGCAAGTTGAAATGAATTTCGTTTTGAAGTGGCCTGAATCGATCGAGTGGTATCGTGAGGTCCCCATACAAGCGTTGGCCATAGAGAATAATGAAGTTGTTGTCATCTATATCGGATGGGTTGTTGACAATGTTCGAGTCGTTAGTATTGAGGTATAACTTAAAGTCCACGAGGTTGATGTTTAACAGGTACTGAAAGGGGACAAACGTGAAGTAGCGTGAAGGGGGACCGGATCCCCAGTCTGCAATAAGGTCTGTGATGAGAAATAGATGATCTCTGAGCAAGAAGAGCTCTAAATCACGACACGAAATGTTGAAGATCCATTTCCGTAAACTGTTCCAGCTCAGGGGATTTGACAGATCGCAGTCCAAGCCGATTGTGCCTGAGCGCCACAGCAACCCATGGTTAACGCTCGATGATATCTCAGTGCCTATGATGTCCACATCTAAGTTGTTCTTGTATCCTTGCTCCCCAGCGACCATGTCCATGACGTAGTTCACTGTAGAATTCCCAGCAACCTTTATATCAATCCAAGCAAAAGGACGTACATTGGGACCAGCAGTGCCTTTGTCTCGATGTTTCGCTCTGATTGGCTTCTTGCGGGCCCTAGGCTTAGGATGTGCTTTGTCTGTGGCTTTCTTCTCATGTCCTGTTAAGGTATGCGCTTTTCCCTTCCATTTCCAATCTTTCGAGGACTCACGAACCGGGATACGGAGTACAGTATCATTTTCGATGCTCAAAAAGAGTTTGAAGATCGACAGCACCCTCAATTCTCCGGGGTTTAAAGGAGAGGCCGCTACAGCATCGACGTGCGCTCCCGGGAAGAAGAAAGATTGGAAAATCACTCGTTGGCGATCGGCCCACGGACCATAGTTGATGATGCCTCCATACACTTGAATGTCCATGCCGTATTCGGGAGGTATGCCCCCATTGATATCTTCCGGGCGAGCAGGATCAAATTGAACACTGTTTTCGGCATCGCTGGGGACCGGTGCTGGGATGTCCCAATAGAAGCTCACGTTGATGCAGGGACAGTCTGCAATAAGAGAAGATCTCCCGTACTCAACCCCATCCCACTCCCCATGGGCATCGTTCTGACTGTTATCTAAGTAACGCGTAAGACCCTTCCAGCGTTCCTGTCCAGGAAATTCCATTTGGGCTCCGAAAATTTTCGCAGCCATCCCAGATTTCGACGCGGGGTGGGTGTGGATGGAGTCTGTAGACTTAGAAAACAGTGCCGAGAGACTCGAGAAGCCACTACTCCAGTGCCTACGCTGCCTCTTGGTGCGCGCACGCTTCTCGCTCTCCTCTTTTTCGGGGATGCTATGATCCATCTCTTGCTTAATATGCATGGCAGACTCTAGCTGGTGGGACTTGAAATCGGGATTGGGCTTCAGGTGTACAACAGGATGTGTGAATTGGAAATTGAAGACTTGTTGGTATACATCTAGGGCTCTGCAGGGAGCTGCATCAAATTCGCCGCTTGCCTTCTCGAACTGGGCCGTTATGATAGAGGTAGTGTGCTCGTTTCCAACAACAATGGCACCTTTGCTGCAGTCAAAATGAATGGGCAACAGCCGAAGAAAGGAAGGGGGGTCATCTGGTTTTGTCTTTCGGGGCTCAGCGTGTTCTTCCCCGTCTGGTTTAACATTGTCCTCAGGAGCATGGCCCTTCAGATTCTTGTGGCGTCCTTCCTCGGTGTTCGTATTCACCGAACCGGTCACCGAGCCGTTCTTTCCCAGTTCAGACATTGAACCCTCAGCATGATGTCCACCTGGTTTGGCGGAATCATTAGCTTTGCGCTGTATCGCATCGATGATACCATCGTAGGCTGGGCTACGATTGTACATGAAGGCTTCCACACCGGAGACCTTGATGGAGATTCGACATGGCAGGCGTTTCTGTGTCTGCTTCCCTCCCTTTTCAGCTTTGTCTGCCGTCCTACTTCGGCTACCAGAGCGGCTGCCTTCGGTCGTGGGGGTCCGGTTGCCATCGCCGCCATGGGAAGGACGCTCATCGGAGTGGATCTCTGCCTCCTTGACCCGCCGTATCCAGTATTGCCACGTGATATAGCCGCCATGTACCAAGATAGTCTCATTGTGCCCGTGGTACCGTATGTCTTTGAAGAATATGCGGCCGCCGAGGAGGGAGATCTGGAGAGCTTGGATGTCGATGTAGGCGCGGTAAGTGTGCCAGGTGTACGCTCTGATGCCGTAGGAGACAACAGTAGCGAAGAGCCGGTTGAAGTAGAAGAGGAAGAAGACAGTCCTGGAGCAGGTGAGCAGCCGAAGAAAAATCGGAGGTTCTTCAGGAGCCTTACAAGATGCCACAGATGAGCAATTCAATGAGGAAGACCCTAGCTACAGATTAGAGGTTGGACTAGAGCGACGCGGGAGCGGCTAACCAGTTGAAGCCGACGTGTGGATTCAACGGCTCTGATACAATGCTCCGGGCCATGTTGGCAGTTGGGTGAGGTTCGGGGACGAGGGTCGATCATGGCGGTCCGGCGCAGACAGACTGCATTATGGCGCGTCCCAAGAAACCACCCAAAACTGAGAGTCTAGAGGTTGCTTCAGACGATCACCGGAATTGTCCTGAGTGAGCATCCCAGGACTTGGCGGTTGGCAATGGGTGGAAGGCAGTCGGAGAAACATGCATGGGTGCCGCGAATCTCGAATCTTGGAATGCGCGTCACAGACCCGTTGTGGCCCAAGCTTCTCTGCATCCACCTCGACCTGGACGCCAAACCTTCCTCTAGACACGCACAAAGCCTGGAGGATCGTGATAGCGCCGGACACGCCATGGTTACGTTCTTGCACTGACCCTGCTGCCTACTTCGGGGTCTGATTCACTTACTCTTTCCCTCTTTACTTCCTCCTGGAGGTTTGTAGCGGCGTGCCTCCGTCCACCATGTCAATAGGCAACCTCCACACCACGGGGTCCCCAGATATGTCCCCTGGCGGCACTGGAGACCGCTTTGCGCATGCCGTTATTATCGTCGCCGGCGTAGCAGCTTTGGTTGCAAGTTTAATCACAGTCCTGTTTGTTTCCCCTCCCCTTTGCTATCTCCCTCTCATCCTGACGTAGTGCACAGGTCCATCTGGCTACAGGCGTAAGCATAGCCACCTCCGAAGCTCAATGAAGTGATACTAACATGACGTGTTAGCAAAAACTATAGAAAGCCCTTACTACAGAGATATGTGGTGCGGATACTGGTCATGTGCGTGCCTGCCCTTTTGCACTGGTAGCTTGGGTCATAATTCCTTAGGGTCCCCATCTTCTCAGCCTCCTCGTGGGCAAGCCTGGTCTCTTTGAGAGCAGCATTTTGGATTGGACCAATTAGGGATGTATACGAGGTGGGCGCTCTTCTTGTCATTTTGGGTGATCAACATTACTCACGAGCTGCAAGGCATTTACAATTTACACCTTCTTTCAGCTGTTGATAAACTTTATCGGCGGCGAGCGTGCCCTCATCATTTTGATGACTGGTCGTCCACCTGTGTCGCACCTATGGCCGATGAACTATTTTCTCCCCAAAGTTGACATTTCCGACCCTCACACTTTTCTTGCAATCAAACGCGGCATCTTGCAGTACACCTGGCTGAAGCCCATTCTCTCGATTGCTGCAATAATAATGAAGGCAACTGGAACATATCAAGAAGGATACATTGGCCTCGCGTCTGGCTACTTCTGGAGTGGCCTCATCTACAACGTCAGCATTAGCATCAGTTTGTACGCCCTTGCCATGTTCTGGGTCTGCATGTTGCACGACCTGAAACCGTTCCGACCAATGCCCAAGTTCCTCTGCATCAAAGGGATCATTTTTGCCTCTTACTGGCAAGGCTTCTTCCTATCTATACTGGTTTGGCTGCGTGCTATTCCGGGAGACGTTCCCGGCTACACCCCTGACAATCTTGCCGCCGCAATCCAGGACGCACTCATATGTTTCGAAATGCCCTTCTTCGCCGTGTCGCATTGGTACGCCTTCTCATGGCATGACTACGCCGATGACACGATTTCGGCCGCACGTATGCCGGTAAAATATGCTCTTCGCGATGCATTCGGGCCACGTGATCTCATTGAAGATACGAAGGAAACCTTCGGAGGAGGCAACTATGAGTATCGGGACTTCGATGCACGCGACAACGTCTTAGCACATGAGGAGTCGTCATCCCGAGAGGCAAGAATGAGGGAAGGCATGCGGTATGAACGAGGTGGCAAGGGAAAGTATTGGATACCGAAGCCCGGCCAACAACGTGAGCACGAGCCGCTTTTGTCGAAAGTTACCTCTAGTCGGGCTAGGACGATGAGCCCTGGAGCCCACCGCGCCCTTGACACAGCTAAATATGGATCTACTGAAAACGACGAGGATCCAATGCTGAATCCTGAAGACGAAAGGCTGTTTGACAATGCTAGGGCGCTGGAGTTTGGAGACTGGAATGTAAGTTTTCGGCCATGTTGGCAACCTGGCCTTCCTCACACTGCCGCAGTATCCAGTCATTGAGGCTCATCGAGCCACTCGTGAGAATCGTTTGTACTCAAGCCCAAACATTGTAACCGCATCCACGAATCGGAACTTGTTACAACCCACTAGAGAGAACAAGCGACGACGAAAGAACAAGATAAAGGAAATCCAACAGTCAGCTGACAAGGGAAAGCGTCGCAGCAATTCAAGTGGTGAACCATCCAGCTCAAAGTCAAGAGCTCTTCCGTTAGGCAATCCCCTACGCCAGAAGTCATCATCATCCTCTAGCTCTGCCAAGTCAGAAAGAAGCCAGCTAGTCGATTTGGTCGTGGAAGATCATGAGGCGGAGGAAGTTGAACGGGTCCGAGCACGGAAGGAAGGCGGTCCTGGCTGGAATGAGGTTGCCCCAAAACACTTCGTGTAAGTTTTACCTCTAATGTGTTCTCATTCAGGTCTCTCCTGACGCATGCGTAGCCACACGTATCCCCAACAGGGACATCAGGAAGAGGTGCGCGAGGGTTTCGACCCCGACCATCCCCAGCCGCACAATCCTGAGCGGGCCCACAACTTAGACTCGCCATTCGCAGTCGGCGATGAAGTGGACGAGGAGGACAAACTAGATCGAAAACTGATTATCTCAGAAGAGGCAGAGCAATGGGAGCACCGAGACAATCATGACGAACCCGATCAGCGCCCAAGCCCACAGTATGGAAGTTTCCGGGAAGAACGCAATGTCTGGGGCGAAGGGTAATCGAAGGTAGCGCGGCGGGTAACGCTGTGAAGAAACGCTGCAGAAAAATGAAGGACTTGTGGGATTAGACACTTTATTTTTACGATGAAACCTTGACCAGCACATGCCTTCCGACTTTTGGAGTCCGCCATTTTCGCAACCCTGTTCTATACCCTTTCGGAGATGCTTTTATGACATATCTTTGAGGCCTTGTTTGATTCGATTGTTGATATTTGGAGCCGGATAGAAAGTGATATTAAGTAGAAAGTTAGGACCATGTAATTCAGCTCTTCGGTTCAAACGGCTGCCATCCCACGCTTGAGGAAGGCCATCACGTGTGCTTGAATCCACACAAACCAACCACGATCGATGCACGACATCCGCGGGGAACGATGCCTCGTTAAGGGGAGCGAGCCTTGCGTTCGGCCACGGTCGAGTAGTTGGGGTGTTTCTTTTACTGAGTGATCCCGGCCACGAAACGCAACACCAAGGTCCTCGAATGGTGCCAGGTGGTCAATCTTTATAATACCTCCGGAGTGCTTCAGAAGATGCAGGGTAGCGGCGTCATTGGCCGCGCGACTTAGAGTGCTGAGCCAAATCAACGTGCGACCGTTTCATACCTCTCTGCAAACCATTCCAATGACGCCTCGCAGTCGCAGCTAAATTTGCTTTTGACACGGCGCGACGGCAGACGGTTGGGACAGGACGGCTGGCTTGGTGCCAGTCAGGATGGCCTTCCCAAGTATGTTGGTCGCGAATGGGGACTCGGTAGTCTGCCAACCGGCTGTCAGTCTGAAGCTTCAAGCGCTGAGGAGTATTGAGTGGATGGCAGCGTCGGCGGTTAGGCCAACGCATGCAGATGCCCTGCCAGTGTCTGCCAATCAGGGCGCCCAGGACCCCTCCCCCCGCCCCAATTCCTCGCTCCTCCCATGTCTCCTCCTCTGTCGACCTCAATTGCTGGCACACCCAATATGGCTACGAACACCATCTATTGGGCGCTTGCGGACATGGCCCCAGCCCTGTTCGCCATATATTATCATGAATTCTCGCTCCCCTTCTCTCGACCTGGACTGGCCGGCCGGACCTGCAGCACCTTGAAAGAAAGGCTTGCATCTGCCCTGCCTGCAGGCGGTCACTCTCCTCTCTTGTTCGTTCTTCGATAATCTTTTAAGCCCATCGGCGTGCCTCTCCTTTCCTCTTTTCTGTTTCTTGCTTCTGTTCTTGTACCTTGTGTTGCGTTGCTCGAGCAGAACCTCTAGGAGCGAGTATGCTTGCCGGGTAAGCAGACATGGCTCACCAAACCTTCCCTGTCGAACCACGAACTCCATGGCTGGCCATCTCTTTTGGATGCTGTGCATCCCATCGTGGCAGCACTGAGGACGATGGAGCTGTGCTTCGAGCAAAGGGTATGCTTGCTTCTTTTCACTCACTCCCTTTCACCGTAGCTGTCAGCTGTCTCTCCCGTTTTCGACGTTCACATATCCTTCCCCCTCCTGCATGGTTGAGCTGCACCGCTCTCGGATAATTTTTCTCCCCTTAATATGGTTAATTGCTTCTCTACGCCTGCCAATCTATTCTCGCCGTCGTTTCTATCGATTCATATGTCGTCATTATTGCAGCATGGATCGAGGCTGATGGAATCTATCAGGTGAAACTGAGATGCGGATATGCTACGACCAACCGCAACCAGTAGCCCAACCTCGAGCAGAGCCAATCTATGCTAGGCCCAATACCAGCCACTCCATGAGTCGCCATGTCTCACAATGGGTAATCAGTGGTCGAGAATTTGCTACTCGAGCCTCATCACGAGCGAGCATTCACACGATCCACAAGCCACGGACGTCGCACTCCAAAAACCGACCAAGCATTGGACGACCCACGGAATTCCGGAAAACTGATGGTCTCGATGGCTTCGACGGGATCCAGAGCATGCTTGATGAAGCACCCATGCCCATCCGCCGCCGACGTAGCTTTCAACCACTGGAACTATCAATATATCTCCCTGATGGCCGTCTCTCCCCCTTGCCCGACTTCTCAACCGTTGAATGGGACAAGCTTCCAGCAGAGCTGGAGATTCCTGCGCAGGCGCTAGTCCGCGACCGAGATTCGCGGACGAATTCAATCTCATCTAATCCATCTACCTCGTCGTATCTCATCCAACGGAAACCAGTTGGGTCTGGATCACGACGCTCCAGTGTGCAGTCGCAGAACTCGATTCAACAGTCGAGGCCTGTCTCTGCATCGCTACCATTCATGGTGGAGGAGTCGAAGAGTCGACCAGACTCCTCGATCAGCAATCCCAATGCTTTACAACGCTCCAGCACTCACAGCTCCCTTGCTTCTCCCCGCAGGATAACCTCAAGACTATCGTCACCATCCCGCTCCCGTGCAAACACCGCAAATTCTGAACGCGGAAGCTTACGGAAAGCAAAGACTGATGTCGATGAAGCAATCCGTGAACTCAACACCATCGTTGAGGAACGCCGTGCCGATGCCTACCGGTCTAACAACCAGTCACCTGCCCTCATTAACAGACCACCTCCATCACCCTCCCACCACGTTCCTCTTATTGCCCCGTCCCTTAGAATGCGTGTTCGTTCAGAAACTCTCTCTGACATCGGCTCTGCTTTCTCAGTCCCCCTAGCTAGCAAGCCTCTCCCAACACCCCCACCACCACCTATGTCGAATCCTCTGTCTCGTGCTACCACTAAGCTCAGTCTGACACCACCATCTCACACACCAACTGGCGGTCCACTGACCTCAAATCCCATCACTCCTCCAACACCTACAATACCTACGCCAACGACTCCCATCCACCGTCTGGGAGCCTGGCTTAAGCGATCAATTCCCACAACGCCAACCTCTCCCTCATTCTTCAAAACCTCATCCTCGACCTCCAAATCGCAAACCCCACCAGCAACAACCCCCTCTCAAGCACCCTTCTACCAGTGCACACCCTCGCTCCCTCCATCTCGCGGAACCGCCACCGGCACTAACAACACAACACCCGCGTCCCGCCCCACAACAGCCGGCTCCCGAACCGTCGTCCACACGCGCCAAGACAGCAACGACACGGCTACCGTTACCCTCTTCTCCACCTCAGCCTCAGGCTCCTATCCCAGCACACCCGCCCTTTCTACCCGCTCCAACTCCCCGTCCCCATCCCACAAATCCCCATACTCCCCCCAATCTCCCGAAACCCCCGCTACCCCTGCTCGCATCAATCTCCTCAAAGGTGAAGGCAAAACACGGCGCGTCCCCGCACCGCTTAGCCTCGCGAAAGAGAAGGAGATGATGGTGGAGGTGGAGGTGCCATTGGGGAGTGCGAGGAGTGTGGCGAGTACCAGAAGTGGGAGGAGTCTGAAACCGCCGCCTAGTCCAAATTATGCGTTACTGAGGGGTATGGAGATTCCCGTGAGGACTGGGGGTGTGGGCAAGAGGGAGAGTGCGTTGAGTGCGAGCCCGGTTAGCCCAGTTGGGGTGGCATTTTGAGAGAGAGGAGAGCATGAATGGGTGGTGGATGTGTAGGTGAGAGCGAGAAAAAGAGAGGGAAGAAGATGGACGATGAACATGGGTATCGTGGTGTTCGTAGGGAGACTTGAAGGTTGAGCATCATGGAACAGTTGGATACATGCATGCAGTGGTAATTTTCTATGCATATCTTGGCATTGTTCACGCAGTCGGGGTCAGGGCCACGGCCAGGAAGCTTTGGACATTTAGACGTTTGGATGGGCTAGGAAAATGGGAACGGGAACGGGAACGGGAACGGAATTGGGCACTGAATTGGGAATGGAAGCTGGATGAGTGAATTGAACCAGTCATCAAACCCACGCCAAACCCTCCAAATCACCACATCACAACAAATATCAACATCACCTCAACGCGCGCCGGCTTATACCCTCCGCAGACTTCTCCTTCGATTTTAGCGGACGCCTCGGTGCTCCTTTCCCCTCCCCATCCTCTTTCTCATCATGATGTTGGGTGAGGTCTCGTTGCTTTTTGTAGATAGTCGAATTACTTTTGCATACCATAGATACCTACTTTTTAATGCAGGCAGAAGCGGGGAAGTTTTTTCTTCTTCTCCAAAACGGGACAGTGCGGGGCATGGAAACCCGAAAGCTTATTTGCGAATGTGAATGTGAAGACAGAGATGTATCCAAGTGATGAATGGGTAACCTTGTAGAAAATGGATTGGATTGGATTGGATTGGACAGGACTGGGGATTGAGAGACGTGCGTGCATGGAGCTACGGAGACTTTAGGAAATGATGGATTGACATTTGATATCCAAGGAAGCGATATAAGCGCGATGATATGTGCTGTACTAGGTAGGCCTTGGATCCTTTCAAGACGTTCATGTACACACAGAAATACCGCACCCTCCGCGTTAGAAATGGCTAGTCCAGTTCGCTCCCAAGAGCTCAATTTGTGAGGGACATTCTAAAACCACTCCTTCGCACGCCACGTGTGAAAGTTCTGCAGCTGGTGCTAGTGCTGCTTGACCCGTGCCCGTGCCTGTCCCTGCCCGCGTACTTGTATGTGCCTTTTCCTAGGATCTCTAGCAAATCACAACGCGAAGATGGGGGTTGAGGCTGTGATTTGTTGTCTACGAGTACCTAACATCGACCCGCTTGAGTGGGCGAATCATGGGCGACACATTTGGCAAGGCTCCCAATACGGCGCCTTCGGATCTTGATTCGCAAGTTGGCTGTGGGCCGCGGCCGTCTTTCGGGTTTGCTCTGCGGTACGGAATTCGGTCTTATGGCGCAATTGGTAGTTGACAAACGAGAACCAGGCGAGTAAGCTCCGTCCTCCAGTGAGCTCGAGCACTTGTGAGTGGCGGACAGGATCATCTCTGTGCTTGCTCTTGCGTGATCTGATTGCGTGAGGCTTGCATGTGCAGCGGGAAAGAAGTTTATCGAGACGTCTTTCTCCGTCCCTTTACTTTACTCTGATTGGGATGCCACTCTCTAATCAAGTGAGACAATATCCACCTAAAGGCTGCTCTGATCGGAAGAAGCGAAGGAAGTCAGAGCTATAGACCCCAGATATGTCCAGGACCGCGAGGATTGTGTGGACTGAGGAAACTTGGATAGGGTTGGTTAAGAGTTCGCTAGGGGATGCGAGGTGAAAGGCAGATGGAGATGCAAATTATTGATCCTGAGGGCTGTAGAACCGCATTAGATGTGCTTGAACCGCCTAGGAGGGATACTTTATATCGATTCGGCTCAGTTGAGATGTAACTTCACTGCATGGAGCAGAATGAGGCTAGGCTAGAAGGGAACGAGACGCCACTAGCTTGGATCTGCATTTGCTCGCTGGCCCGCCGCTCGTTCTGGTGAGGCTTCTCACTTCTTCAGGAGAAGTGATGAGTTGTGGTTGGTAATTGGAAAGATGGGGCTGATTCAGTGCGAGGCGATTCGATGAATGATTACTTACAAAAAACAGAAGACCGGAGTGACCGACGGCAACGGCATCGCCGGGAAAGCTAGTCGCAGGAGAAAATGAGGTCTCTTTGGCTATTGATGGACAAGGAAGCCCACCTGTAGATCTAGCTACCAATGTGTTTCATAAGCCACAGCCACAGAATAGTTAAAGTTTAAGGCTTGTTGAAAGATTCTGAAGAGTTTATGAACACTTGTAACTTCCTATTTGGGGGAGTATATCGCAACAGTGTGAGGTTGAGCTAAATGACAATTTCTAGAACGAGAGGGTGGTGATCTTGCAGCTCGCCGTGTTGCTATTTTGAGTCCTAACTGGCCTTCGTGGAAACAGTGGGTCATCAAGTAGTGTGAAGGTGGGCAGGTACCTGGGGTAGCAAAACTTTATTTCGCCCAAGGATTAGGACGTAGAATATGTCCATTGCCTGCTTGGCTAATGGCTGGCGGCGTACAGTGAGTCTTTCACAGGGAAAAAGCATTCCGTGATTTCTGTCTGATAAATAGATTCATATCTAGTCATGTACAAGATTAGAGTATGAGGCTATGTTCGGAGTAACTGATTTAGGTCGACGGAGGTAGAAGAAAGTGCTTCACCGGTCGAGGAAGGAAGTAGACCGAGGCAGACGTGCGGCAGCAATAACATGTGTGGCAATGAAGATCAAAGTGGTCTACTACATCTAGTAAGCAGGATACTGCATGCAGAACACCGTTAGAGTACTGTGGCATATTATCCATGGAATTCATGAAATGGTTCAAGTTCAAGTCGAGCAATGTTCACTCCTCCTAGAATTCCGCTTCTCTTAAATTCTCTTCAACAGGACACCAATCTACTACATCAAATTGCAAACAGAAACATGTTTAAGATACATTCACAGACCACAGACTAATCTGAATAATGCTAATTCCTCACTTGAACACTGTAAACAGGCTTCCGGCTCAAGTCAATGGCTCAAAACCTGGCAGAGTCACGTGCCTCAGAATCAAGGAGAAAAAGTGATTCTGTAGGACATCATACTTCTTCATGGAAAATAAAATGGATGCGGACATACGTAAGGGAATTTGAAACTCACCAGTGATTGTTACTTGCTCGAAGGACGCGAAGAGGCAAGTGAAACCGTAATAATTGAAGTAGTCGCACATCGGTGATTAACAAGCAAAGCTGATTGTACGCACAAAGAAGGTGGCTTGTCGATTCAAAGTGTGGCGACTGTGATTCGGATCGGATGTTTGTGGCTTCCAAGCACCGATTGGAGAACCGTTGCGTGGCCGAAACAGCCTGTCGTCGCCCAAAATCGAGCATGGTTTATGCGAGTCACCCGTGTACGTGTGCCCATCGAGAACGATCACTTGGTCTGAAAGGGCTACAGCGGAGTTTCCGATAAGGCTTTTAGTGACGACCTGGTCTTTGGGATGGAGCCCTTGCTTCCCTCGAGGCTACATAGAAGCTCGTGTAACGGGATGCAGCAAGAGCCCGGGAACCAGGTCGAGAGGGGTGGTTACAAGTGGTGATCACAGTAAAGCGTAGATTGGGTCTCGGTCGAGACAGGAATGAGAATTAGATATCCATTTCTAACTTCTCCAAAGTGATGGAGAGGTGATGGACTGGCGGGGTGCCGAATGCAAGAATCGCATGATGGTCGCCTATCATTCACGAGTCCTGTCATCCTTGTGGACGGCCCGATGGCGGTTTGTGGTCGCTGTACTGCATCAAATCCTTTTGGGGTGGAGTTGCAGAACAAGTCCCAGAGGCCAGGGATGGAGTATTGCCACTTCTCGTGATAATTGAGGGACCCCCGGCCGCACAAAATCTTCCGCTTGCTGGCTCATGAAGGTGGACGTGACCATCTAAAAATCGACACTAGAAAAGGAAAAGTATGGCCTCAATCCTTTTGCAGTGACGCGCGCCGAGTACGGTGAATGATTGTTGAGACTTTGCACAGCGAACGTGATGCTTCAGGTGGCTGATGAGAGCTGAGGCAAGAGAACCTGTTTTGGTGTAGTAGATGTAACGGGAAAGGAAACGGTAGTTATGTGTGTGCGACCAAAGAAGAGAACCAATTGAGATGAAGAAATAAGGACGTACTGCGAGCTCCGTTGGCAAGCGTCGCACAAGCTGACTCCCCTCACGGCAAGCGCTTCGGAGCAATTACCTTAGAGGGCCGCAACAGTCGCCATTCCAATTATTAGCGGAGATGATTTCGATATATCAGTCGTCGTTCGATGACCGTGGTACCGGCACGGTCTTGCTCAACGGGTAGCTGAAGCTATTCGATGCACCTGTGCGATTAAATGTTGTCCATGCACGTTTCAGCTGTTGGTGACGGAAGACCCGAGGCCATGGTGGGCGAACCTCGTGGAGAGAGATATATCCTGGTCGAAGTCGAGCTATGAAGCCATGGCTCATCTAGAGGCGGTTTTGCGGGAGTTCACGAGGCCTCATCAAGTTAGTCATGCGCAACGATGTCAATGTTGGCGACGCATATCTGCAAGTTGGAGGCACTGGGCGAACTTGATTGACTGAGAACACTTGCTAGGCCAGTTGGCTCCAGCAGGGGAGAGCACGGCAATCCGCTTTGAGGGATCACTGCAGATGATAGCCCACCTTGAACAAGAGCTGGGAATGAGTCCAAACGGATAGCGCTTCAGATGAGAGGATAGATAATTGTCCGTGAAGAGGGCCCAACCAGATGGTGCCCTATCTCTGTGATGCGTAGCTCCGCGGGCGACGATCCCCGGGGAGTGTATGCAAGCAGCAAGAAGTGGTGCAGCGCCAGGACCGGACAGGAGGGCTTGGACGGTTTCTCGTGCAACGCATAGTCAATTCATCATAGACTCTTGAAGCAGCACGAGGCGAACTCGCACTCACGACCTGGCGGAGGTGGGCGGAGGTGGGCGGAGTGTGTGCCGATGATGTGGGTGAAGGAGAATTAATGCAATCAGACGAGGGGAGGAAGTACCGCAAACGATGCAGCGCCGCGATCCGTTTTATCAAAATGCGGAGATGAAACGCAGTATCCCCAGTGGGCAACGTTTGCTGCGTGCTGGGAGAGGATCTGGTTTCGCTGAGGCGCGATGGTGCCTGTGTGGTGCCTGCATAAGCCTGCCGGCCATAAGCTGCATAGCCGACAGAGATGCTCCTGCAAGGAGCCCAGATTGACAGATTGAGAGATTCGAGGCCGTGGCGATGCTGCATGCCCGTTGCTCAAAGAGGATGATTTATGGCGACTAAATGGCGCATAATGGCTGAGCAAAGCGCTGCTAATTCACTGCTTCTGGTTGGTGATGCGGCTGACGTGCGATCGACACAGCCGCAAGCAAGCCGCCGCACTCCGGTTCAGGGTAATGGCGTTGGGTGATACGGTATCAGCTTTCTAAGAATACTTATATACCGGCCACTTTGACCATCCTTATGCTGAGATGGCAGCTCGCTGCGCGCAAGGGAGTCAGGCAGCCGTTGAGTCCGCTGGCGAGCGAGTTGCGGACTGCGACTGTCACTTTTCGTCCGCCCACGCCGCGCTGCTCCTCATCCTTCACGGCGTGGACGTCGCAGAAAATGCGAAGTGTCCAAGTGGACAGCGTTTCGATATTGCTCGAAAACTACAGGGAGTCTCCACTGAGCCTTCAGGAGCCATTTCCGCAGTCAGGACAGAAGTGGACAGTCGACAGCGCCCTCTCGCCTCGTCCTGCCTCGCCGCAGAGACGCAGGAGGCATGAGGCACAATGGTGGTTTCGTTTCTTCCGTGGCCCAGTCCCGAAGCGTCCGCTGCGACTCCGCGAGCCACGGACGCAATAAACAGGGCGACGAGCACTAGGCCTGAGGTGAGCACAAAACGCACGAAACGGACAAAGGAAAGGGAGCGGATGCCCGGGAGAAGGGGAAAGTGGGAGATTGGGGGGGGCCGACGTGGTACAGGACGCAGCGCTCCCTTCCAAGCTCCCATGTTGTCGTGCCGTCGTGAGGTTTGCTGGAGTCGTGAGAGGTGAGAGGTGAACGCGCGCTGCTCGTCCCTCCCAGTCCCGTGAAGTGCTAGGACTCATTGGAAACAGCTTGGCCGCGCCTGGCTGAGGCGGGCTTGATGCGCAGATGCTGACAGGGATGGCGATTAAGGTTGCATGCAAGCCACTCCAGGAATAGATGCCCCGATACTTCGCTTGCTGGGCCTCTCTCCCCAGTGCTCACCATACCTCGCTCTTCTCAGTCTGCCTCCCATCCTGCGACCTCACGATCCACACAGCGGCGAGCGCTCTTCTGAGGCGATGCTTAGCATCACTGTGCATTGGCTGCCAGCGTTAGCCATACACCGTGCCCCTAGCCATTCACCGTGCTCGGGTGCCCTTCACAGCGCTGAATGGGTCCCCCAGGCCCGCACCAGCCAGATGTCCGCTCATAAACATGTCGTCGTGCTGATGCTTGCAGCTAGCATGGGCCCTGCCTATATCATTCTCTGCCCTCACCGTCGCGCCTGGGACCCTCATTCACGTCCAGCCTTGGTTCCTGAACGCTTGTCCTCTCCCCCCATCTGCCCTCTGCATTACTACCCGCACTTCCCATCTGTCTCAGTCCGTCGTTTGCATTGCACACTTCAAATTGCCTCACTCTCCATCGGTACTGCCCACGGATTCTGATTCATCGCTTTGGCCCCGGCCCTCCGCATTCTTGCTCCCTGCCATTGCAAAGGTCATAGAGCCCACTTCAAACCCAGAAACCTAGCCGCTCCCGCCGTCGGCAAGAAATTGCAGACCAAACTATCTCCTCTGTTCTTAGGATAGCATTCTCGAGCTGTCTCGCGTCCCACAGACCCGCCCAAAGCCCGCCACAGTCACCCCAGCGGCACTCTCCACTCATCAGCGGGAGCCGTGCACCTGAGCTGACTACACAGCTACTGCGCCATCCTCGGCCGCCTAGCAGAGCCTCATCGCTCGCGGACCACAGCCCACTAGCGCTGAATCCTGCCGCTGGTGTCTTTTTTTGTTCCGCATAGCTGTCAGTCGCTGCGCGACGTGGTGCTCAACGGTAAGATTAGCAGCCTTCGGGCGCATCCTCAGCATTCGCCGCTTCGTTGGTCTACCAGGTTGACGGGATCGGTAATCACCAAGAGTCATCCGAACCCCTCCAGAGGTCAGTCTACTCACACTTCCTTGCATATCCGCTTGTTCGTCGTCATCAGCCCGGGCCAATCCCACATCCTCCCGTCCTACTGGGCGTGTCGCTGCCTCTCACTGCTCCTGGTATTAACACCCGTCCGACTCCGCAGTCATAGCTCCATCGCTCCATCGCTCCAAAGTCCCATTCCCTTCCGCCAGGCCAGCCTTACCCACTCTGGCCCAGTCGTGGGTCTATGTCTCTCCTCTCTTTGTGTGCTATGTAAGTCATCACTCCCCTAGCACATCGGCATGCTGATCCATTATGCGACAATTCAATTTACATGAACTCACTATCAGTCAGGAACTGACTGTTGCTCTGAATCAGTCTTGTTTGCTACCAGAAAGTGCTTCATCTTCCCGACACCGTCAATAGGAGGCTGCGGTAGCTTGCGGGGTGATAGCTGAGGAGTAGGACTGACCGTGGAGGAGGCAGACATTCAAAGGCCCCCGATTCCCGGATGAATCGACTTTCTGAGCACTTTCATCGCCTGTCCCTGGGTAGGCTTTTTTTGTCACCTTTCCTGGTCACAAGACCCACCAAAACAGTCCCCTCCGTATCAGTCAGCCTTCCTGCGCGTGCCTGTTGCAACAATTGCATGTCCCAAGACCCATTTGCCTATCCTTCTGTCGAGACATCCACCTCCACTTTTGCGGGTCCCTTGCATGTTGCCACTGATCCGTCAAGATCCTGCGCGCCATACCCCAGCACGAGCACAAAATCTCTGCTCGAATCTAGCGATTCAGAAAATCCGTCAAGCTGGCCTGCATCGTAGACCACGGCTATCAGGTGCGTCTACCCTCGTATGTCCAAAGTTTCCAAGATATTCGTGGGCTCTGAGCCCCGGGCAGTGGGCTGCTGCCTGCGCTTCAACCCCCATCGCGAGTTTGCCTGCTAACACATCTTCGAGTGCAGCCTGATAGCAGCAGTATCCGTACGCCCTTCAACTTAGGCGACAATTTTGACTCCTCGGGGCCGTTGCTAGCACAGTACAGTCAAGACCTCGCAAGCGGTCCGCTGTCTGTAAGTACTGCGCTAGCCAAACTGTCGTCTTCCATGTCTGGTTACGGCAAGAGTCAGGAACCATATGTGTATGGTGAGTGCATTGCGGCTCATCTGACGGGTTGGGCAGGGCATATGCCACGGCCTGGTCGGTTGGATGGACCCGGTTGAGGCCCACGTGCAGGCGATTAGCATTAGCAAATTTGACTAACCACCCACCTTTTCAGACGCCGCAGCCACAAGACCAAATCAGGCTCCGAACTACACAGGCTATGCACAGCCTTCATTCGCCTCGCAATACCCCGAAGCGCAGGCGCGGTTACCCCATGAACCTTCGACCGCAGAAATGCCCTTCATTCCAAGTTCGACGTACGAGTCACGCGCAACGAGCAGTTACCAGGTCCCACCCTCATATACGGATGCACCATCTCGTCATCCCGCCGCTGAAGCGGAAATAACCAATGCTGTTACGCCATCTCAGGGCACTGCCGGATCTACCATTTTGCTCCATCTCCGAACCACATACGAACTCACTGAAGATCCGCCTACCTTCATCTTTATGTTTGGCTCCAAGCGGTGCGTCGCCGCACTGCGCAAGATCGACCAAGTTGGTGAGAAGTACAATTACGCCCTCAGTGTAGATGTTCCCCCATTCCCTACGACAAACTCGTGGAATCCTACCATGATGCTTCAACTACGGACGGAAGATAAGTTTGGACGTCTGATCCAAGAAGCGGACGCCGGAGGCTTCACTTATACGGATATGTCCCCAAATCTAGCATATCAGTCCTCCCCCGAGATTGCCAGGAAACGCAAATTTTCAACCGAGTTTGGTGATCAAGACTTTGCGGAAGCTTCTGCAAAACGATCGAATACCATGCGTATCCAGGCAAAACCACGCTCCGTCTCTGCAGCATATTCTGCGGCTTCTGCTTCGCCTCTCCCAGTACAACCCTCCCCCAACGCCTATGGCTATCCTGGTGGATACGACCTGCCAAAGCAGTCGAGCTACACTCCCCAGCTATCGCAAAAGGGAATATACGCCGTTTCATCTGGAATTAGTATCCCACAGACGGAAATGAAGCCACCACCAATGTCTCCAAACCTGTCCTCCTACAACCCGTATCCTTCTCTTGCGCAGACGGGCCGTAGTCCTCATTCCATCGCAGCAACGCCAGCGAGATCATCAGTCATGCCCTCGCCGTCCGCACTTCCCACTCCCGTACTGGTACGAGCTACTACACTTCCCCAGGCGTCCAGTGGGGCGGGAGGTCAGCCATTTAACCCGTATTTGATTTATCCGAGCAAAGCAGTTCTGAAAATTGAGGGCGATCTTGATAAGATGAGCGAAGAGTGGACTCGAGAGGAATTCGAGGCCAAACGTCGGCTGGTCCAGTTTGAGAGATCGCAATCTGGTAGCACCATAGCCGCAACATTTGCCGCAGTCACTCCTGAGGCCCGGCCACAGCGCAGCATCTGTGTTAGCTGCATTCTCTGGGAAGATAAGGACGAGTGCTTCATCACCAGTGTCGATACCATTTACCTTCTAGAGCAGCTAGTCAATGTTAGATTTACGGTGGAAGAGAAGAATCGTATACGGCGCAACCTAGAGGGTTTCCGGCCTCTCACTGTGTCCAAAGCCAAAGCCGACAGCGAAGAATTTTTCAAGATCATTATGGGTTTCCCCAATCCAAAACCGCGCAACATCGAGAAGGACGTCAAGGTATTCCCATGGAAGATACTTTCTCACGCACTCAAGAAGATCATCAGCAAATATGTAAGGTATCTAGCATGCAGCATGTTATATGCAGCTAACGTTCTACAGTCTGCAAGTTATTCCTCAACGGCCGGAGCAGGCTCATTGCCCACCACTTCTGCCCCGTATTTGCCTGTGGGTATGCCGCAGACGACAGGAGACGTATACCGCAATACCTCGCCGCGATCGGTGGCTAGTTCGGCAGCTTCGACCGCATACACCCCAAGCATGACCTCGACGAGCCTGTCACCAAACCCCAAGACATCAGCAGGTCTGGAAGTATCAGCTGGCCAAGGGATGTCGGTCCCCCAAAGAGACCCGACAGGGCAAGGCATGACTCAATGGGGAGCAACGCATCACCAGCTGCCTCAGTACTCAGGACGACCCTGGGACTATGGAGCGTACATCAACGCCAGCGCCGCGACGGGTGTGCCCTCAGCCGTGCAATCAATGCAAATGCAACAACCGGAGGTAACACCTGATCTCAGCCAAATACCTGGCGACACCCCATACCAGCAGTATGATCAGCGGACCACGCGGGTTTGAGCAGTGACGGAGAATAAAATGTAACGGATATGGCAGGATGGAGAAGAGCATCATCGGGAAGTCTGAGGGTGTGCATCTGCAGCCGGGTGATCGACTTGATGATCATGGGACACCCGAGCCTAGACCACATCGGGCTCTAGCGCCGTTTGCTCCACACCATCTCCTCCGCCATCGCCATGACTGCGCCCTCTTGTCTGCCTAGCACCATCGAGAAGCAGCTTTTTCAATCTATTTCTTTCCATGTTTTGATGGGATCCCCTATCACTCTCTCCTTTCGATTTTTTCCTTCCCTTGTCGGCATAGGCACAGGACTCTTATAGCGCCGTCTATTGGACGGCTTTGGGCAGCATCATACATACAATACCCCTGGCAAGCGGCGTTTGAGGCTTGTTTGGTTTCATCAATTCTCTTATCGGGGCGACCTTCACTCCATATCATGATCACGGCGTAGAGGCAACAAGTCAGGTGAAGTACACACCTCGACCACGATCGCATATCCTGGACAGGACGGACATGGGGGTTTGGTTAGGACGAAGGTAGCATTACTCTGGCGTTTTTGTTGTTTTAGGGTTTTAATCCTGATTTCTTACCCTCTCTTACGAATTCCTTCCCTTCTTTTCACTTCACTCTTTTAACGACCTTTCGGAACTTCTTTCATGAATTTTTGTATCTTACTAGTGCAGATTTCATTGCTATTCCCCTTTCTATGCATGCATTAGATAGGAGCCAAAGGTTGCATATCAAGGCAGTTGGTTGAGGCTTCACTTTGGCCGGTGCGCCATAGGTGGTGGGCAGTCTACTTCATTTTAGGCGGAGAAACGGGGCGTTTATCGAAAGAGAAAGAGACTTTGAATATTCTCCGACTTCCAGTTCCATGATTCCCCCCCACTACTCTAGTTGCAATCAAATCGACAGACACGACAAGAACTATTCTTGTGTCTGTCCTCTTTCTGTTACCTACGAGTCATAGGCATATCACTTGCTTCCTGTGTGCGCGCTAGTTGGTGCATTATTGTTGGGTCTTGTGTGTCTGTGAAGTAAGGCTTCCTTCCGGCAAAGGATCCTAAGAATCCTTCATGAGAGCATTTTGGAGCTTGAGAGGGAGGGCGCAGGCGCAGTATTGCCTTGCTCCCCTTACGCCTTATTTCCGCCTTCCTCGGCTGCCTTCAGCTTACCTCATTCGTCATCTCCAGATCCTTATGAGCCATACAGATGACCTCAAGCCCAGAGGCCTAGGTTACACGACAGCAATTTTCGAGGCTGCGACGCCAATCATAGTAGGCTGTGGTCGACGTCTGCTATGTTTGTCGTTGTGTGGTCGTCAGCGCAATGGACGCACGCACACACGCTTTGCACGACGCGTTTCCCACTGGAGAAAGGTAATGCGGGGTTCAAGGCAATGGTGATGTAGATGATCTCCACGGCTGCGCCCGCGACAGTCTCACGAAAGTAGACACCGATGCTGTTTGTTTCAGGCTCTGTTCGCCTACCTCTAGTATGCCGTATCGCATCGCATCACTCTCAGAACCTTCGGATTGCGGCCGAACTCCCCAGCATCCTCTTACAGCGCAAATACTCTTGAATAGCGGTGGCATATTTATTAGACGCCATATTTTCAGCCTGAGCCTAAGGCTGTCTGTATCTGACCGGACCCGACCTGGCCAGCTGAGGAAGCGGTTCCACATCACCTTTCTGGATCAGACACTTGGGTAGAGACTGGAGTGTCGACATCGGAGGTTGTCGTTATCTCGAGCTCACTTCAAACTAAGAGAATTAACTAGCACTGGACACATGCAATACACACCTCTCATCTCCTGTAACTCTGCCGAGCTGTGTACATTATGAAACAGCAACAGGATGGAATTCATCTTTCTCAGCTATCGCAAACCGACATCGCATGCCGAGCGCGCAACCCGCGCTTACAGCCTCTTGATGAGGCCAATGTGCTACAAACATTCCCCTCTCGTTGCGTGATGCACGGCCTGTGTGCATGCTGGGATACTCTTGTCAGATCAGCAGCTGAGTGGGGAGGATACATGCAGTTATTCCCTTAACCCTAATCATAAATCCTTTCGAACTCTAATCTCTCTCCTCTAGACTATCTTCTCAACGGCACTTTAGATTCAGATCAGTAGTATCACTCAAGGCGGCCGGCATGCAAGCATGCCGGACTGGCACATACACACACGCACCCACGCTTTCGAAGTTTCGACGCCCAATGCAGAATTGCGGCACGGCGATGCTGAGCTTACGTGATGTGATAGATAAACCGGCCCAAAAAAGCCTGGCCAACAAAGCCATCCATTCCAGCGTTGGCCAGAACAAGAAGCCAGTGGTTCCTCGGATATGATACCGTCTGTTTCTGGAGCTACTAGCGCTGATCTGATGCAGGGCACCGCCATTCACTTACGTTGGAGTGGCGTTTCACAATCACGACTGGTGTATGTTCTGATCTATTCTATCAGCGGTGTGTGGTGAGACGTGGTGTTAAGGTTGCCCCGACGAAGCCGTGTCGTGCTTATAGCGCTTACTGTACATACAGAACTCAAATATTTACAAACGTGGGCATGACAACGTACAGATATTACAGGTATTATGCTTGGGGATTTTGACATTTATGCATGCAGGTGAGTGTGTTCACATTTTTCTTTCGACGACAGTTGATACATGGTCTAGATGAAGCTACGGCCATTTCTCCGTTTGGCCGGATCGATTGGGGTTGCCGCGAGGTGATACCATCATGAGCGAAGGAGATAGGGAGAGATGTGCGGATCCGCGTTGTTGGCAATTCTTTAGGAGTGATGGGCCAGACGTCCTTGGCATTAGATTTTGTGTCTGCACGTTCTGGACTGTATTCAGTCACTCTGGCTACTCACAACTCTTCATGAGGCGTCTGCTACAACTAATGTACCCTATCCTGGAATTCGCACACCTTCTTTCCATGTTTGCGTCCAGTGATTAACTCTGAGCACGCGTCATATTTATAATACTTCAACTGGCGCTTACAATCACCATCACCATCACAACCTGTTACCCCGCCTTGTGTTCCGCTTTACTTCACGAAGCGCAGAATACGTCTGTCTGTCCCAGAACGAAGGAACCCACTGGCAGACATAGAAACTAGATAAGTACCTCCAGACTCTAAGATTGAGCTAGCGACACTCTGCCCACACCTATCTGCAACAGAATGTAGTAAAGGTATTCCTCATTCGTCGACAAAATCCCCGAATTCATTTGGAAGAGGCCAGAGAAAGGAACATAGCTGGAGAGGGTTATTAGAGCCATCTAGGGGATTGGGGGGCTGGGTATTCAGATTTTTGGATCGAGCTAGGGAGGAAGGAAAGGAGAGGATTGGGTTGGAAAGAGAACAGAAGTCTCCAGGTTGCTGGCAAGCAAAACGAATGCTCTAAGCACTGATAAAATCTACGACTAACAATTTTATCTAACTATGTGTTAAATGTCAATCCCAATGGGTGTATCTAGATAGCTGAGCTGGTGGCACGAATGGAAGGGGTATGACTAATGGTCTTCTGCGCTACGCTCGAACGCCATGCTATCTTTAAGCCGGTTCTCGAAGCTGTTTATGTGAGTTTTGTAGATATCAAGGCACGGGAAGATAGACATTGAAGCTCTTAGCAGCCGACCCCTTTAGTCTTCATTTACACATATATAGTGTAAGGATTGATCAATGCATTAGCTGCCGTCTTTACATGAAATTGACTCGATCTTCTTCCTTCCCAATCACTTCTGTTCTGCTGCGTTGACAACCCTACACCCCTTCTATTATACAGAGGAATGCGCAACAGGCTCTTCCCCTTTCCTATCCAAGGGCAAGTCCTTCGCGAGGTCTCGACCATCGTAATGCCTTCAGAACCTCAAATGGCGCCCACAAATCCTGTTTCTCTGTCGTTACAAATGACAAGCTAAAAGCATCACTGACTTTAATAAACCGACATTCAGGCATCTCCCATGTCTTCTTCAGTCTGCGCCTCCCGGCCACCATTCACAGCTTTCGGGCGACCTCTCGGTCGTTTCGTCGTCGCACTCGCACCTGCCGTCGTACTAACTGCTCTCTTTCTCTGTCCATGTCTGCCGCTCCCTGTGGATGATGGCGTCGAGGAACGCGGCTCCCCGGCCATGCTTTCGGGAAGGAACTTGCCAGTCCCGCTGGCCTCACATACGAGCGAGGAGTACAGCTCCTGTACGGCGAGCTGGCTGGCGCTTGCCTCGGGTGCGCTGCTGGCTTCCGAGAGGGAGACTTCGGATTGGGTCTCCGGAGCTATGATTTTGAGACGGTCAATGGCCAGGGTGAAGGCGCCGCAGTGTATCCGCGATATGTAGACTTTGGGGTTGGAGAGATCGAGGGCGAGGTGTTTTTGCAGGTATTTTGAGAGTGCGGCCGTGAAAGGAATTTGGGATGAGTTTGGGATGAGTTTTCCTTGAGCGAGAAATCCAGGGACATCTGTGCCGGCTATGGTGATGTCGATGTGTTTGAGGAGGTCGGTGGTTTGAGGAAAGGCCAGTTGGATGTGTAGCTTCCGGATCACATCCTGGATCTTTTGCGTGGATGTGGGGGCTCCAAGGTGGTGGAAGTAGGACTCGAGGGTCGAGGTCAGGAATGTGGACGGGAGCCTCAGCGGTGATATGTGCGCGTCGAAAGCAGTTTTGAGGTAGTTCAAGAATACTTCTCGAATCAGAGCAGGCATTTTCACGAGCAGTAGTGGCAGGGCCGTGAAGCCATCAGGAGAAGTGGTGTTTGCAGGATCACGGAGGAGGAGTGCGCTGTACGCCGACCTTTCATATCCAACCTCAACTTCGATTCCGCGAGCGCGGTCGGGGGAAACGACCTCGGAGACTTGCGAGGAATCGGGGTCGAGCACTTGACGGTGGCGGTCAATCCAGGCGTCTTCATCGCCGACGAGATTCCAATTGCACTCTTCCAATGGACCCAGATTGGGCATGGCGTCTGCAGTGGGGGCAAAGTCGACCTCGACGCCGCGAACATTGTCGCCCTTGAGCAGGTCCCTCAGGCGGCGCGCATGTGTGCGGAGGCCTCGCTCACTCAGAAGGGGGCTCTCGCCGTGGTAGAGTGGTGAGACTCGATAGAGATGGTAGCTTGTGCCGTATAGGGGATAGAGGGGGATGTCGGCCATGGCTGAGGCAGTCCAGAGCAGGAAACTGCGAGGGACAACTGCTACGTCGACGCGTGTCGTGGTTCCCAACGTAGCGCTTTCCGTTCACTTGACGATATTGATAGCAGTCTCTGATGAATACAATGGCCCGACACGTGCCCGACGCGATGGGCGCGAGTGCAGATGACGCACGCCGTGGTGTTTATTTATTTGGCGGCGGTGGTTGCGGCTCTGGGTCGGCGCACGGGCTGTACCCAAGTGCCCCGCGACGACTGGGCCTGCCCACTTGCTGGTTGGCGTGCCAAGGCCATGGAAGAGCAACGAACACTCGAGAAAAACATCGAATTTTATCGAAGCCCGACAGCTAATCAACAAACTCAAGCTCCCACCCTCGCGTTTGCTCTCCTCTTTATCTTCCTACCCTCATTCTTTCACGACTTCACGAACCTCCTCCTCCATCCCATAGATAATTGCCTCTACTTTCTGGCTCTCCCAACCCACTACCCCGCCACACCGCTGTGTCGTAAACATGTCTGTTGTGGGCATTGACCTGGGCACGCTGAACACTGTTATCGCTGTCGCAAGGAATCGAGGTGTCGACGTGGTAAGTACTTGAATTTTTTGGCTCCAAATCTGCCCTGGAACTATGCTGACCTTGGTCCCCAGATCACAAATGAAGTCTCCAACCGCGCTACTCCGTAAGCCTTGCCCTCACCGCTGGAAGCACCCAACCCCACTAACATCACATGCAGCTCTCTGGTAGGCTTCGGCCCCAAGAGCAGGTACATCGGCGAGGCCGCGAAGAACCAGGAAATCTCCAACCTCAAGAACACCGTCTCGTCCCTCACCCGCCTCGCCGGCCGCACTCTGAACGACCCCGATGTACAGCTCGAGAAGGACTTTGTGTCGGCGCCGCTCGTCGATATCAATGGCCAGGTCGGCGCCGAGGTCACGTATCTGGGGAAGAAGGAGAGGTTCACCGCCACCCAGCTGGTGGCCATGTTCCTCACCAAGATCAAATCAACCGCCTCCGCCGAGCTGAAGCTCCCCGCGTCCGACGTCGTCCTCAGCTGTCCTGTCTGGTACACTGACTCGCAAAGACGGGCTATGCTCGATGCCGCCGACATTGCCGGGCTGAAATGCTTGCGGTTAATCAACGACACTACGGCCACTGCGCTCGGCTACGGCATCACCAAGCTGGATCTTCCCGGGCCCGAGGAGAAGCCCAGGCGGGTCTGCTTCATCGACATCGGCCACAGCAACTACACGTGTGCCATCGTCGAATTCAGGAAAGGCGAGCTGGCAGTCAAATCCACGGCGTGGGATCGCCACTTTGGTGGGCGCTACTTCGACAAGGCCATGACTGACCATTTCGCCAGGGAGTTCAAGGAAAAATATAAGATTGACATCAACGAGAACCTCAAGGCCCGCTTCCGAGTCGTGGCCGGTGTCGAGAAGGTGAAGAAGATCCTCTCGGCAAACAGCGTCGCTCCCCTGAACGTTGAGTCCGTCATGAACGATGTCGACGTCCGAGGCATGCTGAAGCGCGAGGAACTGGAAGAGCTGGTCAAGCCCTTGATTGACCGTGTAACAGTACCAATCGAGCAGGCACTCGCCGAGGCGAAGCTGAAGGTGGAGGACATCGACGTCATCGAAATGGTCGGTGGCTGCACTCGTGTTCCCGCCCTGAAGACGGCCATCCAGAACTTCTTCGGCAAGTCGCTCTCCTTCACCCTCAACCAGGACGAAGCAGTCGCTCGAGGGTGCGCCTTCAGCTGTGCAATTCTGTCTCCCGTCTTCCGAGTCCGAGACTTCTCCGTCCACGACATGGTCAGCTACCCGATCGAGTTCACTTGGGAGAAGTCGGACGACATACCCGACGAAGACACCAGCTTGACGGTCTTTAACAAGGGCAACGTCATGCCTTCTACCAAGATATTAACCTTCTACCGAAAGCACGCCTTCGACCTTGAAGCCAAGTACGCCAAGCCAGAGTTGCTCCCCGGCAAGACGAACCCCTGGATCGGACGGTTCTCAGTCAAGGGAGTCAAGGAAGACTCCAAGGGTGACTTCATGATTTGCAAGCTGAAGGCACGACTCAATGTGCACGGTGTGTTGAATGTTGAGTCTGGATATTATGTCGAGGAGACGGAGGTCGAAGAACCAATCCCCGAGCCTCCAAAAGAGGAAAAGAAAGATGGTGATGTACGTTTTTCCGATTCTCCTGCTTCTTCTGTCGTTCGTGCAAGTCCCGGCGATCAGTCCGATGGCCCTCAACCCGAACCTATTGCAAAAAGACAAAAGCGTACTGATTCTGTTCCTGCGGTACATGCCACTGCATCTTTGCCTGACTCACACAAGCTAACATTTTCTAAACTACAGGCAATGGACGTTGATGCAAAAGACACCAAGGACGAGAAGCCCAAGATGCGGAAGGTTAAGAAGCAACAGAGGAAAGGCGACTTACCCCTGTCTGCAGGCACGGCGTCAATGGACCAGGCGACCAAGGATGCTGCAACCGAGAAAGAGAATCAGATGATCATGGAGGACAAGCTGGTCGCCGATACCGAGCACCAGAAGAATGAACTCGAGTCCTTCATCTACGAGCTCAAGGATAAAATCCTTGGCGTATATTCAGAGTTTGCCAGCGATGACGAGAAATCCAAACTCTCCGCCAAGCTCGAGACAATTGAGGTAAGACCTTCAAGACTCCCCCCAACTTGAATATTCTAATCCGTGTTTCTCTGTAGGACTGGCTATATGAGGACGGCGAAGATGCCACCAAAGCCCAATACATCGGCAAAATGGAAGAGATCCGCTCGGTCGCGGGTCCTATCATCCAACGCTACAACGACAAAATCGAGGAGGAGCGACAAGCAGTCCTCCAAAAGCAGCACGCTGCTGCAGCCGCAAAACAAGCCGAAATCGAGCGGAAAAAGCGAGAGGAGGAGGCTAAGAAGCAGGCGGAGGCGCCGCCGGAGAAGCCTGATGCGGAGATGCCGGATGCGGATGCGGTGAAGCCGGATGAGATTGAGGAGCCTTCTGCTTAGAGGAGTGGAGTGGGCGATGTGGAGGAGAGGAGAGTGTGAAAGTGGTTCGTCTGCGTAACTTCTGTCAGATGTCGGGGGTTGAAGTTACGCAGGCTTATGCGAAGTATGCATTTGGAGCGACAGGAGGACTGGACTCGACTGGATGAAATAGTCAGCCTTGGTTGCGCGTGTTTCTTTCTTCTGTGCAATGGTTGCTTGAAGAACTGTGGGACTATGAGTTAAATGATTCGATAGACAGTTCATAGATAAGTGTTCTTTTTTTTTTTTTGGGAGTTTGGGTTTCAAGTTTATGGTTTATGTGAGGACAGAGAGTACGCGGTACACGTAGGTTACTGAGGGCAGGTGATGGGGTTTGAAGACTTGGTGCGTACGTTTGTTGGTGAAGTGGGAGTGCTTGCTGTGCTGGTGTATGCTATGTTCTTTGCAGGCCTTGCGCCTGCTATGCCGACTTGGAAGCCTCAGTCTTCTTTATAAAAATACGTACAGTAGACGTGATGTTTGCGAGAAATAAAGAGTCCTTACAAGTAATCTTGCTGTTGTTGTTGTCGCTGTGGGGATACGTAGGACTTGTAGAATTCACTCATCGTGTCCAAAAGCACGAAAGGGTCAAGTCGTTTGTATCAAACACCTATCGCCTCTTGCCCAGCACCCCACTTCTCCTTCTCGGAGACATTCATCCATCCCCCTCCCCCCTTCTCCCAAGCTTCTCTGTCCACTAACCTATCAGTCCCTTGCCCCCAGCTCCAACCCTCACACTCTCCGGTGGCCCAAGATAACTGGCCTTCACGCCCCCGAGATCTACAACTAACCTATGCACCGTGGCCCCTGGCTCCAGCAGCCAAACACTTAACTTATGACTCCCAGCATCCACCTTCCCGACACTCGTGCTCACCACTCTGGCACCATTAACAACGCTATCGCGCCAGTCGCTCGGCATCGCGCCTAACGTGCTACTCGGTACGGGGCTTAGCGTTGTGGGTGTTGCATCATCGAGGGCGAGGGCGAGTTTGAAGGGATTGGATGGGTTGACGTTGAAACTAGGGGGCAAGTACACGGTGACTTTCGCGGAAGTCGTAGATGTGAAGGCGTGGAAGTTAAACACAGCTTTCGGCCCCGAAGCCGTTGTCTGTGTCCCCGCCTCCACAGGCAACAACGTTAGTCCCGATTCCGTGCGTCCGTAGTTTGGAATCAGACCCAGCGTCGCACCGCTAGAACCAGGAACGACCGAACTATACCCCGACATCTCCATCGCTACGGCGCCGTTGGATTCCACATACCCCTTAAACCCGTCCGGAACCGCGACATTACTAATCGGAAGATTAAGTTTCACCTCTGTGCCTGATTTCGGCGTAATTGTGATCACTACCGTACTACTTCCCGTCGGCGCAGCAGTCCAGTCCACGGATATCGTAGCGCGGATATCGGACGTACCGGACGGGTAACTAAGGGTCCCTGAGGCGGGCGTGATTCTGATATAGGCGGTGCTGGCTTTGATAGTAAAGTCTACGGACCCGGAGCCACGGGCGTAGAGGTCGATGGTGCGGTTTTCGGGGGTGTAAGGGGAGAGTGGGAGGAGGGAGGGTGCAGGGTCACCGGGTGTGGATGCCGTGCTGCCTTGGACAGAGACGCCGAGGAGGCCGGTAGAGGGTGCGGTTGTGCTGATAGTTTGGACGGAGGGCATGGAGTTGGATGAGGGGTCTTGCCTGTGTTTACAATTAGCCCGGCCGGCTTTAAAAATCTACACCTACACAAATAGCATGGAAATGGGGTAGTATGACAAGCATGCCAATATGCGAAGAAAAGAAAGTAGTCTAACCAATTGCTATAGCCAAAATGCAGCTGATCCATCATGTGATTCCACTTCCCACTCAACAACCCATGATACCTCTTCTGCACCACTCCATCCTGGGCATATGCCGCCTTGACATCGTCTGCCAGCGTATTCGCGCTCATCCTCTTCTGCGCCGAATACGCCTTATTTCTCGCTGCGTTTATATAAACGCGCTGAACAATCCCCCCGGCGAGAATCGGATGCAACACCATCTCGAAAAAAGCAATCTGTGTCGCGGCGTCAAGGGAATCATAGACGGCTTGCGCTTTGGTGAGAAGGGATTCCCATTCATGGAGCACGAGCTCTGCTTCGTCGTAGTTGGTTGTGGAGAGCATGAATGGAGACTGGTTGAGGAGTTCGTACTTTCGACGGATGATGAGTTTGCCGTAGGTGGACATGGCGTAGGCGGTGTTGGAGGCGGCTTCATCGCCGAATTCACGCGTCGCCCAGGCCTGGAGCCAGGTATCTGTGGAATCGGGAGAGGAGAATTTGGACATATCGTACGCCATGTCTAGGAAGTGAGAGATTGGAATTTCCTGATGTATTGTTAGCGTGATGCTTAACTGAAATCTACAGAATGTTACCACATAGCGTAGAACATAAGTAGAATAGATTTTTACTATAAAAACCTTGCTAGAATTAGGTAGAAGATTAATATCATTCAAATTTTTGTCTTAAATTACCCCGGTCATGGTCCACATGGATGACCAGATGGAGCAGCACTTAGGGAATAGAATGCGCCTACCAATGGTTTAAGATCACCAACATTTACGATCCAAATTTGCGAGGCGTTTTTGTGGTATGCAAGATGCATCTGCTGCCACGTTTTCGAAAGCTGGATTGAGTTGATCCACTTGTAGTTCCTTGGATCGCCGACATAGTCGAAGTGGTAGTATACTCCTGCACCACCACTCCGATTCACTTCGCTTGGGATGGGAAGGCGTTGAATGTTGCCACTGTTATCATCGCTCCAGAGAATGGTGACATCGTCCGGGATTTTCATGCCGGCTTGATAGTAACCACCAACTTCCTACAACCTGGTGAGTATTTGGAGTATTGTCAAGGAATATGACTCGAGAACTTACCTTATAAACGCACCACATCTGTGGCACTCCAGCCAAGTCCGAGACGCCTAATCCACTCTTCAAAATTGACTGCTGATACTCAATCACTGACACTAGATTCTTCGAATCGAGCGTTGGTGAAGAGGTGTCGCCGTCCCCTCTCATGCCCATTGTCCATAAGGTCTCCCAATTCTTCGCTCGCGCAACGCCATCCTGCATATACTTCTTCAAATTGCTCTCGTTGCTCTTCCAGTCCCATGGCTTCACCTTTTCTTTATCCGCCCTTGCCATTGGCTCCGTATGACTCGTGCCCATAACCACGCCAAACTCGTCAGCTAGAGGTCCATTTTTGGCATCATCGACGTAAAATCTAGAATCCCACATTGTAGGCCAAAAGTAGTTGGCTCGAAGACGAAGGAGAAGTTCGAAGACCTTGGCATGGAACCTGGAGTCATATTTTCCATAGTTTGCCTTGACCCAATTTGTGAGCGCCGGCTGTTCATCGTTCAAGAAAATCCCACGATACTTGACCGACGGTGGCCCTTGAACCTTCTTGGTGTTTAGTGCATAGATGGCGGTTTTCTTCTTTGGAGGCACATCAGCCCACCAATACCACGGCGAGACACCAATTTGCTCGGAGATGTCGTAGAGCGCGTAGATAGTGCCTCTCTTGTCACTACCTGCAAGGACTAATGCTGATGATATGCCCTCAGCGGGATTGGAGATGAGCTGGGATGTGAAAGATTCCCATTTCCCCTTGATTCTTGAAACATCAAGCTTTCCTGCCGAGACTAGACCGTCGATGAGAGGCGATTTTCCAAGTGTACCTGCGATGATTGCAGGAGTGTCGGAGAGTCCGCTTGTTCCGGTTGCGACTTTCCCTTTGGTTCCAGTCACTAATCCAAAGTCATTGGCAAGGTCATTGCCAGCACGGGTAACTCCAGCCCAATCTTTCCCATCAATAACAATCGTAGGTGCAGATCCAGTTGCTGCTAATTTCAACCCCCCTTCGATCTCTGAAAACGTAAGGCTGGCAGGCTGACCGATAGCCAATGTACTGGTGACCCAGACAAGGAACGACAGGAGGACTGTTAGAAGCTTCATGATGGTGAGTTATGGTTCACAGCTGCTGCACGCAGTCTGCAGTAACGAACATACATGCCTTATTCTAAAACGATGTATGGAAATGTGAAGCCAACATATTCCCCCAATAGATCAATTCGCGATGCGAACTCAATATCAGAGACCAAGGCTAATCTGGGGAGGAACGGATGCCAGCCAGATTCCACTGATACAATTGGTTAGATGCCGACTGGTGGTGCTGGCAAATCTGCCACATTCTTGCCAACAGAAGCAATAAATTCTGGAAGCATGCGAAAAGCCTATTGGAGGAAAATCTATCTCGCGATTCGCGCCTGTGACACAAATGGTCCAAGAAGCGAAATGTTGGATTCATATCCTGCAGGAGAAGAGGCAGTCCAATCTAAAAGGATTGTGGCTGGAAATACCTTCGTGGCTATTGCGGTACGAAACGGATGTGGGACTGCGGGTTTAGGATGAAGGAAAGCCATGAAGCGAATTGTGGGGTGTGGAGGTTAATCTATCCGGGAGAGGTGACGCACGCGATAGTCTATGCTAGGCTGTTATCCTGAGACAAGACATATTTAATCTGCCTCACCACCGCAAAGACACATATAAGCGGATAGCGAAGGACGACTGGACGTTGCTGTGGTTTGGGAGGACGAAGTGGGACAAAAGTTTGAGGGGTAAGGTGTGGCTTCGATATGCGCTAACCATCTTCGTCGATCTGATCCCATAAGGGATGATGGGCGAATAAACAGAATATGCGAATGGGAGAATAAATATTTGAATCTATCTACAAACAATCCTAGCTAATACAATTCATCTCTAGCTGTCCGATGCATATCGTAATGGGTTACTCAAGAAAGAAATCCCGCCGATCCACACGTGCCCCATTCCGGTTGGCAACCGTACGCTAAATTACAATAGTCAGTCCCGCTTCCACACCATCCATAATCACTGCAACATTGCCCATAAGTCGAGCCAGCGCACGAGATCCCATTGCCGCATTTTCCATCCCGACTAACAGGTACTGTTGGGGTTGGTCTTGCGGAACTGGAAGATGAACGTGGTGTAGGTGTCGGCGTCGGCGTTGGCGTCGGCGTTGGCGTCGGCGTAGGGGTTGAAGAAGGCGGAGTACGTGTGGACGACGAGGATGGACTTGGTGTAGGGGTTGGCGATGAAGATGGAGGAACTGGAATCGAAGATGAAGACGAGCGTGGGGTAGGAGTAGCTGACGGTGAGGACGACATCGAAGATATTACTCCACCACCGCAGGCGCCAAATGTCCCTTGACAGCCTGTCCCACAATATTCATCTGAATTTCCGCACCAGTAATATTGCGAACAGCATCGGCCGAAGCCCGATCCAGCGCATGTAGTACTGTTGCCGCACATGCCGTTTGTAGTAATGACAAGTCCTCCTGGTGGCATGGATGGTGTTGCCGACGGGGTGGCAGAACTGGAGGATGGAGTGATTACCACTGATGAAGATGAAGATGATTGGATGACTACCACAGACGAGGATGACGATGATGATGACGGTATTGGCGAAGAAGATGGAGTCGGGGTCGGGGTCGGGGTCGGGGTTGGAGTTGGAGTTGGGGTTGGGGTTGGGGTTGAAGAGGATGACGAAGGTGGAGGTGCTGGGCCACATCTGCCAAACCCAGGCTGGCATCCAGCAAGCTCAGAGCAAAAGTCGCTCCCATCTCCACACCAGCCGAAGGTTGAGCAGCACAAACTATTCTCACACTTTCGATTGTTGCCGTCGGCTCCACATCGGCCAGGGTCGGCTTGCCGTAGGGTCAAATTTGCTGGCGCCCTCGGTTCGATATTTGTTTCGCAAATCGGTTCATTAGGCCCATCAACATAGCGCCTTGACTCTGTCCGAGGCATGGGATGAGAGTTACCCATAAGGTACTTGGCCGCTAGGATTCTATTAGTAGAGCATGATGCGCCAGAGAAGCTCAGCAGTAGCACTGCGCTGACGTATGTCCACCTCATTGTTGACGGGGCGGAAGAGACACTATACAGAAGGAAAGGATGAGAAAAGGACCGGACTTGGGTTGAAAGCAATGACGCACTCCTAGCACTTTTAAAGGCGGGGCAAGAGCTGAATTTAAGAAAGCACGGAGAGATAACCCAAACTACCCAAGAACTATGCAGCCGCAGAGGACGCGTGCTTGTGGAACGTTCGTGGGGCTCCACGAGCCAAGTCTAATATTCATCCTGAGCCGGGAAAATGAGACTTCCTCAGCCGGGTATATGATGATTCTCTGCAGGAACTGGATTCCTTGGAAGGTGTCATGATTTTGGGTTATTGGTGATATATTGTCGCTGAGGGGACGCGGCGAAAGGAAATGGGGAATGTATATATAGGGTGCCGTATCTACCGATAGATTGCCGAGTCCCGATAAGAAGCTAGGCATGAAGAAATATCAGCCTGTGTCTGGTTCGCCTTTAGCCCGGTGGTGACAGCGGAGGGCCATTCCGTTCGGCGATTAATTTTTTTTTTTTTTTTACAAAATGGTGGGTTTTCAAGAGTTCCGAACTCGTCAAAGAGCATATATTGGCGGCTTTAGAAGCTTGGAATATGCTGGAAACGACCGGAGCAGATAGCAAAGTTCAATTCAACCGGAAGTCATCGGGATAAGTAGCGAACCATTATGTAGCAGAAGAAACAGATCTGTCTTGGTCGACTTGGCCTCCATCTTTGTTTCGCATGGGGTCTTAGGATCTTGGATTGTCAGGTACGTTTTCCTCCACGTGGAGCCCTTCTGCTGGATGCGTAATCTGTTCATCCGCACTTTCCAAAGAGGTATTCAAGGTGAAGTGAGAACCATATCGGTGGGCCTATGAAGAAGTGTGAGTCGATATGCGAGGTATCATCTTCCGAGTTATACGCAGGCTGAGATGGAGTGATCTTTCAATCCCATCTATCCGCTCGGTACGGCAGATTCACGGCACTTACTCCTTGCCTGGGGTCTTGGTGCGGTTTCACAGCCATCAGTCCCCAGTACGATCAAACTAACTCTTCCAAACCGAGTGCATTCCATATAGCTATCGCTCTTAGAAAAGGGGTATCCGACGCCACCGGCTTGGAGGACGCTCATAAAGTAGCCAATCGTGGTCCAGCCTTATCCAGCCATACTGATTGGAGATATGGGGGCTCTCCATCACGCGCCTTCCACAGGATAGATGATGCACGGGGTGGTGAAGTGAAGGTCAAATCGAGGTTCACTGTTGAATAACGATTGGAATTTACAACGCGGGAGGGTGCGCTAGATGGCACCCTGGTTAGCGCGCTATCACGTGCACAGACTCTCACAATTTGACTGGATAGCTTGTAGGCTTAGAAATCTCCTCAAAGTGAAGAGAACTAGTTAATTGGGTTAAAGTTTTCTGCTGCATGATTTGTAGCTGGAGGCACTACAGGGATTACCACAGTACATTTATCTATCCAAAAACGCGCCAAGCACGAAAAGGCTCAATGCAGATTAGCATATTATAGCTATGCCTTCAATCCCTCCATCAAAGCACTTTCCTCCCTCTTCCCGACAGCTTGGAACATCTGTCCCTTACCACCAACGTCCAGACCCTTCTCGGCCCGCTCATACGCCTCATCCGATCGATCCAGCAAAATCCCTAATTCCTTCTCCGATAAAAGATGCACTCCACCATCCCCTTCCACATCAAACTTCTCGCCATCTGACCTTCGCAATAGCTTCTGTAATTCTTCCACTTCCTGTTCCTTCTCCAATTGCTTCCCTCTTCCTCTATCATTCCGCACGCCACCTTTCCTAATGACGAGTTTCTCCAAGCGGCGTTTCGCTTCCGCTGACTCAAGAAGTTTTTGTTCTACTGTGTTGCGAGTAGCAAAGCGGTAAACAATGACATTCCGCGTTTGGCCAATGCGATGGGCACGATCCATCGCCTGGAGATCCTGTTGAGGATTCCAGTCTGAATCGAAAAGAATGACGGTGTCTGCTGCAGCGAGATTGATGCCTTGACCTCCGGCGCGAGTAGAGAGTAAGAAGACATTTGTTGCGTCCTTGGAAGTCGGTGGGTTATTGAAGGCTCGGATTTGAGACTGTCGATCGACTTGCGCGACAGAGCCATCAATCCGTGCATGTGACCATGAGCGGAGGGTTAGGTATTGGCTGAGTAGGTCCAGGGTTGTTGTGAACTGGGAAAAAATGAGGACTTTGTGGCCCCTGTTTAGGAGTTCTGGAAGCAACGAGTCTAACAAGAGCATCTTGCCAGATGTAGTGACAAGAGTCTCATCAGGTTCTGTTTCTGAAGCAAACGTCTCGGTTCCAGACGTTTCAGCGGTGATGAATGGGTTGAAGAAGTTGTAAGGCGAATTGCAGCAAAGTCGAAGCTGCATGATTGGATTCCCTAGCTTCTTTTGCAAAAGCTGGCGTTTCGCGATCTCGAATGTCGCCACACGGATTCGCTCTTCCTCCGCTTCTGAGTCCATATCTTCCTCATATTCACCGGCCTCGCTTTCTTGGGTTTCAAGCTCTGCAAAATACTTCTGGTCACTGAGCTCTTCGTAATTCCTTCTCGGTCGTCCGCGTCCTCGCCGCGATGCAACAGAAACAGGGGTAGCTTCTCGAGAGGTCTTCGCGCTTTTATTAGGGGTATGTGTACCAGAGAGATCCTTGCGCTTCCGACTTCCATTGTTGCTCCGGGTGCTTAGAGGAGTTGTACTCCCACTAGCAGTACCCAAACTAAGCCTTTCGACAGCCTTCTCTTCAAGGTATGCTCGACTTGTGCCATCGAGAATTGCCTGATACAACTCTCGTTGCATTGGTGTGAGAGGCGCAATGAGAACGTACTCTCTCTTCTTTGGCATCAAGCTCTCTACATCGGTCTTGACTCTCCGCAATAAGAAAGGTTTGAGTACTGCATGCAATGATTTGACAAGATATTGTTGTCGTTCTTCGGAGAGCAACTGCTCATAGCTAGCCTTGTCTTTTAGACCAGAAAAGTCGAACCAGCTCTCAAAAGTGGATAACTTGTCGAAAACAGTCGGTAACAGGAAGTGGAGCAGAGACCAAAGCTCTGCAAGGTTGTTCTGAAGAGGAGTCCCGGTGATCAGGAGACGGTTCGCTGACTGGTAGGATTGCAATTCTCGAATGAGTCGACAGTCAAGGTTCTTGATTCGGTGCCCTTCGTCGATGATGATGAATTGCCAACCAAATCCCGTGAGATATTTTCGGTCGTTCATACAGATTTCGTAGCTTGTCACGACCACAGGAAATAGGTCAGTCCCCGGATTCTTCAACTTTGTCCGGCGTATTTTGGCTCGCTCCGTTTTGTCCCCGTGATATAACACGACGGGAATGCTTGGAGTCCACTTCCTGAACTCTTCAACCCAGTTGCTGGTAGTGCTGAGTGGTGCAGCAATAAGAAACGGCCCATATGACTTCTTCTCCCATAGATGTGCGATTAGTGCGATGGTCTGAATTGTTTTGCCCAAGCCCATCTCATCAGCTAAGATGCCGTTTATTCCGTTTTCATAGAGGGAGAGCAACCACTCAAGCCCTTCTAATTGGTAGGATCGCATTGTGCCTCCAGTTACAAGCTTAGGCTGACGCGCAGACTTCAAGTCCTGGAATCCGATGCCTCCCGTTTTGACTTTATCGTTGTCGGCCTCCTCCTTTAGCGCATCAGCTACGCTCGATTGACCGGTTCTTGCCTGTATTTCTTCTTTCTTGAAGAAATCTGATATCTTTCCTCCCCTCGCTTCCCTCTTCTTTAGTTGGCTGCGAGCTTTTTTCTGCGTTGTGACCCTGCTCTGGGCTTGGGAAGTAGATTCGCCACTGTTCGCGGCAGATGCGCGCGTAGCGCGTCGTTGTGATTCGACTGCGACCTGATCCGCATTCTTCTCACGCTTCGAGGATTGGCCGTGCGTCTTCTCGTCTTGCACTCTCTCTTCGTCTTCTTGGCGTTGCATTTGCGCGAGCATTACTGTTGCATATAGCTGGAGGTTGGCACTTTAGCATGTGTCACATTCCTTCATATACAGGTTTCAAATATCATTTGGTAGGGCGAGAAGGAACCTGAGATGACGCACCTTGCTCTTATTCATCAAAAACTCTAATTGCTGAAATTTCTTGTCGAGGATCTCCTTCCCGCTGTTCATGTCGTCTTGCCTCTCCTGCTCCATTTCCGCGTCGCGTTTCGCGTCTTCTCTTTCGCGCTGCAGACGCATCTTCTCCTCTTCCTCCTGCATCGCTTTGGACACGCCTCCGTTGATGTCCTCCATATTAGCTGGTGGCGGCGAAGAAGCGGGGGTGGACTTTTGTGAGCCGCTGTCTGCGCCGGTGACGGACGAAGATGGCATTTTTATAAGGAGAGGGGGAAAACGAGACGAAGAGAAGAAAATGCAACTCCGTGGATGGTTTAAGGATGACTGGAAAACGCTGTTCAGGGTGAAAGGACGAGTGAAGAATGACAAACCGCGCTAAAGGAGTCAATCACGTCATTAGCGCAGCGCGTCAGGGATTCGCGTGATCACAACACAAGAATACTTGGGATGCCAAGGCCTCTATTCTTCCCAACATCCTCTTTTCCTATTTGCCTAACTATTCCTTTTACTTATTTCTAAATCACGTAGTAGGAAATCAATATTTTCACGTGTCCAATGTAGCCCGACGTCTCCAGATCGTACTAAGACGAGCTCGATCCTTCTACTACTTGGCCTAAATTGAACCTCACAAGGACTGCTCCCGCATCGATCTTAGGGCCCACCTTCATCGAGTTGTATAGAATTGTTTCTTTGGCGGCTGCAGGCACGTGCAGGAACTCTTTTCAGCGTCGATAGACATGGAATCCAGACAGAATGCCTTAGCCTTTTACGTTCGATGTAACTTTTCCTCGCTCAGTCTAATTTCAACCTCATGAAGGAGGTTCCTTCAATCGGATTGTCATAGTATTTCTCGACCTCCTCGAATCCAAATGCCTTATACATCTTCCTCGCCGGCACCATACTTGGCAGCGTATCCAACACCATCTCCTTGTACCCCATAGTCTTCGCCCTCTCAAGTACAGCTTCCAGCAACTTCCTTCCCGCTCCAAGTCCTCTCACCTCGGGAACGATGTAAAGGCGTTTGAGTTCGCAGGTATGAGGTGGGGAGAACGGACGTAGAGCTACGCAGCCGATGGGTTCTTGTGCTGTGGATACTTCCGAGGAAGAGTCTACGGAAATCACACGAGCAATGAGCAGAACGCCACCATTATCGGGTGTATATTTTCCGGGAAGAGAAGAGAGCTCATGGGAGAAGTTTTGGAAGGTAAGGTCGATCTCCAAGGAATCTGCGTACGCCGTAAAGAGATTCATGATAACGAATCGGTCATCCGGGAACTCCGCTGAAGAAATGACGACTTCCGGCTTCGTGGTCTTTTTCATCGCTCTTGATTAATCAAGGAGAGTTGTGCTGGAGAGGCTGTACGTGTACCAGTACGTCTCCGGCACTATCCGCCAGTATCCATTTATACCTTGCCTGCCGCCCCCGATTTCGGACGCCTAAGCAGCAATCTCGAAACTCTTACCTCCATCATAAAACATAGAAACGAAAGTTTTATTTTCCACGTTACCAGGAAGCACCTATCCTTGCGCAGCTTCCATCAAGAACGAACCTCTTCCACCCCACTCTTCCATGGCCCCTTTCATGGACAGTTTGCACAAACCTTCAGCTTAATTGTCATTCCAAAATCGTCACAAATCATGAGCAACTGCACATTTGTAGGAATGGGCACGCTCGGTTCCGCCGCTATTTACTCCACTTAGTTGAAATGTGACAGTCGCTAGTCCGACCTCCGCGAAACTTAGCCTCTCATCTGTGTAAGGTTTTAGGGGGGCTTAGTCCCAGGCTGAGACTCGTAGGCAATGTCCTAGGAATTAGGACCACGTGTGCCGGTCGCGGAGAGGGTGAATATACGGCGCAAGGTTACGGGTGGGGGGAGAAGTCAGAAAAGGTATCCAGGATAAATATAGCAAGATCCGAGTTATCGTAGACAGTCAGTGTTGCACCTATACTGCCAAGAACTGCTATCGTCGGGCCGTCGTAGATATAGTTTGGCGTCGAGGACGGCTCGATGTCAGGGAGCACGCCATCCGGAAGCAAGGGCAATCTTTTGGAAAACGACGCTTTATTTTGAGATGTCTTGGGGTACTATGCCTTTTAGTGATTGGGCAATTTGCTCACCTCTTCGAACTATGATGGTTACCTTTGTATCGCAGGGACCGACTTGAAAGTCTTACTGTAAGGTTTTTGCTGAAGCAGCAAGCAGTACATCCCGTCGCCAAACCCGGATATGCGATGCTTGAGAGCACGGTAGCTAAGAGGAATATTTTCATGATTGCGGCGTTCCCCAAACCGCAAGGGCGAAGAAGAAATTCGGAATCTGACAAGCTGGTAAAAAGAATGCCTATCGTCCACCATCGCTCTTTATAATCCCCAAGCCTCACCATCACTATCGGAGTAGCATTCGTTTGAGAAGTCCGGCTGAAGCCATATTCCTCTCCCCGGAGTCCTCTTTGTGACCGTACCCACATACAACGTTCTATATGGCTTTCGCGGACCCTCCCCTCAACCCGCCTCGATCGCAGCTATATATCGCTATACTATTGAAGCCATATCACCCAAGAGAATCGCATGAATACCATCTCCTGCCCATAGAAATCCTCCATGCCATTTCTTCACTCGTCTCATCACACATGACTTAGCAGACTGCGGGCCAGAGCCGCTTCCTTTGCAGTCGTAAACAACCAGTCCTTTAAGCTCCACTTTATTGCCCATCTGTGCAGGATCCACGGAAATTCTTTACTACTGGACCAGATTTCACTCCGACCCCATACGCCGAGCAGTTAAGGCAAGTGCAAGAACTGGATCTGTGCATCTCACACAACGCATGTGTAAGTTACACAACCTTTTGTTAAAAACCACCTAGCCACCCTTGGACTAAGAGCAGGAAAATTCCGTTAAAGTCGATCTCGAACTATCGCTTTTGACTTTTGCAGATTTTATTTAGTGTTTAACGTGCTGGGAGCTTTCGGAATGGAATGAGCGGTCACTGAGTGCCATTCTAGTTTAGAAGTGAGAATTTAACTATGCGTGAAGGACAGCCTCTCGAGGATGTATTAGGAAATTTTGAATTATAGAGGTTAGGGAAGGGATCAATACTTGGAAGAAGTCATAATGGCAGAGAAGCATATTGACTTATCAAGTCCCGCTTCCACTAGATGCTCGCAGGGGGCTACTACTTTCCATGGCATAATCCAATAAATTATCCCAAAACGCGGAACCTATTGCTAAATTAAGGAGGAATTTATCTATTAGATCGCTTTCTAGAATCAGTGAGAGTGTCAAAAGGGTGCGAAAGTCTATACTGAATCATTCTGTCATGTTCCGTGTTAAGGGACAGGATACAAACCATCGAAATGGGCAGGCTATGATGTTGTATATGGCGTGCGACTGATTAAAGACTCCACGCCTCCTGCCTTGGTATGATATGTCCGAAACAGACCGGTCTTTTAGGTCAATCGCGTACCTACCAACACACTTCCTCACTTGGGTGCACGATCATCTTGTGCCCAACTTCGACTCAAGTGTCTACTACTTTAAACAGGACATACACCAGTATTAATCACCACGTATCAGCCTTCGCCACACGACCACCACCTTAGACCTTCTCCCCTATCTCATCCTTTCCCCTTTGATTCAACTGCACAACGACATCCCTGCCCAACAAATGGTCAATATTCGGCGCCCAGAACGAACAAACAATCCCAACCCCACAGAACGCAATTGTGCTCAGGAAAACTGTGCTATACGCACTAGCATTCGCCTCTTTATACGCTCTAACCCCGGCTGCTTGTATTGCGGGTGTGAGCCCTGCGACAGCGGACCATGCGGCAGGGGTACCGAGTGTGAGTGCGGAGATGAATGAGGGAACACTGGATGCGGGGAGACCGGCAGAAATGAGAGAGGGAGGAACTTTTGCGGGGATGGTTTTTGCAAGGCGGTTGGAGAGGATGACAGTGTAGACACTGATACGATTGTTAAAATGTGAGCCTATTTGGGGTAGGAATTTGAGAGCTTACGTTGAGCAGATTGTTGAAATGAAGGATCGCGCTGACCCTGCGATGCCAGTTGCTGTTCCAATTTCACGCTGATCCGTGATACAGATAGTAGCGATCGTGGAATTGAGAATCTCGTTCCAGCCAATGAAAGCCGCAGCGAGGAAGACAAAGACGGCTGCTCGGACGGGGGTGTCTGGTGTTGAGGCCGCCATCGCTGCGATTCTCGTTAGCATGCTCGAAAGTTACAGAAACCTGTTACTCTCTTACCTGCGAGGAAGACGCTGCCAAGAATAAAAACAACTGGAATCTGGAAATTCGTTTTCCTCTTGAAGAATGCTCCGACGAATTCCCCAAACAGAATTCCGCTGTTGGAAACACACGATACCCACCCTGCCCACATAACGCTATGACCACCTGAGTAGAGAACTGCGACCATACTAGGCCAAATTATAGCGAGTGCGTAATACACAGCGGCACCCAGAGCCCAAAGAAGAACGGTAATATTCCAAGGCATGTTCTTAAAGAGCCTCATTGGTAGGAGTGGCTCCTTCAAAGGTGCAAAAGCCTCGTAGAAGCAGAATCCGACAAGGCACAAGAAACCGACGACGATGGTGGCAATCACATGGGCTGAGTTCCAAGGATGTATTGCGCCGCCCCAAGAGATGCCCATGAGGAAAAGGAGGAGACCCATAGCGAAGAGGACTGTCCCAACGTAGTCGAAGTCTTTCATGAATTGCGTCTTACGGCCTTTCCCGTGTTTCATGGCGAAGGTTGGGGGGTGGTAGAAGAAGTACCATGCTAGAGTGGTCGCGCCGTTGAGGGCGATGAGGAGGTAGAAGATGCTGTCATATGGTGAGCAAGGTGAACAAGAGGGCTACTGAGATTTTTGGCTCTTACCCCCTCCAGCCTACTCTTGTCTGGAAGATGAAGGAATATGCGATTGCAGGGGCGAACCCACTGGATGGAATTGCCCATGCAAATCTGCCGATATCAGTTGGTTTTGTCTACGATGGTTGGTGAAGGTTCGTACACCCATGCTTGAGCTAAGAATCGATATGTAGTAGGCACAAGCTCCCCAACAGCAACTTCAACGACGTTAGCTAGGGCGATAGCAGTGTATCGATAGTGCTGATAACTTACATGCGTAAGACAATTGTGATGCAGCACCAAGTCCGATAAGCGTCTCTCCAGCAATCAGTGTAGGAATATTAGGCGCAACAGCTGCAACAATACACCCGATTGTTGCTAAAGCATTGCCGCCAATGAAGAACCAACGACGACCTGTATCAATGAGCTTCATAATAAACACGAGAAGTGGGATAATGTACCGAACAAATCACTCAATCTCCCGACAAGCATTAGTCCCACGGAGTTTGTTAGAAGATAGCTGAGAGCCACCCAGCTCAGGTTGGGATCCGGCCCAATATCCGCGTTGATGAATGAGAGAACTGGGGCCGCGAGACCGAAGCCTCCAACTCCGCATCCGAAACTAGCCCCAATGGCAAACACTAGCAAATCATCAGTTTGGCAGAACCAATTGTGAATGAGACAGAAGCGTACTGGAGCCTAGAAAATTCGCACTAGTGAAGTAACCCTTCGGTAGCTCAGATTCAGCCACTGTGAAGTCTCTCCCTTTGACATCCTCTTCATAATCTTGGCGGTTTTTCCCTTGGTCGGATGCAGTCTCTAGATGGGAGATGGTATCAACCTGAGCATCGCTTTTGGGGCTTGTCATGCTGACAGCGGTACCAATGCGTCCCCACGGGGAATGTGCAATCCCAGGACTTCGAGTTATTGTGAAATGAGCCTGTATTTAGGATCTAATTCACCTTCAGCTGCAATTCAGAGGCTATGGCAGGGAATCGGAAAGTGGGTTATTCAATGCCAGGATAAATCAGGGTGGAAAGTTGGAGAAGGCGGAATCTGCAATCCCCTCTTCCCTGTCGAGGTAGAGGTGGGAAACTATAGAGACAACTGGAATGGGTTGAGCGTTGTCGGAGATAGAGTTACGCTCTTGTTTTTATGTTTCTAGAACTTAGAAGGATAACTTGAGCCGATCGGACAGACCGGACCGACGAGACTAGGTGGTGAAGCAACCTTGCCTGTCATAGAAACGAGGAGAATAAGCTAACTTAGCGTTGAGGTGAACATGCATGTAGGCGCGGAGGAAATGAGAAGCCAGACTAGGAAGCTGGGTCGGGTGGGGACGAAGGTTTTGTCTCTGCTATGAATGTCGCACACTTCGACCGGAAAACATTATGCACTGTGCGCCAAGCAGGAAGTCGGGAAGTGAGACTACTTGAATGGCAATCAATAGTTGAGAAGAAAGAACGCCGCAAGCGATTTCAAATAGTGTATGTCCCACAATCTCGTGTGTCTGCTTAGATATACTGGGAATCTGGTATCTCCTCGTGCTGCCGTTTGAGTAAAGGTGGGTACATTCACCCAGTGGTTCCAATCGCGTGGGTTTGGAACCCGTGAACCACGACCTGGGGTCACAAAATCCGGGGTAAGTGCGGGGTCGCACTAGCAATGGAGAAAAGGATTTGGATCATTTTTGGCTACTCCAGCAATATTAAATATGCTTGTCATATTCGAGCCTTGAACTAAAATGATGAGTGGCCGAACTATGATGCCTGCTTAACTGATTCGATAAAGCACTTTATCGTCTGCTCCAGCCCTACATCGTCCGCAAAGCCCAGACTTTTGGCTCTTGAAGTATCATATTTGGCCGGCCAGCTAAGAACAATTCTTTGGATGGTTTCGTCGCGTTTCTCTTTCACCAGTGATCTTGTTCCTTTTCCGGCAACCTTTTCCAATGTTTGCAGGATCTCACCGCTCGTCGCCGTGTATCCAGGGAGCAGTACTGTTCTGAAATGCCCGAACTTCTCTGCTGGAACTTCCATTGCATGCACAAGGTTGTGCGCTAGTGTACGCGGTGAAGCCAACCAGATTCCGATATCTGGATCCACCGGAAGCTCGCTCTCCTGCCCGTGAACTGGCTCTCTCACAATACCAGATACAAAGGAGGAAGCCGCCGCTGTTGGAGCCCCAGCTCTTACGAAGATGGTAGGTAATCGCACTACTCGACCATCTATTAATCCTCTCCTGGAGTAGTCGTTGATAAGAAGCTCAACCATCAACTTTTGCGTGCCGTATGAGCTCTCCGGCATTGGAACGATGTCTGTTTCGGTGGCCACATTTTTGACAGCGGCTCTCCCAAACACAGCACAAGACGATGTGAAGATAACTTTTGTTCCAGGATTCTTCAATCTGATGGTATCTAGGAGGCTGCGAACGCTTTCAAAGTTCACTTTCATCCCGAGCTCCAGGTTTGCTTCCGAGCCAGATGACATGATGCCATGGAGAATATAAACGACATCGGGCGAGCAATCTATCAGCGACTGACACGCTGAAGGATTAGTTAAGTCGGCAGCTATGCATTTCACGCTGCTGGACTTTGGTTGTGGAATCGGAGGCTCATGTACGTCAGAGAGGATGAGCTGAACATCGGGGGAGGTCTCGAGGAGCTTCTTCGCGAGGGTCTGACCGACGAAGCCACTGGCTCCTGTTATAACGATGGTCTTCATAATGGACGACTACATAGAAGGGGTAAAGAATAGAGACGGGGGCCTACAGAAAATCAAGAAAATATGCTGGACAATGTTGGAAGGGATTCGGAAAGAAGTCCGCATTCCCCCACTCTTGAGGAAAGCGCACGGGCATATCTCCAACATAACCCCCTCTTTTCAACACCAGCTCTCGGCATCTTTTCTCCCTCCCCGCTAACATACCGGACGCCAGCCGACGAACTCCACGCCTAAGGACGTATTGAAGATGTCAAGAGACTCCTCGAGATGCTATCGACGACGATTAATGGTGGATCTTCCAAGCGGAAATTAATCTTGGGGTCACTTCTGTGACGGATCGGATGCAAGCGGTCCCAATCTGGTGGATCGCGCTCATTCAGCTAGCAGGAACGTCCGTGACGCCGCAAGAACACCTGCCCTCTCTTTTAACCCGATTGTTGACAATCGCAACAAGTTCGCGAACTGTACTCGAAGGGCTGTAGAAGGCAACTTTACGAAGAAACTAGCAGTAGCGGGCACAAACTCAATCGAGGGCACTTCTTTGACATCTTACAATCGACTTCGAATCGTTGTGAGGAGGGTGTACCAACGTTCTGATATCTGTACGACGGAAAATTCAATAACATCTCTCGGCAATGGTGGGAAGGGGCTTATTACTCTTCGGGCTACCACTACTATTCGGAACTAACGGTATTGTTAGAAGTGTTTCGAATCAATTCGAGATTTAATTGCTCATGCAGATGCAAGACTATTAGCCTACTTTTGCAGAAGATCCAACTAACGGCCTGTAGGCGAGGGGATGGAACGCATATACATCTGAAGGTGACGCCGTGGCCTTTAGATTAGGCGATTATGTGACGTAAATAATCGCTGAGAACAAACTGGAGGCACAGTGTGGTGTCATGCCAAAAGCTGGGGCAATTCTGCCGTCAAAATGGGCACGACTCTCACCTAAACGGGATTCTGCATCCTCGAATCGTTGGCAAAATATACATTTCTTATCACTATTGCAGTCCATTTTCCTATTCAAGCACTGCGCTAAAACAATAGACCTGTTTCCGATGATATATATCTCTTCGCTCCTTGCTCCTTGAGATCGGGAAGCGGGCAAGTCACTCTTCGGCACTTCACGCTTTAGTAGCACACTACCGACGACATACAAACCAGGGATCCCACTCAGACATCCCATTTTGTCATTTGTCACGCCAAAAGAAGATATCCGCTCATGTCATTATTTGAATTCTACAACACCATCTCTCACCACCATCGCCTAATTGGAAGATACCCATGTCAAGCCACAAGCAGCCACAATTCGCCACAACCTAACCCGACCCAATTGTATCACTCAGATGTGGGCCGCTCGTCTATCACTTCTACATCTACCATACTCTTATGATCGCTTTGAATTTGCAATCCCGACTTGATTCCAGCACTTCAGCCTTTCCTCCCACCAATCAGGTAGAAGATGTCAGATCATGTATCGGGACCTCTCAACATCAGGGCTTTGTACTACTGTGGCTTGGCTAAGTTTGGAGATGCTGTTCACGCCATAGAAATGGGTGGAAGGAGAATGGGGGAAGAGGAGAGAAGGAGAGGAGACCCGCGAACGCGGAAGCGTATAAGATCACGAAACGCGGACGATTCGGCAGGGCAGCTCTTTGACCCGTAATCTTGCATGCTGCCAACTACACATTATTTTATTCGCACCAATATTCTTACATCTATATTCATCCATCAATAGTGATTTGGGTTGTTTGAGTTCTTCCTCTTGCAATCTCTCCGGCCTTCTCGGCAGTTCCTCGCTCCTCCAAGCCTGATTATACACCATGACGTCTCATGGTCATCAAGGTCATCACGGTCATCACGGCCACTACGTCGATGTTGGGGTCGACGTCTGCTCCTCCTCATCTTCTTCCTCAGAAGCTGATCCAGATGACGAGTGGACCTGGCTTCACCCCGAACATCACCACTACAACGGCCATATGGTCCCACATCGACATTTCCATGGCAATTATCCCCAGGCATTGTCCCCTCATTATGGCCATGGAGGGAGACATATTACCATACCACTTCCACACTCCAACAGTCCGCACAGAAATCGTGCCCGTGTGAGGTCCCTATCGCCAGTTTACTCCACTAGAAGACGAGGTCGTTCCGCAGATTGGCATTGGGACTTTGGAGGTCCAAGCATAAGAGAAGATGTATCCACCAATATCTATTCTGGAGGCGGGAGAAGCACTCTCCCAAATCTCAATGTCGATATCCACAACCACAACTCAGACCATGATCACGACCACTCTCATTCCCACAGTCCCCGATCTGGCTTCAATCAAGGCTACCACCAGCCCACCTATGCACCACCCGCGCCGGGTCCTAGCCCGTTTCATTACTCGGGATACACGACCAGCCTCTCCGGATCTGCCGCCGACGGCAGAGCCATCGTCCATGACCGCTTCAACGCCGACCACGCCGAGCGCATGAACCAGCACGTTTGCGTGCACAATGGCGACGGTGAGTGGGACGATCGATGGAGGCATCATCGTGGCCCCCGGGACTGGTACGACGACGAGCTGAAATGGCGACAAAATAACGAGCTTCAGCATGCGCAGAAGATCGCTGTCGATGACTACGTCCATCAACAGCATGAAGCTGAGGATGCCAGGAAAGCGGCGGTGCGGGACGTGAAGCTTGAACTGAAGGAGCATGAGAATGAGATTGAAGATGCGGAGGGCAAGGCGATAAGGAAGTACGAGGACAAACTTTCTGAGCGGAAGAAGGCTGCTGATGAGGCTTTGTTTAAGTTCAGGGAGGCCGAGGCCAAGAAAGCAGAGGAGTTGAAATTGGCAAGGGATAAATGGGACATGGAACAGAAGAAGAAGGCACAGGAAGAGAATGACAAGAAAAAAGCGTGGGAGTTAGAGCAAAAGAGAAAAGAACAGGAAGAAAAGGATAAGAAGAAAGCATGGGAGGCCAAGGCGCTGCAGGACGAGCAGGAGGAGAAAGAGAAACAGAAGCGGGCAAAGGAGAAATGGGAGGCTGATGAGAAGAAGAGGAAGGATGACGAGAAGAGAAAAGAAGATGAGATAAAGGCAAAGTTAGAAGCAGATGAGAGGAAGAAGAAAGATGAGGCTCAGAAAAAGGAAGCTGAATTGAAGAATAAGATAAAAACGGAAATGCTATGTACGGGACTGGCACCGAGTACTGTGGATAGCATTATGGAACCGAAGAAGCCAGTGCCCAGAATTGAGACATTCCCGGGCGTTGAAAGGCCGTCGAGGAGGGTAGAGCATACTTCATGGGAATATTTTGAGCCGTGGGACCATGAGGGACGGAGGTGGATTCGAGTGCATCGGAGATATGTGGCACCAGATACACTAAGACTATACGATCTACCATATGGGCATGATCCGGTAGGCGATCTCCTGTTATTTACCTCCCAATGCTCATGGATATTAATGCCGCGCAGGATGATCAAAACTATCTCATTATTCATCGGGATTATGATAATCCGGGTATCGATCTCAAGATTCTCATCGAACATACTCGGCGGCATAGCCATCGCGAGCCTGACTACAACGAATATGTGATTCGAACAGATCATAGAGGAAGAAAAACGATATTTCACCCGCGACGTAGGTTGAGTGGACCTCACTTTTGGGGTTGACCAAGTCGTTATTTTTGGATTCCCGATGTGTTACTACGCTATTGGGATTTATGGATGTAACTAATACCCTTATGATTTTCCCGCAATGCGTCACATTTCCCTTTCTCCATACCCGAAGGTGCAATCTTGCACTCCGTTTCGCCGTTGTGTTATAAATTCCCATTAGCGCTTATGCTCATCCCAACTTCGGCAGAAGACAAGCTCACATAATTGCGGGTACAGACACACTGCCCTAGAAACAACTGCAAACTATTTGAAGCATATATTTATGAGATGATACAATCTCACAGCTGCGAACCAGAATGCTCTCTAAGTTCGCGAGCCAACACTCTCTCATGTCGAGGAACCGTCACGCGCATATATGCACGAACCAACCCGCTCTCACTTCCACTAGTCAACGTACTCTCACGTCCTTGAGCTAAAGCACTCTCACATCCATCAGTCAAATAACTCTCTCTTCCACGGGTTAATGCGTTCTGACACAGGAGTCAACACCCCCTCACTTCCATGAGCTTACAGACTCTATCATAAGAAGCAAACAAGCTCTAAAACAAAAGCATCAGCAAAATAAGCCGCAAGGTGAATTTGTCTTCGAATCTACCAAAGGAGGCTGTGGGAAGTGATAGACAACCTTCAAGAAGGATTCAGCGCAGGTCGACCCTACAGGGAAGATAAAAGTATGAATTAATTAGGTGTCAGAAAGAAAATCCCTTGGTTGTCAAGCTATCTCCGGATATCAATAGAAGATATACTACGTTTCCAGGAAACCCACGTCTCATATTTAAGTGTCGAGTTTCCCAAGTTCGATCGATAGAAGGAGAAGGTGTTGGAAGGTATTCGTTTGCGATTTCTAGATCTGGCTTATTTTTCACGCTACCTTCTACCCAAGTCTGTTTTGGGATATTTTCCCACCATGCTTCTATATCTAATGAGCAGCAAGTCCAGTCCACTACTCGATTAGATACGTCATCTTAGCCACTCGCTCCTTGACAACACTGACTCAACGTTCCACCAACGCCCATGGATTACCTCAGCCCCATAAATTCGTGTTCGCCTTCGATTATTTCGTGGGTTTGCCTTTGACCTACAAAGCCTGTTTGCTTCTGCACTCTTCCCGCACTCTTCTTCCCTTTCCTTCTCCCCTATGGTTACTATAGAAGAACCTGCACTTTGCTATACCCCCCCAACACCCAGAATAATACCAATGAGCGAAAAGGCTCCCCAGATGGAGCCTTGGACATGGAGTTTTGGAGGACAGTAACTATACTCAGTCAGGATCTACCCTTAAATTCAGGGCAAAGTCGTCTTACAGATCACCAGCCAGTCGAACGAAACCAGCCCAGAATAGCCAACTTCCTAACCAGGTATAGCTCAAGTTGTAGAAGATGAAGGCCGAATAGCCGACCGTTTTATTTGAGAGAGAGCTGCCTTGGAAATTCCCTCTGAGGTTCCCAGTGTAATAAGAAACAAGTAGGAAAATCTCGTATAAACACAGCGGAACTCCCATAATAAGATAGTATAGAGCACCCCCATACATGATCTTGGCAGCAGCGGGAAGGCTCTTGTTGGCTGCGGTCCCAACGAGATAGTATCTACGAGTTGAAGCAAAATGCGCCGTCTTGCCCATAATGTAGAGTGCGATAATCTGCAAAGCGATCTCTGCAAAGGCCTGGGATTTTGCTGTCGAAGCCCAAGGTCGATCTTTCTCGTGTGGCTGCTTTGGAATAGGCTCCAGTGAAGTAACATTCCTGTCTTTCGATTGAGGCTCTAATTTGAGTCCCTCTCTCTGTACATCCAGTTCATCAATTACAACGGGAGTGTAAGTAACAGTTGGATTGTGGACCTCATATTGACTGAGTAACATCAAAACTATCCAGGACAAACGAGGCCGAACGGTGAAAAATAACATAAGCTCCCAAATCTTGAAGTCGGCATTGTATCCTGGAGTCTTCTGAAAAATCCTTCCAATAAGAGCATTAGCACCAAGCTGAAGGGCAACATTGACGATCCACATGACTCGGTGAAGTTTACTGTTCTTGTTTTTGAAAAATCGGCGGCCAGTCAAACGATAGAAGGTGTAGCGATTTCCAAAGACCACGCTTAGGGCAGTGACGACGATGTTGACAAGGGCGAATGTTCCGAGGATTTTTGAAGCTGAAGGGCAGATGACGAGGCTGTCGTCTTTTGGCGTTATGGTCCATCCCCACGGAAGCAATTCTGTCGCGTTCTTCATCGACGGTGAAGGTATTTGAAATCGTTGTTCGATATGAGGAAGTCTTTGAAGTGTATAGGTTCCTAGTTCGAGTGATGTAGGAAGGGTTCAGCCTTCCTTGGGACAAATGCCATTCATATGTTCGACCACCAGAAGTGAACCCGGTCCCAAAACAGGAGCTGAGCAGAGCTGAGCTTGGCAGGCCAATTCGATGGCATGATAGCGGCATCAATTGGATTAGCATGACTGCGTAGGGTATTACTAGGGCATGTATTGGTCGAACAACCTTTGGTAATGTCTTGGTGGATAGGGTTAAGCGAAATCGTGCTTTGATCAGGCGAGTGGCGTAAGCCATCGCAATTTTGAAAACGCAGCCTTGCGACATCAGGCTGGCATTGATGAAAGGAAAAAAACTTGCAAAGAAACGGCGAAGGAATTCCAGGGAGTAAAAATATTCCCTAACTACCCCTTGCACCGAAAACGTCGGAGAACAGTAACTTACTCAGCCAGACTTATTTCGGGTGAGCCGGATCTACATACAAAGGTCCAGCCGGATTCAGAAATCTAGAGAGAAGGCTATAGTAAGAAACTTGCCCAGCGGATAATTTACATTTGGTGAAAGCAGGATCTAGTGCGATCATTGTCCAGTGCTAAAGCAACTGATCAACGGAATTGAGCATATTTCTCAAGGATTTGAAGGTGTTGTAAGGGTCAAAGTTGATGGAAGCTGATAACCCTACAAATTGTAGAGCTGAAGCATCTAACTACCGCAAGCTATAAGAGTAGGTAAGCGAGATAACAGGAAAATATCACCAGAACAACTTTTGATGAAGTCGTTTTCTCGATAATACCTAGAAGACTCGAGGGCGTATGAGAGAGCCTAGCCTTGACAAAGAATGCAAACCTCGCTCAGGCTTAGCAGCTGGGCGAATGGCTTTTGTACTCTTCTGTACTATTAAATTGACCTTGAATTCCTGGGACGGTTGTCAAACAACCTGTTTGCAGAGACCAATACTGTGGCAATGTGAAGATCCTATCCTGCGCAATGAGTTTTACGCTAAACAGCATCTAATTTATGTTCTTGTAACCGTAGTCGATTTATGGCGGTGACCGTGCGTAGGAGAATCGAACCTTGGGCCGAGATCTTATATAGTGTTCTTTAGGCTTCGTCGTATCCTGGGTAGTCGTGTGATTTATAAGGTCGATGAGTAAGGCAGGAAGGAGGGAATCACACCTCAGAATGCTCTCGCTTTTAACTCCCACTATTTTTCATTCTTGGAAATTGTAATCCGTTTGAGTTTGCTCCGTGCAACCCGAACTCAACTTTCACACCGCAACGACGATTGTTGTTCACCTCAGCCCTTGGCGGAAAACACAACCACAGCAACCGTACTTACTAATTGAGTTTGTACACCTCTATTCTATTTGTTTTTCTCGTGCACCCTCACTAACCCGCACTTAAGCCACAGAGCCCTCAAAATGTCCTCCTCACTCCCTAAACCCTCTGATTCCACCTTCACCCCTTACCCGTACGACACCTCCCTCGCAGACCTCGGCCAAATCCGCTACGACCAAGATGTAGCCGCAATTGGCGACCGCGACCACGCTTTCTTCACGCAAGCACCGGTCCATGTCGCCTCGGGTCGGGCCCCGGAAGGTCTTGAGGCCCAGGTTTTCGCTTGGAACCTTATGCAACACACAACTGAGGATCGCGATGACCGAGAAGAGCTGAAGGGAGATCTACACGGGGGGCAGCTTCACCGTGCAAATCGGGCCGCATTGCAGCCGGTGCCGAATATGTCGCTACTGGAACCGGTCGGTGGAAGGGGTCGAGCTAGTGGACGGTCGAGAAAGCGCGGACGAGGAGGTATTTTTCCTTTATGGGGAGCTTGAGCGGTGGGAAGTTGACTAATAGGTTCGCAGGTCAGCAGAATGGCGATCGAGGAGATCTTTCGCCATTTGATCCTCTGGTTGCCGCCTATAAGCCAGAGAATAGTTGTCCACCATTGGCGAAGGGGCACGCAGCTGAGTTGCCGGCGGAGCTCTTCTGGAATGAACCGATACCTTGCGATTTGTAAGTGTGCATGGAGGTTGAAAGTCGCGTTGTAGTGGTAGAGGGGTTCTTGGAATCTCAAGGTAAGTTCATCCCAGATGATACTTTACTGAAAATGTGTGAGACTAACGTTGAAAGCATAATTATCTCCTCTTCGCCGCCTTCCTCTCTATTACATGGCGGCTTCAGATTCTGGGACATGATGGAAAAGAACCTGAATCAAGACGGGCAGCATGACACTATCTTCAACTGAAAAAAAAATAGTCGAAGGGAAATTTGCTGGGAACATAACCTGTAAATCTCCCCTCAAATCCAACCATTTTGCCAGGTCTTCATCCAAACCACACAATACCTCACCTATCTAGAAGAGACTCCTCACATTTCCATCCTTTCCTGCTCTCTCAACAATCCCACCCTTCTCCTTGCGCCTGCGATCTCATTCAACCAAGTCCCCAACCTCAGCCCAGCCTTCGAAACCATCTCATCAACAACCGGCACCGCACCCTCAAAATACTCACCTCCAAGATCATTCTGTTCAATCCACTCCACCCCCCTCTCAAGTACATATCCACAAACTAACTTATTACTCTCCCCCGCCCACTTTAACGCACAGTCCTCTGCTTTCTTCAAATCCTTGCATTCTGCCACAGTATCCCAATTCCACACGCGCAAACTACTCGCTTCAAAGAGTTCCGTTGCCCAGGTCTGTGCGGCATCTTTGAGGACTTTATCGTCGGACTCACTAGCAGGCAGGCCGCGCGACTTGTGCAGGATTTGCGTGTCCCAGATGGAATGCAGATTTTCCTTCTTCGAGCAATGCGAGTCGAAACATGCGTGGATGTCGTTGCCGCCGCGGTCCAGGGCTTCGGTGTGCAGGGGTTGGTGGATGTCGCCGAGAAAGTGGATTAGGAACATTAGTGCTTCTTTGTGTTGGGTGGAGTCGAGTTTTGGGGAGGATATTCGGCTTGTCTGGAAGGGTTGCAGGTCAATTTATGTGACCACCTAAGACTTGCGGAAGAAATAGATATAAGGGAGAAGACTTGTGGTGAGAGGAAGAGGGATATATACCATATTCACAATTGCAGAAACAATACAGCCTTTCTTAGGCTTGCAATCGCGATTATACTTTATGCCGCATTGCGTTGGCGGATCATCTTCTGCATCTATAGTTCCCGCTCTATTAGCAACCTATCCAACATGCCTAACCTCCACCTCTCCAATAATATGACTTCTCAGGGGTCGAGACTCGAGAGCATACCGATATAATGCCAAACCCTCGTATGCGTATATCCCGTCCTCCTCTTCACACTATCCGCCCACAATGCTGCGTCTGAAATGTCATAGCCTTTATCATTCACGAGTAATTCGGTGACCATGGCTGTTGCATCCGTTGTTAGGTATTTCTCAGCTAGGTAGCCGACGGTGCGGTGGCCGAGCTCGCCCCAGCTGTGGACAGTGGGGGTGGATAACAGGATGAGGAGGGGGGATAGTGAACGCATGGCTTAGGGATTATATGGGAATCTTTTTGGGGGGGATATGGATAAGGGAATAGTGAGTAGCGGCTATGGAGGAAAGAACATAGGAAGAGAGAAACGGAGATGAGAGTGATGCGCGCGAAGCTTCTATATACCTACTCAGAGGAAGGGGAGGCTGAGACGTTCCAGAGTTCGGTCAGCTGACAGCATTCCTCGAAAAACGTGCTCGCAGCTGAAGAATATCAATGGTGAGGAGAAAACCAAAGGTATAGTTGTCTGCAAGCCGTTTCCCAAAGCGTTCGTCATGGGCACCAATTGTCTGTCGAAAGCGCACACAGGCCCGGAGGGGCTGGGGACACCAGCCCCCGTTCTGGCCGCAAACAGGCACCGTTCAGCCCGCCTCGAGCCTTATTGCTTTGTTGTGGAGGCCTTGGAGACAGCCACTCTGTCGCAGGAGCTGGGGGCTTTATTTACGCGGCGTGCATGTGGATTGCCAGTTGATCTGCTTGCCATTCGCTTGCGGAGAGGGTGGCTGCGGGCTTTGCCGCGGTGCAGCCTGCTCAGAGCTTGGCAGATAAAAGCATCCCACCATGAATGTTATTGTTTCTAGCAATGGTTTAGTCCTGTAGACTGATTCTATTAATCTTGTGAGTTGGGCAAACGTGTTGTGTGGTTGAACCTTAGAACCTTTGTGGACAAGATGGCACGTGACACTCACGTGCTGACCTAGTTGGGTGTCTACCTTCCTGCCTGCCTAAACCCTAAGCCTGATTTCAGACATGTATCGTTTGGATATTGTTCCCTATAAATTTCAGCTTCTAGCCTCGAAGATTCAGCCATGCATTTTTGTGGAACTAAAACCAGTTCACCTCTCTGGTTACCCGATGCAGGAAGCCACAGAAGCTCTCCCAGATATGCCTGTCACTGCCTCTCAGCCAGTCAATAGTAACCTCTTTCGGCTCTTCCTTCACCTGGACTCTAAACGCCAAGACTACATCTCCCGTCATCATCAACTTCTCCCCAGCTTCATGAGCTTTCCTCTTTAGGAACCGGTACTTCCGACTCCAAACATCCCGCGGCGTCTCACCAACACCGGTGGAGGTATCAAAGGTGAGGTCGAGCGAAGATAATTGAGTGGAAATAGTGTTTGTGACCGTTTCTGGGTCCTGAGTGGGGGCCAAAGGGATTTTGTATAGTGTCGGATATGGGAGATATTCATGCGCAAAGCGGTCTGGTCGAGCGATGTCCTTTTGAAGTCAGTATGGGAAGAAAGAAAAGGTGAGAATTAAGGACCCACATTCCGCGGTCGGTAGACGCCAAAGCTCCAAGCGACGATCCACCTCTTGGTCCTCCCGCCAGTGTCAATGACGCCTACAGCGTAATTCTCGATTCCATGTCCTCGCAAGATGGTGATGACTTTGTGGGCGCTCTCTAGTTTCCCTAGCATACTACTGTACCACCTCACTCTTTCCCGCAAAACCAGACTCTCGTCGATAATTTGAGTGACGAAGCCAAGATCACCACCAGGACAGACCATCTCGGTTGGTGTTCCGGAGCACCCTGCATGTGGCCGATAGACCTTGCCTTCACCTTGCATGCTTTTGTGCATGTCCTCTTCGCTAGTGAAGAATGGTGGATTGCAGATGGTAAAGTCGAGTTTCTCCACACCTAGACCATGCAACGGGATTAGTGAAGGGATGTTGGTGGTTTGGAGAAGCGTGCTGCGTGAGAGGAGGTTGTTAAGTGCGAGGTTTCTGCCCGCGTAGTTGAAAGATTTCTTGTCGATGTCTGTAAGGCACATTCGCCAATTCGGGCGACTGGCGAGGATTAGTAGGGCGTAGATTGCGGATGCTCCTGTTCCGATATCTAGGCCAACAATCTCACGGTTAGCGTCGGCTTCGTCTCCGTAGTTTGGTCCGGTTTGATCGAGAAGAGCTTGGATCCAGACAACATAGTTAAATCTATTTGGAATTGGAGGGCAAAGCCGATCGTAGGGGAGCTCGATCTCTAGACCGAAGTCGACTCTTAGCACAGCCTTTGTGACCGCTTGATAGACCCTAGGGTCTGTGAAGTCGGTATATCCATCGTAGCTTTGGAGGTTTCCCAAACGGTAGTCTTTGCTGGCGAGGTCTTTGAAGTCAATTTGCTCCGAATAAGGCTCTGTGCGGACCATGTTGGGGTAAGGGCGTCAAGAGCCGATGCAATAAGACTTAGGGCGCAAATAATAAAGTCAACAGGATGGGAATAGAGCTTCACGGACTATGTGAGTATTGGAAGGGGATTTCATCGGTTCCTTATCCGACAAGTTTAACGATTTGATTGGAGGTGACTGTTCCGTGATTCGTTAGTGGGGAGAGCTCAGAGGACAGATTGATTAGTCAGAGATGAGAAAGCGCTCTAAGCACATTAACTACAGTGAGATTAATTTGGCAAGAGTTTTTCTGCTAATTAAGCCGCTTCCGCCTCCGTGCCGCGAAACGCCGCTTGTGCTGAAAAGATAATTTGACTTTTCAGTATCTCAGGATCTGCACACTCTTATCTGGTTAGAGCACTTTGTTCAATGCGCCCTGTAGGTACTACGTCATATTTACCCTTCCTACCTAAAATTACACAGGTATAGTCCTCCTCGATTTCTGCATCGTGCACGCTGGTACCACGGCCTGAATTTCTTTCCTCACTAACATTATCGTCCTTTTATCAAGTTTTAAATTATCAACGAAGTACGTAGTGTAGAAAGTCTACTTCTTAAATTTCCTTAGACTAGAGGTTCGAGGGTTCAAATACCTAAAGTTCTCAAAGAGAATCTATCAATAAAGGTTACAAATCGCATGAAAGTTTTATCACACACCCATACGTCTTTCAGTCTTTATCACCGAAGAAGATTTCTTAACACTTATACTCTGTCTCTTGTTGCATAGCTGTAAAGTGATTGAGACATATAATAGCTGGGGTGGCGTAAGACTAAATCAAAACAGCAGGTCGTATGTCTAGCCTTTGATGTAAGAACGAGCCTCTAATCTATCAGCTAGAACCACTTGTGTGCCAGTAGCACAGTTTCCGTCCTCAGTCGCCTCTAAAGCACTCCTTCCGGGCACGCTTACGACAAATTGGAGCGAGATCCATTGCATTGCGTTTCTGGCCTTCGATATCGGCATCCATCTTTGGTCTCGTATGAGCAGCTATTAGAAGTGAGGCTTGGTTAAGTGAATTAGAAGACGAGATTTGACTAGTCAGGTTAGAAACGAAAACAATCGAAGACGACGGCTTACCCCTTTGCGTAGTGTTGGGGCTGAAAGGAATGCTGGACCAATCGCTGGTCCCGCTCTGCGATTACAGGAAGGGAGTAAGCATCCGTGCTGTCCATTGAGTACTGGATGTGCGGAGTAGAATTGAGGACTATTCTCACGGCCCCATTTGGGCTCTTTGGCATCAGAATTGTTGGCTTCGTATGTGGCTGACCATATGATTGTGGTAGCGAAACAACTTTCAGAGCTTGTGACGTTTCGCCTTTCTCGCCCGTAAGGAGGCGAATTGATACCTTTTCTCCTTTTGCAACATCCATTACCACTTGGCCGGATCCATCCTTAGCATCAATAACTGAGGCGCTGGAGATGACTTGGCCAGCTACTAGTCCAAAATTTGATATTTCGGAGTTGGCGATCTTGGTGAGATCATAAGACTTGCTTTCAGGAGTCTCACCATGCCCAAGGTTCCCATAAACATCAGGCTGACATTCGTTGGTAAAGACTGAGTCTGGGATGTCTAGCACAGTCGGACGCTGACCTTTGTCCGACAGGACGACATACTTGCCACAAGAAGAAATTTCCAACGAGTCCAGGGAGCTGAATCCGGCTTTATGAAGCGGTAAACTGTTCAAACGACTGGAGGAGTGCTGGACTTGTCCTACGCAATTTCTAACATTAGCGCCGAGATGTAACATAGAGCGATCAGTGAAAGAGAGAGACTACGACGGAGAGATTCAAAAAACGTGCCGCTGAAATAGAAATATAGCAGAGATGAAATGTTAAAGGGTTGCAAAAAAGGCATGTGTCGTATGCAAGATCGGGGAGATATGTAAAGTGAGGGTAAATATGGGCTCTAAGGGTGGCATACCTTTTCCGAAGTTCCAAAGCTCAACGCCCTCGACAGTAGCGAAAGCTAGAATCTGATCCGTAGGATGAAACGCTGCCATGTTAGACATCATAGACAGCTTGTTAAGCCGGAAGACATTAAGAGTCCTGATCTCCAACGGCTCGTCCCTGCAGATCTCAAATACCACTAGCGTGTCGTATAAGTCGATAGAGTCTCTAAACGAGAGAAAACGACCATCTGGGCTGAATCCAATCGAGTAAACGTATCGAGCCCGATGGAGAAACGCTACGCCATGGATAGCATGATCTCTTGGGTCGAACGCCTTGAGGTCATCGGCCCATTTAGGTTCGTGACCGGGCACACTACTAATAGGTATGACCGCTTTCTTCACTATGGGTGTCGATCGAGCGTTGGAGTAATCGAGGACAAAAAGTGTTCGTAGTATGACGATAGATCGAAGATCGTAGCTGATAGCCGTTGGAAATGCAGTTGTCCATTTCCCTTGATCGAATTCATGGAGTGATTGTCTCATCTGCATCCATATCTCTTGCGTCTCAAGGGGTATATGAAGCGTAGCAAGTCGTTTTTTGGAGTCTACGCTCCATACCTCGTATACGGCCACCCAGTTGTCACACACATCCATCACGGCTATGAGAGACTCGTTCGCCTTCAGGCTCTGCCATCTCTCTTCGTAGGCTTTGGAAGGCCATACATGAAGGGCGCAGTTTAAAAGTCCATCGGATGAGATTGCAGACACTGTACAGAGAGGCCGTGAGCTCTGAGCGCAGTCAATCGGAAGGTCCGGTTGGAGATAGGTAACTTTCGTGAGCTCAGCTTTTGATTGCAAGAACCGGCTTCCTGAAAATGCGACCACTTCGTTCCATATGAGATCCTGCTCTAGTCGCAGCCTCGCTCCCCATTGCTCAAAAATCTTCTCAAGATTTCTAGCGAATTCGCCGAAGTTATTGACAAACTCAGCAAATCGAGGAAAGCGGTCAGGTTCGTGTCGCACATTACGAAGCCATGTTGCAACTGTTCCAACTTTGGCGAACGGGCTCTCAGTGGAGTCGAAGGGGGCGTAGTGACAGTATGCAGCAAGCCACTTAGTGACCACAATCGGATGGTCTAGAAACTTCTCCAAGGTGGCCAGAGGTTCCTCTATCATCCGAGAATTATCGCTTCCCATCACTAGCTCCGAGGCTAGAACTTCGCCGCTGAGCAAGACCAAGTGGGTTACCCAGTGCACTACTGCGTACTGTATGAGGGTGCCTCTACGCATGTCTTGTTGTTGGGTTGTATGTAGAACGTGCTTCAGACATTCCTGAGCAAGCGTCGAGTGACCAATGCCTTTGCCGTGAAGACTCTTGACCCATGCCGATGCCTTTGGATTGTTGCCTGTCTTCTGCAAATGCTCTTTGACTGACAGATGGATGAATCGGACACCGAGGCTACGGTTTCCATTGGTTGTCAAACCCGGCGGAAAATTGTAAGGTTCAATCGTATAGGTTTCCGTCAAGGAACCGCAGACGGAATTGAGGACATCTATGAAGCTTCCTATTTCGAGTTGCTCATCTTCATGATCGCCTCCTTGGTCCATGTAAATGTACTCATGGAGTTGTTGAACTGACAAAGGCGCTACAGCATAAGTGATCCAGGACATGATCTTGTTTGCTACATTCCGCTGCAGCTCTCCAGAGTTCTCGATGAGATTGAGGATTCTGTCATACATCTGATCCAACCCTTCGGGATAGGTGACTTCCTGAATTACGGAAAGACGCCGGAGAGGTGTCAGAACGGGCGAATTCAAGAGCTTAACCATGAGTTTCGCCCAGATAAACATTCCATTTGCGCCTTTGGTGAGCTGACCTGCAATCTCAGAAGAATCAGCCGTAGGTAGATAACCTTCCTCAATCATGCCATCTAAACTTTCACAGAGATACTTGTAGATGTCCCCCGAAACAGCGGCTCGATCAATTGCTATGCGTTGGGCGGGCTTTATTGCACGAGAGAGATTGGTGACGTTGAGCCGACTTGATAGCAGAATCTTGACATTCAAGTATTCGAGCAGAATCCGTACTGTGTTCAAGAGGCCTATTCTGTCAGAGCACTCATCAATGCCATCGAGGAATAGATATGTGGGCCCGAGATCCGGCAGGATTAGTTGAAGAAGCTCTTTGAGTTCCGTGCTCGACGCACGTAGCTGTCCAGTTGTCGTATTGGTGAGGGAAAACGCATATTTGTCAAGAATGTTGGTATTGTGCCGATGTTGGTGAAGAATCTGTGACAATATAGATCGATATGCTGCCGTCGGTTGCGATTCAGAGAGCTTCAGTACATCGCAGGAGAAGAAATGGTAACACACAGTAGCTTCAGATCCCGGCAGGTCAGCTGTTGCTCGCATTTCTTGGACGATGGATGAGACCAGCGTCGTTTTACCAGCACCAGGATTTCCTAGATTAAGAACTTAGCACAATGTTTAACAGTTACTTCGGCTGCAACCGTGGCTCGAATGGATTGCACTAAACAAAGCTGACACAGCAAGTTGATAGAAACGCACCGTGAATCCAGAGCGCCCGTGGCCCAAGATCCCTGGGATCGACACTACTCTTCTTCGAGTTTTCTCTTTCCTGCCATGACTCAAAGGTGGAATTGCTGAAAATCCACCCGCAAGTGCCGTCTGACCTATCTTCTAGTGACGACTCAAGAATGTCAGCATAATCAGGTGGGCTGATCCATTTGTGTACATCTTTGAATACCCTGTCTTTCGTCAAATAGAATTAGCAACCTACATGTCCTGTCAAGAAGTCTAACATACCCTGGATAAATTCTTGAGTATCTTTCCCCACTTCCCGGATATTGCGCCTTGAATCTTCTGCCAGCCGACGTTCCTCAGCTGCGAAGCTGCGTTCAACCTCTGCTGCATCTTCGGTTAACACGCTTTGCTTTGTGCGGAAGAGCGCAAGCTCATCTCGTATGAATTGAGCGTGCTGGTTAAACTGCTGCAGTAGGTCCTTGAAGAGGATATCAACTGGAGTCCAAACCAAGTTCCACACTACTGCCGGCCTTTTCCTCATATCTGCGAAATCAGGTCAGCTTCCAAAATACGATAGCATAAAGATATCATACCTCCGCTACCTGTGCTGAATATCTTAGCGATATGCTGGAAAAAATTGAGCAAGTCGCCGTAGACGTGTTCAACATGTCTCTTAAGTCTTTGGGAGCTATCTCTTCTGCAGAAGGCATTAATCTCCTGGTACTGTGGGAAGGATTCCGAGATCCTTTGCAGAATGCCTAAAAGCTTCTCAAAAAAAGACGAGAAGTTGCTCGCCAACTAGTTGTCTTCGTCAATGTTCATGCTCAACCAAAAAAGGGGCTGCAATAAGTTAGAGCCTTACCTGCAAGACCAGACGAACGGACCCCCATACTATTGCAGAGTATGTTGGGTTCGATTGGATGAAGATAGATATGCAGGCGAAAAACGGCTGCAAACGATCGCTAAAGGCTTTCACTCTGTTTACTGCTCGATTGACACGGGTTTTCTGCCATTTTTTGCCTAGTACGCTGAGCTTATGAATGCTCTGGAGGAGGTCGTCAGCTGATGAGCATGGAGAGTAACGGCGTTTCTCCTTTTCCGGCAAGCTGTTGAAGAAATTTTGGAACGCGGTTTCGAACGCGTCGTTCTGACCTGCACTCATGGTGCCGAAGGACCTTTTCGGTCGTGGTGGTCGTCGAGTCCGTCGTTCTTCAAGAAGCTGATGTTCAGCCGGGTGGCGAGTCCATCTGAGGCTGTGCGGTGCAGTCTAAACATGTGCTCCGCCCTGTGTCACCTGCACCATCAACGCAATAGGGGGTAGCCACATCCACAATACACGCCTGGGGTACGGATAGATCTCGATATCTTCTGGCACTGAAACATGGAAGATGCTGAGTCGTGGCGGTACGACCCGGCCCTCGAGTCACTTGAAGTCAATGAACCTGGTTTTAGGCCACTCGGACCCTTGTTATTCTGTAGAATGCCACCACGGAATGCGTCGCACAAATTTCATGTAAGTTCGACATAGGCACAAGAGATGATGAAGAGTTGGTGACTGTGTTAAAAAGCACAGAAGTGCACCGGTGGTCCTAGAAAGAAGCAAATGTTGTAAATTGCACATCCACAATGATGGAGCAAAACATCCCCAAGTTTAGCGCATTCGCTTTAGACACGACGCCAGATAAGTTGGGCATGTACGGGGATTGAGTTTGTGCCATCAACCAATAATGCACATGCTGAATCGCATAGGTTGTTGACTGAGGACCCCAACTCATCGACACGCATCTCCTCTAAGTCCACCCCACTAGCTTCTTTAATACTCACGACCCTGAACCCTTAGTCACATTTCTAACTACTGAAATTTTGCACAGAGAGGGCTGTATGCTACTCCTGGACAGAAAAACTAAAATAATAAGTCAGTTTTACAGCTTATAAGGAAACATAGAACTGGTTAGCAGAGAAAGGGACTTGGGCCATTAATTTCGGCGGCAAAATCCATCATTTTGTAGGGCGTACAGAGTAGTCTGCAGGGTGACATTCCTGCGTGCAACACATGTCCACGCCGAAGTATTGCAGACCGTCTTTCTTTGCTTGATCTTCGCAAAGCTGGATATTTCTATAATTAGCTTTGCTTCTCCCGGCTCTATTCATCATATCCTGGAAAGTAAGTTCTTGATTGTGTGCGAGAGGATGGCGTGAGGAGGAATCTCTCTGGGAGTGAAGCGGGAGTTGCCATCACCGGTAACTTAGTATGCAGGCCAATTGACCAGCAGCCTAAGCACTATAAACGCTCCCTCTCTTTTTAGTGCGAGTCAGTGTATCTAGGAAACTCGAAGGCACGGGAAAAGCCCCGATTTAAACCATTACCGACTGTGCATTGCTAATTACCGGTGATCTTAGGAAGACGCATGCTGTTAGCAAGGGAAAGCTGGAACACAACTACTCCTAATATTGACGCCTGCAGAAAGGGGTCATGGACAGTCCCGTGAGGTAGAAGATCGATGATTCCTCATGGCGATTTGGAGCTTAAACACCACCAAGTTGCATTGTGGCGCAGTGGAGAGGGACGGTACAGCCTGCAAGAGCACTGGGGCAGTGGCAGGCTTACTCACATGATATATAAGCTCTCAGGCGTACTTGAATCGTCTAGGACAAGACTAAGCAGAATAATACGGTAAATGAAAAATTACGTCACCACATTGAAAGGCACCAACACATAGTAGGAAACCCCCTAGTCTAGAGGGCCGTGCGGTGAGAACAAATCGATCTGCAAATCCGGAAGCCGATTGTGCTCGCGACTTTACGAGGCGAATTCGCTGGTGGGTTAGTGCTAGGAGACAAAGGGTTTGAACAAGTTTGGCAGGAAGTTGCTTTAAGCTATTCTACATAAGTATCTTGCGGTAAAGTATTTTAGCTAACTTGCTTTATTTTAAGTCACAAAGTTTGCGGCTCTTGGAAGTCTTCACATGATTTGCATCCTCGTAAAAAAGTACTCTGCTATCATAATGGTATTGCCGGAGCGGGCCGGCTCACCTCCCTTCTAATGGTGGTGATGGTAGCGAGCTTGGAGTATTTTACATTTAAATCGCCTACTATAAACGCCGCTGATTATGCTGCCGTTGAACAACCCGGTGCTAAGAGGCTGTACTGGCGTTAGCAGATCGCAACCTGCAGCCGATGGTGTAACAAAACTACTTAGATTCATCCCCAAGCGGCAGTCTTGGCAGTGGGCTTTACCTGGAACGGGAAACTCCATGCTCAGATAGGTAAGTGAGGAAAAGGGTCCTATTGTGTCCTAATCAACAGTGTTTTGTAAGGCATCTCGTACAAGCTGGTTTATCCTCTTTAGTCGCCCTAAATCTGACCAAGCACACACAATAGACGTAGATGGAGCTCATATGTAAGTCTACTTCCCCACTACACCACCAAATGTAACGGGATCAGTAGCAGCTTCATATATATATATATATATTCGAAAGTCCACTTACTGGCTACATCACCAAACAGGACGGGATTAGTAGCAGTCTTAAATATTGATATTTAAAGGCTTACTTACATACTACACCACTAAAGACGGCTGGATCAGCAATGGCCTCACATGTTGATATTCGCACGTCTACTTCCTACACCACCAAATATGGTGAGCTCAGCAGTAGCCTCATATGTTAATATTTGCGGGCCTACTTACTTCCTACACCACCAAACACAGCGGGATTCGCAGTAGCCTCCCATGTTAATATTCGCGGGTTCACTTACATACTATATCATCAAATACAACGGAATTAGCAGTTGCTGCATATCAATATTCTCAAGTCTACTTACATCCTGGAACCACCAAACACAACGGGATCAACAAAAGCCTTCCGTGTTAATATTCGCAGGTCTACTTACACCGTACACCATCAAAGATAACCGGATCAACAAAAGGCTCCCATACTATTTGCAGGTGGCACACTAAAACAAATAGAAGCGGATATCGCCCCACCACACCAGCAGACAGAGGATGTGTGATACTATGAATTGGCAAACTGTTCAATACTTGAGAGTGCACACCACACAGCTGCGTCATCACTGGTGTATCGCGACTGTGGGACGTTACTCAGTGCAGCGTGAAGACGGATACAAGCAGAAAGAGGAGCTTTAGGGGTCTGAAAGTACACATGACTTCGGAAATTGGACTACTCCTTCTCTTGGTCAGGCATACGCTAGTGCGTTACGGATCCATAGACAGCATGTTAAACGGCAGATATCTTGCAATGACAGCCCTTATAGCAATCGAATGCCCATCAAGACCTCAGAATAGAGAAGTAGGTCCCTAACCCATGCGCTTCAATTTTATCCTTTGTAGTTTCTGCTTCCTTGTTCCGTGTCCTTTCCGCCTATGCTACTACTGGTTCAGCACTTTTGCGCTTCTGATTACATTTTCCTTTTAATACAGCTGCTTCTTTTGCTTTCTAACTACTGTGACTGAGTTCGTATTGAGAAGGAGGGTACATTTACTAAAGGATTTTAGGCAGCATTTGCTAGCTTCTATAGGGGTTGTTTGTCTGGGCTACTGAGCATATGAGCGTTCTGGTTGATTAGATTATGCCGTACTGTAAGAGCCTCTAATGTCACTGGTATTTGAGCTGCTTTGCATTGCGGATAAAATTCCGCCTTCGCTTCACCTTTCTGGGGAGAATACGGTTTTGTTATGGGCTTCTAGATATCTCTAAGGACTTTGTCTAGATCAAACGGATATAAACATGCCTTTGCCTAACCTCATTTAATGTTTCGGGAGAGAGGTCCGGTAAATAACGTGAATGGATATACAACGTGTATATAGTACAGCTTAAGCAGTGCTTACAAGACCGTGTCTTGGTCGGGCGCGGGCGCAAGGAAGTATCTCCTCCATCACAACCATAGTTCCGGATTGCCAGCCACGCGAGGCTGAGTATTCACGAAGCCCGGCGCAACGTAAAGCCAAGGTAAAACTTTCAATAGATGATCCCAAACTGCGGAGGGATTCCGATATCCACGATGTCACACCTCCCGTTGAGAGGAGAGAACCGGCCAAAGGCATTTTCAGCCTATTTTTCTAGTTCCAAGTGGTAATTATGTGCAGGAGGGGTTTAAAAGAAAATAAGCGAGTACCGATTACAAGTGTCTACAAGGAGGTACTCGTTAGAATGTTAATTGGCCCAAGTACCATCCCCATGGCGGTTATTCGTTACACAGGGTGGTAGGGAAGGTTAAAACCACTTGCTAGAATAAATGAAACTTCGTAAGGGCGCCAATTTCCGTGCTGCTCCGATTTATCCCAGAACTCTGACAACACTTTGCCATACCAAGTATTTGCACAGAGACCCTACTTGTACTAGGATAGAAGATAAGTTCTTGTTGACTTCATTCAAAATTCTAGCAATAGATTTAAGCATCCGGCTTTTCTACGTTAATATTCTGTGTTAGGTGTAGATGTATTGCGCGCTCTAACGTGTAGCAATTTGACCATTGGCTGGATCAAATCCAGCTCCTTTCCGACTGCATATATCATACAAATTTCTAGATCAAGAATGGTCCATCATAGGCTCCTTGGGGTTCTCCGAGTCTAACAGCTTCGAGACTAGGAACATCTCCAGGCTCATAGAAACCAAGAAGGACCTCCATGTCCTCTTCCGTCATCTCACAAAGCTCATCCAGACTCCATTGCTCACAGACCTTGGACATCCTTGAACACGTCAGAAGATTGATAGCAATATGCTAGATAGGTAGACGAACCACTGCATCCGCTTGGGGCCTTCCTCCTGACCCGGAACGAGCTTCCTTAACTTCTTTCTCAAGACGCCTACTCTCTGTATAGCAGCGCCGATGTTACTCGGTAAGCTGCTTGCGACCTGCCTTCTCACGATGTTCGCCAGCTTCGGTCCGTTGCCATTCGTGCTAACCATAATCTGTAGCGGGCCATCTCGATGCACGCTTCCAAAGTAGAAGTCGCACTCGGGCGGCACATCCGCGATGTTCGCGGGTATCCTCTTCTCCTGGCATAGCTTGTAGATCTGCGTAGAAGCCTCTGGATCATCCACTGCAGCCAGCACCATGTCTACGCCGTCGAGATCTGAAGGCTCGAATTTCCTGTCGATGTAGTCGACTTGATTCTGCTCTATGCGATAGGCGACCTCATCGTTGAGGCCGGAGCGAGGGGACACAACGGTGACTTTGGCATCGGCATTGAGGACATTCACAATGCGGCCGGCAGCTACCTGGTCTTCGGTCAACTGTCAATGCTACTCTCAAATCCCATCAAACGTCGACTCACATCGCCGCCGCCAATGACAAGCACTTTCTTATTTCGGACCTGCCAGGCCAGAATCAACGAGCCACCACCTTGGATTTCTGGATATGGCCCCTTCATGGCGACGAGTGTGTTGAAGAAAAAAGGCGTTGCGCGGAGATGGATGGACGGTGGATGGAGTCTGCAGCCACATGCCAAGCCACTACGCCACACTGATGGCATTGACTCGAATGCGAAGTGAGAGAGCCATATACAGATCCGTACACATGTGGGAAATTAGGGTGAGGAAAATAGTGGATAGCTTTGCTGGACTTTACGTATCTGGTGCCGCCGGAGTGCTGAAACGCGAAAATCCCAGATGCAACTCAGCCCTGCGAAGGAATCCCTGCGCCACGGTCCGCTTTAGCGTGCCTAGGTCGACAATTTAACTGTTCCCGGTAGCCCATGCCGGCGTCTCTGAACACGCAACCTCCCCTTCGACAGCTTCAATCATGATGTCGGGCAGGTCCCTGGGCGGCGGGCGAGTGCTGGGCAGCGGAAGGAACCTGTCGCCGGCACTGTCGCCGCAGCCGCCTCCGCAGCACCGGCGCAATGCGAGCCTGCTCTCGCCCTCCGAGAGCTCCGTTTCCCTGAGCTCCCAGACGTCGAATAGCCCGGCGAGTACCGCAGAGACGAGAGAGGATATCAGCAGCAAGGTGCTGTTGGGCTCGACGGAGGGAGCCGCAGCGGCAGGCGCCTCAAGCAGGCTGGTGTGCCCGATCTGCAACGAGGAAATGGTAGGCGCTGGAACAGGACTTCTCGAGGCCATGCATGTATACTAACGGGCCCCAGGTAACATTACTGCAACTGAATCGGTACCTTCACTCTTCACTCATTCCTACACTATATCCTACTCGCTAACCTGCGCCAGACATCTCGACGACAACCACCAGAACCTCGTGGAAGAGGAGCAGGATGAGGTGAAGACATGGTTCAAGACGCAGATGACTAAAGCAAAGAAGTTCCAGCCACTCGCAGTCCTCAACCAGAAGCTTAAAGGCCTCGACGTATTTGAATCTAACGATGCGCCCACGCCGCTTCCCTTTTCAAACTCCACCAGCAGCGCTGTTGCCTCTCCCGAGCCCGCCCCCGCTCGCCGAGATCCTGATGAGGAAGTCACCCGAACACATTGGCAACGGCCAGGATATCGTGATGTTTGCTCAGACCCGACCTGTGGGCGACCCATTACCGGCTCACAGATGGCGCTGGGTGGGAGCAATGTTGCGGTGAACTGCAGGAGCTGTGGGAGGCTATTCTGCGAGGACCACACTATGTACCAGATGAAGCTATCGCGGCAGGCCAAGCATGACCCGGTGAGGGGTTTTTGGTGTAGGGTGTGCGAGACGTGCTACAAGTCAAGAGAGGGTTACAACGACCATCACGGGCTTGAGCGCAACCATTTCGACGAATTCGCAAGTATAAGAAGGAAGAAGGTAGACAAAGAGTACATGGAGGTCAGCAGGCTGGAGAAGCGGCTGACAAAGTTGACGCAACTTTTGGCAAATCCCCCTCCACCGGACGAGAATACCAGCTCAGGGGGCTTCTGGCCACTGTCGAGTGCGAAAGCCCAACGCAAAGCCTTGGAACAGTCCATAATCACGTGGGAAGAAGACGCAAAAGTATCGAATTGTCCGTTCTGCCAGCAGGAATTCTCAAACTATACCTTTCGAAGGCATCACTGTCGGATGTGTGGGCGTGTTGTATGTGGGGATCCGCGAACGGCGTGTTCAACAGAGATTGGGTTGAATGTGGCTGCAGGTGAGTTCTTGTTGACTTCTCTTGCCAAGTCTGCTGATAGTATTAGCAACGAACAAAACCGAGAAGGCCGCTCAACTAAGCGTCGATATCCGCATGTGTAAAGACTGCAGTCACACACTCTTTAGCAAAAACGACTTTAGTCGCGAGCTAGCCCACCAACCCACAGACCAAAGGGCTTTTGAGAATTTAGTTCAGTTCGAGCGAGGGATTCGATTACTTCTTCCCCGGTTTCAAAAACTTCTTCTTGCCCTACAGGACCCTGAGCATCCGCCCACCCCTGACCAACTTCATGATGCTACAAAGGTGCGCAGAAGATTGATGGATGCTTTCAGTCAGTTCGACAGCGCCGCTCGCAGGATTCGAGACTTGCCGACCGAATCACCAACTCAGAAGAAGCTGCAAAAGGCGGTTTACCAGCAAGCGTACAGTTTCTTGAGTTTGCATATGCTTCCGCTACGATCGTTACCTAAGATACTTAAGCATGCTGCGCCACACGGCTCGAAGGTCAACGGTCGCCCAAACGGAGGGGGTGCTCTTGCGGCAATTAAATTCAACGATATTGAAGCAGGCAGCGTTGTCAGCAGCAGTAGCGCTGTATCTGCGATGGAGGCGGAAGAAAAAGAGCTCCGAGAAAGGGCAATAATACTCGAAGAGCAGAGATTCATGGTGAGCGGCATGGTCTCGGATGCCACAAAACATCGCAGATTCGACGAGGTGTCGAGTCTCGCGCAAAATTTGGAAGACTTGAATAAGGAAATTGATCAGATTAACGGCCAGCTGGGTCAGTTGGATTTCGCGAGCGCATATCAAAGAGATATGGCAAGTCCACAGCCGGGGTGAGAGTCGAGCGATTCGCAGGAAATTTGAAATTATACGATACCCACGATATCTTCTATGCAGCCATAAGGCACCACCTGCAGGAGAAGGCGCGTATCTACGTTTACCTCTGCACTGCACGTGCTGGACCGAGACGTCAGATGGCTAGGGAAGAGCAGAGGAGATGGCCGCCAAAATATTCTCGGTGGTCGACCACGGGTCAATTCTATTGGCATACGCTATGGTTCGAGCATCATCTGGAGAGGAGGAGAAGAAAGACAGGGTAGATGCCTAGATGCACTAGCACTGCAGAGTCGTAACATGTAGGATAATCAGTAGCCGTGAAACGCTGGATGCTGACACTTCGGCCCTCCGTAAACGAGACATTCACCTCGTTTGCAAAGTCGCCCCAAAACTTTGACCTGAGGTACTAGTCACAATGCTTGTACTTGCGGTGTCCTCACATCAAGGGGAAACTAGTTTTATTTGCATTGATTTTTGATTGTGAGGAGTTCAGATGCAGTATCTACAGATTTCTGGTACCACACAACAACGCAATCCATCGACATTCCCCACATATCAACTGAGAAACCGAGACATTCTTGGTCGCGATAGCCTGGCATTCTAATGTAAGCCCGACCTAAACTCTCTTAGTTATAATAAAACTCGGAGTGACATCACTACTGTGGCGCCATTTCCTATCCACTCGGAACCCTCAGAAGCAGCACGGAACATGGAGACAAGATTGATCTGCTCAGACCCCTCAGGCCTTCATACAAAATTTGGAATTCCCGAATAGTCTCGTTTCCTGTCCTGCATCAGCGCAATCATTAAGCATGGTCCTGGTTCCGATACATGCTCCTTTTGTATGCGTAATCTGAAAATTGTGGGTGAATGGTCGGAGGTGGAGATTGGGGGGCTTGGAGGTCTTTGGGAAGGAAATATTTGCACAGTTGCTAGGGTTTGAGTGTGTCGCCTGGCAAAGCGCACATTTGACATAGTCGCCGAACGGAACGACGAAGCGTCTGTGTCCTTGAACTTCAAAGCATGCACTGCCAGCTCTCGGGCACCGATTGAAGCTGATCGTTCCGCACAGTGGGATTTGGTCTCCAGTATCGTAACCAGCATCCACATTATTCAATCGCAACCGGTTGGTCCTCCCTGTAACTTATTCAACGTAACCCAATTCGCAGACCACCATCGGTTGATCCCGAATTTTCACGTGCTAATGGCTAAGGTTAGTTTAGTTGTTCCCCAACTAGCCCCAAGTGCATTATTCAGTCTCTTCGATTAAGAAATCTCCGAGTGGGCTACATGTAAAGGATGTGAGGTCAGGATGACATTTATTCAATCGAACATTAAGGACGAGCATTCGTAGGTAAGTTGAGTACTCTAGAAAGTTCTAGAATATTGTATTGCATGAATCAGTGATCGAAACGTAGGCGGCTGGTACATCGTTGCCAGAGCTTCTCTCCGCAGCTTTGATGCGTCCACCCCATCCTTCTCACCCACTCTTCTGAGTCTGCTGATATATCCGAGCGCACACTCTGTTCCTCCAGCATAGGAGTCTTCTAGATGATGTGAAGAGTTTTCACAACTGCATTTAAGAGTGGATGCTGAGTTTGGCGTTGTCAGGGGGGAGCCACAGAGGCCATTTCCACGTGCAGGAAAGACTTTTCAATATCACGACACGTTTTCAATTTCGAAACTAAACACCACCTGCTTCCCTTGAGCTACCGGAGAGGTCGCGCTTAGCACGAACGAGTGGGCAATGTGCAGACGCTAGATGTGGCTTCATCACTTCTTTATTTCTTTGATAAATTCTACCGGGGAGAGAGTCCTACCTTTCCAGGGCGCATTGCTTAGATTTATTACAACGAGGCTAGACTAGTCTATCCTCGTAAAATTAGCTAGCGATATACAGAGGTTGAATTAACGATCAGACGACAATAAAGACGAATGCAGCGAGGACACTCTGCACTTGCAGCCGGAAGACAGTGCCTATAATCATCCACCACATGTGCGACATGAGGGCATCCAGTCTCGGCATAGCATAGCCCTGTCCATATAGTCTTTCCGTGCAGCTTCTAGAAAGCGCCCTTTCCCACTTCCATAGACATGACGTGGGGAACCCTTACCCCACAGTTTGGCTCTGATGGGCCACTTCACACCCACTCCTTCGATCCATTCAATTGGAAACAAAATCACCTGTTTCTAAAAGGGCCACCGGAAGAATATATCATTGTAGCTTTTCTATTGAAAGACATTCGTTGGATTTTGGGGCACGAAGTCCTTATAGGAAGGTGGTTACAAGAATCGCAAACGCTCGTGATCGCCAAGCACCAGGAACAATCTATTCCAATCCAATCATGCAGCGCTTATCTGCGGCGACATCTAGGGTGGCTTAGCCTTATAATCCAAGCTGCTCCTGCCGGATATTTTGAAAGGTCTTGGGTCTTCAATATATATTGGTCAAACCTGCAAATTTCTCTGCGCTCATCTACGAGCGTCGGTATCAACCGTGCTTCCATATAGTAGACCACACCTTGTTGTAATTTTGGATACTGTGTACGTGGTGGGGAATTATGGGTAGGGGTAGGAGAAGATGTGGCAGGAATAGTTGGATAGTTGGAGGGAAGGGTGGTGGTGGGAGGTGAGGTGAGAGAAGTGGAAAGAACGGAGAGAGATATTGCGCACCTTCCAGATGTTAGTGGTCAGAAGGGGTATAAGAGCTTGCCACCGCTACATTCGACTGAACCTCTGCAGCCTACTACACATCAATCTTGCAGATATACATCGCAACTCACATCGCTCTCGCTCTCGACCTAAACCAACCATACGTCCACATCTGCACCCTACGAGAACCCACCTCTCACCACCAACGACGGCCAAAATGCGTTACACAGCTGCTTTAATTGCTCTCCTCGCCACTGCCATGGCCACCCCGACCCCAACTACCTCCAACATCTTGCAAATGCGCTCCGATCTCCGCCGCTCCGACGCTTGCATCATGCCCACGCCTGGCAACAACTGCGCTGGCGCCACCATGAAGGATGTCATTGTCGAATTCCCGACTGGTATTGCGAAGGACAAGCAGACGATGATGATTGGTGCGGTTAAGAATGCTGGAGGGACCATCCTCTATGACTGGAATGATTTTGGGTAAGTGCAGGCTTTCTTAACCTAACCAAGTGACTTGTTTTCTAACGGATCGGTTTCCCTTCCTTGGCTAGTGGACAGGTTCTTGGGTACGAATTAACAACAGCCTGCAACTGCATTTGTGATTTCGTAACCCTGGTTCCTCTCTTTCTCTGCCTTTTCCTTTCCGTCGCTCGTACCAAATACGGCGGTTCAAAGGCTAACGACACCCAGATTCTCCGCCTACATCCCCGAGCAAGTCCTCACCCTCATGAAAGCCCACGGCGACACCTTTGGCATGAAAGTCTTCGACAACGCATGCGCCGAGATCCCGTGGTGTGGCGAAGCTCCTTGCTAGGTGGAGACAAACTCTTTCTCCCCATGATCGGTACTCGGAAAGTTCCCGACGGTCGATGGTCCATACATTTGTGCATGTGTACATATGGGATACGGTTCCTAGGATTTGGGAAAATGATGGAGGTTTTCTGGTTGAGGGATGGGATGATGCCGATGTGTGCCCGAACTTTCGGCTATGCATTCGGATGGGGGTTTCATGATACCAAAACTCTTCTCTTCTCTTCTTCTAATCAAAAGTTTGGGCTCGGCCTGGCATAGGCGTCACATTCTCCTGTCCTCTTCTCCTCTGTCTTTCGGTGACGTGACTCAAGCTGCACCCGCACACCCGACTCTCCAATTACGAAGACTTCAGCTCTTCAAATATCTCCTGCTATTCCAATACCGCCGGCTCTCCAGAGTTCCGTTTATTCTATGCTATACCATCGGCTATATAGTAATACTCGCCTACACCATTGTGGATCTTGCCCTCCCTGCATCATTCACCGCCACCCGCAAATACCAACCCACTTATTCCAGACAACGTCTGGAAAAGGTAGTTGAAAAAGAAAAGTGTTGATTCCTGTGCCTTGTTTTTGCGGCTCTGGAACTTGGTTACTTGGTTACTTGGTCACTTGGTCACCTGAATCCGCGTAGTGTGCGCCTTTTTTGAAGGCCTCGATCCTGATTGGTTGAGCCGATTTCGGTACGATCAGTACGTCACGCTGGTGGGGGTGTGGCCTTGGGGAGTATTGTTTGAGGGATATTGGGTGGGATGGTTGGTCTAGATGGATGGGGAGAGGGGAAGAGATGAGATGAGATTAACAGGGAGAGCTAGTTTGTGCCTTCAAAAGCGCTCTTGAGTGGTCCGGAGATTAGTCCCGACTGTCTTTATCGACAAGCTCCCTGCTTTCAGAAGTTGGCTTTTTCAATTCGGCCACTAAAGGGATGATATGGCTGGCACTAGTGGATTGGGTGGGCGCATATTTTGTTAATACTAGTCGGCCGGTTCATGTATAGATCATCTACCCTAACCAGCGTCATCTCTTCACAATTGACCCGAAAGCGCGCCACCATACCTTCGTTCCTTTCACCTTCGTTGCCTTTCACTATATTTGAAAGATGCCTTCGACTGAGCTTTTCCCCACCCACGACACGGGCGTACTGAGGTTAGCACTCATCATAGCTGGCCTGTGTCTCGCAGTCCTTCTCACAGGAATGGTTCGTGGATGCACCGCAACCCGTCCATAGTAACTGACATACCATTAGGACCAAACTATCCTGGCGACTGCTGCGCCAACGATCAGTGATGATTTACATGCTCTAGACGACACTGACTGGTGGACGAATATCTATCTCCTCATGCCAGCAGCTTCCAAATGTTCTATGGCAAACACTATACACTGTTTTCGATGGAGTTATCTTATATTTGTGCCATCGCTTTGTTCGAGATAGACTCTTTATATGCACACTAGTACCCAATTCTACCGCTCTGATCTTTGGCCGTGCGATAGCAGGGTTAGGGGCGTCCGGTATCTTCTCTGGCGGAGTTTTTATTACCACCAAGCTCATACCTCTAGCCCACAGGCCCGCTCACCTCGGTATCATGTCAGCTGCCTGAGGCGTCGTAGCTATAGCCGGCCCTTTCATAGGCGGCGCATTGACGGATCGATCGACGTGGTAGTAGTGCATTGGCACCAATCTTCCTATCGGCGTATGCACGATCATGATTTGAATATTCCTGGTGCCAACACCTTCGGAAGCATCCATCAGTTCATTGGATATGAAAGAGAAAATCGCATGGTTCGATATCCGCACAGTCCTCACGGTCGCAGGCTTGCTCTGTTTACTTTTAGGTCTCCAATGGGGAGGCGGAATATACTCTTGGAGCAACGCACGATTAGTGGCACTGCTAGTCCTCTCAGTGGTGCTGCTTGTCGCATTTGCCAGATGGCAACTTTGGGACCGATCCACAGACTCCAGAACCATTCCGACTACTATAAGTGGGAGCCGAGACCTCTAGCTTGCGGCAGGCTATGCGATAGGACTTACTAACAGCCTATACGTTACAATTCTATACCTACCGTTCTGGCTCCAAATCATCCGGAGCAAGAGCCCTCTTTCTTCTGGAGTTTTACTCGCCCCTACTATTGGAGCTTACATTGTTGGCTCTGTTGCTGGAGCACTGACAACGGCCACTGAGTACTACAACCCTGGATTGATCTTAGGATTTCTTCTACTCATCCTAGGTGCTGCTCTCTTGACTAACTTAAACCCAACAACCCCGACATCGAAAGTCGTTATCTCCGAGCTGCTATATGGATTCGGAGCTTTTCTAGGTTTTTGGACAACCTAGCTGCATTGTCCAGGCACTCATTCCGGAGTGCGATGTGCCGATTGGAGTCGCCTTTATAAAGTTGGTATAGAACCTGAGTGCTTCGGTATCCGTGGCGGCCGGACAGAGTGTATTCAAGAACAGCCTGGTCTGTCAACTACCCACTACGGCACCCGAAACTAACAGGAGTGGGTTTTTGCAAAGAGATGCTGGAAACATTCTCAGCGCAATACCTTTATCAGATCAGAGTAAGAGACTGGGTGCTATCAGTGGTGTGCTTGTCAAACCTTTTATATTACCCTTGCAGTATCATGCACGACCTGGTTCGGAGCTGTAGGCGTACGCTGACAATCTATGAAGGTCGCAAAAAGCTCAGCTGACGAGAGTAACGACTCTTCTGGTACTCAACCTCGGCCGACTGAAACTAGAGATAAAGAAGCATAGCAACAGCCACTTTGTCTGAAATGCATTTGTAGGAATTATCGCACGGTTAGAGCTGATGGATGATAGAGGGCATATGAGGTGCGAGTCGTCAATCAGGTGGCAAGAACCAAACTATTCGATTGAGCAAAGGTGTAAGGTCTGGTCTCAGGAGTTTGAGGGGGCTCCAAGCTAACTATACAGTGAAGGACTAAAATAACGCTAGTCTAAATAAAGAAGACCGCTAGTACCAAAAAAGTGACTACCGCTGCGCTGACTCGTATTGAGGCGAAGCACTACGTCATGTGACGTCGTTTCGCCTGCTCTAATTGTCACGTGTGACAGGAATGCGTCGTGTCGAGAGGAGCAATTTATTCAAGATAACAGTTTGGGTCACTCAAATACTATTGTAACGCCAATGATTTCACCTAGCATGACTCCAAAGCAGTGAAGTGGACATAAAACAACACCAAGGTGTTGGCTTTCCGGCACGCTTCCATCGCGTGCTAGGATATGCTAAGAGAGAAAGTAGCACAATAGACCCGTCCATTTAAAGACTTCATATAATTAGCCATATTCGAAGAAGGCTACCAATAATCCACAGATGCATCCGCACCTCAACTGACAGCATTCCCCTCAGGCCATTGATCGGGTCCTTGAGTCCATTAGATGGTTGTCGGGGGTGATGGGCACATATTTGAGCGCATTATTTGTGAACAGTGTGCTGCACCGTATACCGTGATTCAAATGCACAGCCTAATTGGAGCGTAATTATGTAGAAGACAACGGCCATTTAATTCATGCCCTTGAACGGCATAACTGAGCGTTTTACAGCTTCGCCTCTCTAGCGTGCCCCGTCCAAGGAAGGATAGTTTCCCCCTCAGCATACACACAGCATTTTAGGCGCCAGAGGATACTAATAGGATTCGCTTGCAGGCCATGAACCAGTCTCAATTGACGTCGGCATTGCCATCATCGGAGTGGGTCCAGCAGGCCTCACGGCTGCTGCAACGCTTTCGCGTCAGCTATCGAAATGCCACGACCACTCGTATGCGCCCAGTGCATGGCTGGATCACAAAGACCCGAAAAACCTCCGCGAAACTTGAGGAAAGCAGATACTAGAGAGATACGAGACCATCCAGTTTGCCGACATAGCAGTAGCATCGATCAAGAAGAAGGACGATCCAGACTTCAAGATCGTAAATGAATAGGACAAGACATGGTTAGTGAGGAATATGATTCTAGCGATTGGCTCGAGCGAAGAGCTACCTGAGATCGAAGGCTATGCTCAATTGTGGAAAAGAAAGATGTAAGAGACATACGACAAAAATCTTGCAAATCTATGACTTACATTTTAGAAAACTTCCATTGTCTTTTCTGTCTTGGATATGAATAAAGAGGGGCGGAGTGTTCCGGCGTTCTCACAGTTCCGGCTCTCGCCATGATGCCAGTGGATAACGTTGCTCTGCTCTCGAAAGAAGTAACGATCTTTACAACGGATCTAAGGAGGTTGCTCAGCAAGTCAAGGCCATGGGAACATGCCCTCCATTCAAAATCGATTCACGTGACATTACCTACTTGGCTGAGGGTGATGGAATCGTTGGGGTTGAATTCACTATGGCAGTTCCAAGCAAGTGTCGTTCTTGGCTCATAATCCATTGACCGTGCTTCAAGGCCCTTTCATCTAGCAACGCGAACTCAGCATGTTACTTACGGGAGACATCCAGGCAGAAGCTCCGGCATATTAGACTAGCTGTCGTGGTGTATTCGTGGCGGGCGATTGCATCTCTGCTTTCAAAGTTGTTCCTCACGCGATCCAGAGTGGAAACTTTACGGCTGTTGAAGCTGCAACCCAGCTCCAGGTAGAGAAGTACAATCATTTATCAATGGTCTAGTTCGAGTATATATATTTTGAATAGATCAACTGTGGTATACTGGTGTACCCTTGACCCAACCTTTCGGTTTGCTGCAGTGCCACTAAAGTAAATTAGCATGCTTAGGACAGTACCTCGCAAGGCTTACTTACAGTATCAGTTTCGGTAGTGTTTTCAGTGCCGTTTTTCTGATCAATACTTGCGTAAACCGTCCAACCCTCCTCCTCTAGAGTTTCCAAAAGCACAAGCAACAACTCTCGCACCTTCATCGTATCCGTCCCATTTGAGTACCAGGGTGAGCCATGAAGTCTGATTTCATACACGCCTTGCATGTAGATGGATTGCTCTTTCACCCAAGACTGGTCGATCTTGGAAGCTACAGCCCCGCAAATCTCAGGTGGTACTAGTAAAGTCAGTAACTGTAGGGGAGATGGGAGGGCGCTAACCTACGATCAATGAAGCGAATCCGATCTGTCTTCGAGAAAGCAACGCAACCCCATTCACACTCCGCTGGCGCCGGGATTTGATGCCTGAAGAGCAGAGTATCCTTATCCCTGACGCTCTTGCTCACGTCGGTATTGAGCGTCAATACCCAGCCCATCGTATGCAGCGTACCCAGAAGTGCGCACACTAATCTTCTTGCTTCCATAGCTTCATCGCCAGCCCCGCGCCACGGGTGACCCATCGTTTTGAACTCGTAAGATCCGGCGTAAACGCGCTCGCCTTGAATACCTCGCTTCCATGTCGTCACGATGGTCTGACGGCAGGTATTCACAACGTCTGGAGGGAATCGCAGGAAGCGTAGTCTGTCTTCCATATGGAGAGATAGAGAGGCGAAGCGCGTCTGGAAGCCAGGTATTGAGGGTCCTCCGACGGTGTATGCTGGAAGAGGAGCGACATTGGGAGCTACCGGTAAAGGCTTCTCAGGTAGGGATTTATCCATACTTGGGCGAGGCGATTTCTCTTTCTTGTCAAATAACATTCTAAATACGAATATGGTGGTGTTTATAATCAATCTTAGAAGCAGATGTAGCGGTAGTTAATTGATTTGTTGCTGGATGTGAGAATTGCGAAAGTCGCAGGTTCTGCGCCTTTTGAATAAAGTCGAAGGATCACTACGCCTCCGCCTTCTATTTTGGGGGCGACTCATGTCATGTCATAGCTTTTCCGTTTTGGTAATATCTCTGGCCAAGAGTCGGCGATGGGGCGGGACAGTGTGGCTTAGAGCGCATGGACCACTTGTGAAGTCTGCCTGCTTAGCTGATGACGTATCTCCTGCCCTACCAATCATGCGAGGCCTGCATCGGTCAACTTGCCGCTTGTCTATCGCCGGTTAGCACGTGTATCTATCTTCTCTTGCCAAATACACTTCCCTATTGAAAGCCTGCATCTGTGAATTTAACCATTTAAAATTATATATATTTATGGTTGCAGTTACAAAGCTCTCCGAGCTTCAACACCTGCTTGTTGTACACATGAAAAAACTGCTACCTAGCCCCCTCTTAGGCATATAGAGACCCGTAAGTACACTCCTTCAGCAATCACCTTAGGTCCTAGTATCCTTGGCGCTCCCAAAAGCTTGACAATTTTTCATTGTAACGATCCGCTGTTAAGTTTGTGTCCACTTTAATTACGTATTCACTAAGCATCGCATCTTCAAAATATAACAAAAAAAGCTTTTGGCTAGCAAAAGCTAGGCTTTCAAGACAAAATTATAGTCCATGTCTCAGCAATGAAGTTGAAAAATTGAATCCACCGACCTTCACTAAGCCTTCACATTTCCTAGTTATAGCCGCTTTACTAACATGAGCCCTTGCTAATTTCTGCTTATTATTAGCGTGTTTCGTTCAATTTGCTCCTTCGTGGCTCGGGAGTGAATAACTCTTTGTGAAGCATGAAAATGGATACAAATGCCGGAGGTTACTGTACCCTTAGCCCCTTGTTGATCTCTTTGGTCTCTTTATTTCCTTAAATTCACTATGTCGCAATAATTTAAGCCTGTTGCAACCGGAAAGAACCATCTTTAGCAAAAAAAAAAAAAAAAAAAACACCATAACTAGATTGCAAAACTCGGGATTTTGAAGGGAAGAGCCTAGGTCCGAGTGTGTCTAGAAGCAAGAGTAGCCTGTGCAATTGCATCACTGGATTTGAGTAAGCACACCTCTTTCGACAACGAATCCATCATGGTAACAACAAGGACCCGGGATTATGGAAGCGGCGATGATGAAGATGAAATAGGGGAACATAGGAACGCATCCGTGAGAGAGGAAAAGCTAGCCGACAAGAGGAATCGCTGGGCTGCATTGCTCCGGGAGAAGCTATATCTTACTGTGATCAATGAGGTCTTGGAGGAAGAGCTGGGGAAGTATACGAACAACCGTGTGTTCAATGAAGCTAACTTAATGTTAATAACGAGAGAGTGTATGCTTATCCTTGCGTCTGCGCCTCGTATCTTCGAAGCCGCTGTAGAAGGTATGCTGGCGCTGAGGTTCACTGTAGACCAGGAATTACAGGCGGAGTATGAGGAGATCCGGCAGCGAGCTGACGTACAGCCGTCCATTTATATGCACCTACTCGCTGATGAAGGCGGTGTAGCTCCTAGTGCTAGTCAGTACATGATAATCCGGGACATCGTAACGAGATACATAGACGAAGCAGAAGTACAGCTTGCTTCGCTTGTTGATAACATTTCCCCTCCATATGTCGCTTTAAGGGATACCTCCGCGGGCTATAGAAAGTATTTATGCACAGCTCGAAGATCTCCTCGGCGAGTACGGGTCCTGGAAAGATTCTGCGAAGGGATCCGCAAGCGGTGGGAAGAGACGCCACCTCAGGAGAGAGATCTGCCATTGAATTATCCCCCAGGAGAGTGTGGCTATGCCATAAACGCACCGCGACGCCTCTTGCAGCACCGTAGCCGAATATCTTCCAATTATATCATGAATCTGGTTGAGGATATATGCACCTTGGGATTCCGTGACCTAAAGCTGTTCACGCACCTCTTCAGGATGCACCAGTTCATCATCTATCTCATCTTCAACCCGCAGCAGGTCGAGGTTGCAGAGATGTTCTGCTCGGGGCTTCTGCAGGTATGGGTAGATAAAGGAGGAGGCTTTAACCATTATCCAGCGGGATTGAGTAATGCGTCTGCAAGAAGGGTTAGTGAAGATGAGTGGAACGGACATGAGATATACGTTCGGGAAAATTCTCCTCTAGAAACCAATATCCGTCATCAGCGGGATACAATCGATGATGTTGTACTCAAGCTACATGAGCAAGCCGCAGCCTTGCTGTGGGAGGTCTTTCAGGAACTCGCCCAGTATGAGGGCAGTGAGGAGAGTGAAAGTGATGAAACGGAAAATGAGCTAAGGAGAATGGATATGGATATAAATATGTAAACTTGGTGGTAGTGCAGTGGATGAAACGATATGGCACCTCGGGGGCAGCTGTGCTACGTAGAGTTATATAAGAGCTAGTATAAAGTGGCTTGCCCTAGGTACAATAGGTGCCAAGAAGTCATCATCCTCTCGCTTAACTTACTATATCGGGTCAACCCACACACCTCAAAATTTTCCGCACCACTCGTTCTCCTCCTTCTCCACACTACTACCATGCCTTCCCAACCTAAAACTGCTTGCTGTAAATATAATAAGCCTACCCTTGCTAGCATCTAGGCGCTCTCTTGTATTAGTTTTAGCCTTTTAAAGATATAAAAGACTTTTCTTATTTTAATCTTATTAATTAAGTTAATACTTAAGCAGTTATAAAAATGTAAGGATAAGCTCTAAAAAAAGGCCTGTTGCATAAAGAAACTTCTAAAGCTTAATAAGTGTGTAAAGTAATAATTAGTATAACACCTAGAGCAGTTTCTTTTTAAAATGTACAAAGTATTTACTACTTCTAGAAAAACAATAACTGCAATTTGTGTTAATACAGTAAAGTAATACCTATAAAAAAACAAGTACTACGCATTTAAACTACGCGCTAAGCTCTACTTTAAGCTTTTTTATAAGCTTAATTATTATTACTAGAGTGCCTATATAAAAACCTAAAATAATAATAACTTTAAATGTGTCTACTTCTCTAATAAATTAACTTTTAAAGTAGGACTTATCTCTACTACCTAATACTACAAGTAAAAGAAGGGGGCATTATGTGTGTATAAATTTTAATACTTAAAGCTTACTTTTAAGAGCAGGAGAAGCTCTATTAGAGTATAAGTAGCTATATTCTAGGATTTTAAGTTAAAGCTAGTTATACTGCCTTAAAGTAAGTAGATAGACTTAAAAAGATACTATAATAAAGTTTTAGCTACTTACACATAGCTATTTTATGCTAAAGTCTTTAAAAAACGCAGTATTGCGTTGTAGCAGAAGAATAGGGCTTTATACTATAGGTTAAAGATAACTGCAGGTTTCTAAGAAAAGCTTTACATAGATTATATAATATAGCTAGCATAAAGTTTTAATTTAAATCCTATTAAAAACCTTTAGCGCATTATAAAGATTTAAATTTTAAAAAGAAGACACTAAATAAGTAATATTAAAAAAATAAAGTCTATTCTAAAGGAGAAGTAGGATAGGTTAAAGCTAGAAAATTAGCAGAAGTGTATATTATCCATGCCCCAGCGCGTTGCTAACGTCAGGGCTGCCTAGGGAGGCTCCACCTGCTGGTGAACAGTTGCTACTCTAAAAGATTCTTTGTTATTAATTCTATTATATAAATTAAAAGCTTTAATTTTTAATTGCAATCTATCCCTAAAATCCTTATAGAAAACTGCGTGGGCAGATCGTATTCGCTTGCGCACGGTGCGGAGGATGATCACTTCCTGGCACCTACTGTACAAGATATGTAGGAAGTGAAAGAAAAATCTCCACGAGCCCAAATGCTGGGTGTACAAATTTACCAACAATTTCGAAACCTGTCACATATATAGTAGGCCAGTTCCTCATGTCAACATTGCTTAGTGGACTCGTTGGCAAGGTGGAGGAGGATGGCTGATCGGAAGTGTGGGTGCGGGGATGCTTTTACGAGTATGGGCTATGCTTACTCTTCCTCAAAAAGGTCTCTGGGTTCATTCGCAGTTTAGCGGAAGTTTTTCCGTCCCTATGTGTTTTCGTGTACATATTCTATTTTTTGCTCTTTTCTTTACTTTTTGTGTTGTCTGCTTTTTGCATAGTGTGGTTTGTATAGAATCTCAGCAAATGAGAGAAAAGATGCTAATACGAGCTTCTTAGGCAAAGTGAGCTAGTGTCAAGATATTTACGCATGGGTGAAAGGAGTAACTACGTGAAAAAAGAGGATTCGAAAGGGGAAACTAAATAAAAGCACTTGGGCACTGAATATGAGGTGTTCGGCAGATTAATTTACTATCTTACTTCGGCTTAAATTTATTGGGGATGTGCGTAGAGAGTTTTATATAAATATTAGCCTTACAATACTAGTTTGCTATGCGTATACATGAACGAGAACAGCTAACTAGAATCTAATGTAGAAAGCTTTAAATGAGAAGTAAGCAGTTATGGGAGGCGCGGAGAAGATTACTAGAAGATGTTTGTTGTTTACGTTGATCGAGATCGGGACCTCGGAGACCACTAACTCGTCCATCTAACTGTACGTGATAGATTTGCCCAACATTCTATCCTTGTCCTAAAGATTGTGTCACCCTTTTTGGAACCCTGCGCCCTTAATTAATCCTTTCTAACGTTAGTACTCTATTTCCAGATCTCCGTCTGGTTTTTCACATAATCTTGCGACCTGCTGCTACTTTTCAATAATTACGTCTTTGACCGATTGTGAAAGTCTGGAATATTCTAAGGTCTTTCAAAGTGTTTGTCTCAAAGTAGACTCTTCCAATATTGCCTCGGCATTCAAGAGACGGTAGTAGGTTAGGCTCCACTCGGAGATGTTCCAAAAGTCGAGCGTCGACTTCAACCGCTTCAATCTTTGACCTTCCTTCCCCACCTTCAGCATCATAAGAATAGAAAAGTGGGAAAACTTCCGGATGCCCCCGCGCACATCGTGCACAAACCCTTACAGATACCGTCCTCTGCTCTGGAAGAGAAACAGGTCATTTAAAAATGGCATACTTAGTCTTTCGCTGAGCTTTGCCCAAATTACCTAAATCTAGTTGACATCGCGCCTATCTCAAAATTCAGATATTGAGGAGCCTTTGATGTAGTGGTGAGACACTATGTGAATGCGGAAACCTCCCTTAGTTGGATACCTACCAAGATGCAGCACTGTTCCAGAACGCCATCTCAACATGGTCAAACAGGTTGAGGCCTCGTCCTGGGAAGGAGAATGAATAATACGAATATGAAGTGAAAGCGAAATGAAACACAGCTTGAGAGTAGGTGAAACTGTGGATGATGCATTGGTGGTGGGAAACGGGTGTGAAAGCTACATCTGGTTTCGGAATGAGGAAAGTCCGGTGTGGCTGGTGAATGTGGCTATGGCGCGGGGTGAAACGCGAGGAGGCGTGCATGAGTCAATCCGATGAAATAACCACTCTAAATTCCTCTCGCGACCAGCCCTCTAGCACCGTAACTCACAATCAACATGGCTGACACACCCAAATCGGACACCCCGTCCGAGGATAAAGGACCATCGAAGCGTGCCCTCGAAAAAGCGAAGAAGAAGGCAGAGAAGGCCGCGAAGAAAGCCGAGTATGCTATCCGTCCCAAGGAAAGCGGCACATCAACACCAGCAAGCTCCGAGCCGGCCAGTGTGTTCTCTGAAGGCTGGCTAAAGCGCGTCTACGAGGAAAAGCCCGTTAAGGAAGTTCGATCGCGGTTTCCCCCCGAGCCCAATGGCTTCCTGCACATCGGCCACTGTAAGGCTATCGCTGTCAACTTCGGCTTCGCCAAATACCACAAGGGCGTTTGCTTCTTGAGGTATGACGACACGAACCCGGCCAAGGAGGAGGAGATATATTTCACAAGCATACTCGACGTCATCAAGTGGCTAGGCTTTGAGCCATACCAGGTGACTTACAGCAGTGATCATTTCGACCGTCTTTATGAGTTGGCCGAGAAGCTTATTCGAAAGGATGGCGCTTACGTTTGCCATTGTTCTAGTAAGTCATTGCACCTTCTCATGCGCACTTCCTAACACACTATGTAGGGGAAGAAGTCAACCGTCAACGTGGTGGACCAGACAATCGAGGCCCTCGCTATGCATGTGAGCACCGTACGCGACCCATCGACGAATCCATTGCCGAGTTCCGAGCTATGCGGGACGGCAAGTACAAACCGGGAGAGGCATATCTACGCATGAAACAGAGCTTGACAGATCCCAACGAGGGCAACCCGCAGATGTGGGATTTGCCGGCATATCGAGTGGTCGAGAAGAACCACCACCACCGGACTGGCGACAAGTGGAGAATCTACCCAACGTATGACTTCACTCACTGCTTATGTGATGCATTCGAAGAAATCTCGCACTCTATGTGTACTACAGAGTTCCAGCAATCTAGGGTGTCATACGATTGGTTGTTGGAGCAGTTAGATATGAAGACTCCAAAGTCCGAGGAGAAAGGCCCAATGCAGCGGGAGTGTGTACATCCTTGCGTCCGCCCTGACCATTTGCTAAACAATATCTAGGTATGGCCGTCTCAATGTCAATGGCACCATTCTCTCCAAGCGTCGCATTCAAATGCTCGTGGAAGGCACCACGGTGGAAAAGAAAACGGCGGAGGGTGACGTTGATAAGAAAGTCATAATGCCCAGTGTTCGTGGGTGGGATGACCCTCGCCTATACACTCTGGTGGCTCTCCGTCGTCGTGGCATTCCGGCTCAAGCGCTCCGCAAGTTTGTCGAGGAGCTCGGTGTCACGGATGCGCTCACAGAAATCCAGACTCCGCGCCTTGAATCTTCGATTCGGAAACACCTTGAGCGAACTGTCCCTCGCCAAATGCTAGTACTGGACCCTGTCAAAGTTGTCATTGAAGACATGACGGCCAAAGACGAGCTAGACCTTACCGTGCCGTATGACCCCAAGGGTTCTATTCCAGGAGAGCGCGTAGTCCATCTCGGTAAAGAAGTCTACATCGACCGCAGCGATTTTAGAGAAGAGGACAGCCCTGAATACTTCCGCTTGGCCCCGAATAAGCCAGTGGGTTTGTATAACGTCCCTTTCCCAATCCGTGCTACTTCATTCTTGAAGGATGAGAACGGCAAGATTATCGAGATTAAAGCCATCAGAGCTCCACCAGAGGAGAAGGCAAAAACATATATTCACTGGGTTGACGTCTCCACCGCCATTCCTGTCACAGCGCGCCAGTACCACTCACTCTTCAAGACTGATTCGCCTAATACGCTGGATTGGAAGAATGGAGGCTGGGCCGATGACCTCAATCCCGATTCCGAGGTGATATTCCCGAACGCAGTGATTGAGAAGGGTCTTAAAGATCTCCTCAAAGACCACTCCCTACACCCCAAGGGCTCCTCAGATGACTTGGTTCGCTTCCAGGCGTTGCGTGTAGCGTATTTCTGTGTGGATGTCGTCGATTCGACTGATGACAAAATTGTGCTGAACCAGATAGTGAGCCTGAGAGAGGATAAGGCGAAGTAGTGCCGTAACGTTCTTAGTGGCGAAGGCAGGACTGTATGGCGTTTATATGGCTGTATATTTTATCTTGATGGAAATGGGTTTCAAGTCTAGACCAATAGATATCCCGAGCTCTGGATTCGTGGACGAATCGTTCCAACACACGTTTTCACGTGATTTATTGACTCATGAGGGGAGTTAAGCTCGTTCCTCTCTTCCTTCTCACTCCAAACCTTGCCCTTTATACCTTTATGATCCACGAAAATTGCAAATTGTTACAGTTCGAAGCTAAAGTACTACTAGCTCTTCCCGAGTACGCAAGCAGACCTCACTTCAACTTTAGTTTATCAAGGCCCTAAGCAGGCTAGGCTAGGCAGTGTAAGGCGACCCACTATCACGAGCACGCTTTTCCTTGGCCAACCATGGGTACAGAGCAAGACAACCCCTCAACACCATATCTTCAGGGTTTCCTTTTGCCTCCGCTCTCTATGTTCGCTTCCAGTCTTTGTGTGAGAATCACTCTTCCCGGCCCTTGATCGGGCGCATCAGTCTTTACCGTTTTATGGCCTTGGCGCAGCTTGATATCTATGTCATGGTCACAGTTCCGCGGAGGTAAACTTTTCGCTGGCCATTGAGTGACAGCGAAGATCCTTCTGCGGACGGAATATCTTGCATTGTCTAGCGGACGTTGCGCTCCGACCCGACACCGGTAAGTCGGTATTTACAAGTTTGACTTGCAACGCTCGGTAAAGCACAATGTGCATTTTCCGGCATGAGCATGCGCCTTTGCCATGCCGAGCCCAATCACATTTCTCTCCAAACCTGAGACGCTTCTCTTAGGCGTAGTAATCAGAAAGCTGATTAGCTAACATCTCAAGCCACGAAATACCACCCTGTTACCTACCCCTCTTCGATTCCGTGCATTTATCAGATTTTGAACATTCCTTTCTGTTTGTGATCGAGATTTATGAGGCTGGTGGCAATGTGATACGGAGTTACTCATCTGCTGACGGTGTCACCTCTATCGTTAATTCAACGACGATATAAGATTTCATCACCGAAAAGACGGCAGTGACACAGTATTCAATATGTCGCCCTCGAAGACTCCACGGAAGACATCCCAAACTCCTCTACCAATTCTATCACCATATCAGACGCCTACCATGGAGCGGGAGTACGAATTCTTCGTGACGACGGACGAATCTCACCAACCAGATGGCGCTTCTAGGGGACTTATTCGCCGCCTTGTTATGCGTCATTTCTTTGAGGCTAAGTCATCTACCCCGGCAAATAACTCATCGGAGTACAACTCAGCGTCAACGGTCCAGGCGAAGACTCAACTGCAGTCTAGGTTCAGGTTATCGAAAGCAGGACAAACGCCAACGGGATCCGGTTCAAATGCAAAGGGTAAGAATTCTGAGCACAAGAAGAATAAAGTTGTAGGTGAAAATAAAGATAAACGCCTAAAATCGACAAGGAAGCTCTCTGGCACACCTGACATGACCGAAGCGTCTGACCAATCGGTGAGGAGCCGTACAGGCAGCCGGAAAGCATCACCTAAGGAGAATGGAAGAGGAGAGGTCTCTAAAGAAAAGCCCCGATTACTGTTGAAAGCCAATCCTAATTCAAATCGGTTCGATCCGTTCGATGTTCTACCAGTTCCGGGAACTGCCCACCTTGATATGCTCTTCAAATTGTGTAGGTTACTCCCGCCCACCACCGTTCCAAAATTACAGTTCTGTCCTTTTCCTGCACTGTTACACTCCCATTAGCAACTGACGGCTTCTAGATAAGAGCGGATCTCGTGCAAATGCTATCGCTATTAACGCCCGCAACACTTGGTGGCCTTTTATATCGAATGACGCGGGGTTGCTTCATGCTACTTTAGCAACCTGGGCCGTGTACGGCATTTTGGTACGAGGGATGAGTGATCTAGCTGTTGACAAATTGAGGCACAAGAATGAAGCTATTAAACACATCAATTCAAAGATTGACTGCCCAAGGGGTCGAATGTCTGATGAATTGGTTGGCACTGTCCTAACTCTTGCGAGCTTTGAGGTTAGTCCGTCTGTTTTTTTTTAGGCGGGTGAGATTAATCGCTCACATCTCTCACTACGCAGAATCTTCTAGGTGCCTATGAAGCAGCTCAATTGCACATTCAGGCACTAAAACGCATTGTTAATGCTAGGGGTGGTCTGTTTGCCTTCGGGCATAACGACGGTCTTGTGAGAGGCATTATATGGTACATCTACCTTAGACCTCGAAGTATCTATAATCACTGAATCCGTTATTAGGGTCGACTTTCACTCCGCAACCGCGTTCCACCACGCGCCATCCTTCCCTCTGATCCGCCTCCATCCCGACACACCGGCACTGCCAGATGGATTGCTTGAAGAAGCTGCGTTCACATCGCCAACCTCGCTTCTTCAGCTCTCAGTGGCATCTATTGACTGCTTCAACATTTTCTACCGCTTGCATCGCCTCGCACTAGCAGCTACCGATCATTGGCTACCGAAGGTCCATCGGATTACGCTAAGCAACCTTCTTTACGAAACCGAATACACCATACTTTCGGTGCCTGATTACTCGCGAGACTTCCTTGACTTTGATCTCGAGCCGGAAGTGGAGGTGATGGAAGACTATGAGAAAAGGGCGGCGACGGCGAATGGTGCGAGTGTCGTGGAGGCTGTTCTGGCCACTGTTCAGATCTTCATCTACGCCTCGCTTCGCGAAATCCCTCCCAAAGCGAAGATATTTAGCATACTTCTAGAAAGGGTGCGTGTAGCTATAGATCGACCCAATATTTCGATGCTAGAGGTCTGGAGGAAGGAGAAGAACCTCAATATCCTTGTATGGGTAGTGGTTGTTGCCACCACCCTGGCACCTACGTGGGGAGGACGGAGGTGGTGGATTGGAAGGGTAGGTGAAGTAGTAGAAGAGCTTGGTATTCATGGGGAGCAGGAACTCCAAAGATCAGTACAACGGGTCGCCTGGACGGACATCTTCTTTGGCAACGTGCTTAGGAGCATATGGGAAGAAGTGACGGAGTACCTGGGCGACGTTGGGAGAGTTAATACAAATCTGGCGAGAGATAGAGAACCAAGTGAGTTTGCAAGCCTGCAACCTACATTACCAGAGGGGACGCCATCGTCGCTTCCAGTGGAGTATGTGAGGGGAAGATGGAAAGTAGATGGATGGTACATTTGATGGATAAGATATTAGTCATCAAGTGAGGGGCACATCAGAGAACACGAGAGTGACGCCGAAACCGCACTTGGTGCTGAAAGTAAACAAGTGTCTTCGTTCATTTCTGTTTCGCCATTAGTACATTCACTCTGCGATGATGAAGCTAGTCTGTATGAGGCTACTGCAGCGTGGGGTGCCAAGCATCGGACAAACCTCGGGCGGAATCAGCCCCCATGGCCACATTTATTGTCTACACGGAGTCGGTGTCCAGAACGTCGACAGTAAACAGTACCTGGGCACTCACCACCATGCCGCTCGTTGACAACCCCCAGATCAAGTCCTCGAGCTTGCATAACCCTCTCCCCCTGCAGCTGCACACGTATGTCTGGCCGTTCTTAATCATCTGGCCCGCCTTCCTCTCCTTCTACCTCTCACCTCAACGATACGAGAAGCACATCCAGTCGGAAGAATGGACATTCGTCTGGGTCGGAGGTATCGTCACAGTACAGGCGCTGATCTGGCTGACTACCCATTGGAACGTTAATCTTAAGAGTCTCTTCACGTCAACGGCAGCACGCGATGTGCGCACCGCGCAACTCATCAAGGTCATCCCCGTGGCGAACGCCGGATCCGCCGAGATATGTCCCCTGAAGCGCGACAACGTTGGCGGAAAGCACAACATCTCTTTCCTCTTCCAGAAGCGCCGCTTCCTCTATAACCCAGACGAGAAGTCCTTCGCTCCCCTGTCGTACGCCATCGACGCAGAACCCGCGCCCAAGCTCAACGTCTTCCAACAGACCAAGGGTCTCACGAGCCCCTCCGAAATCGAGAGACTCCAGCAACACTATGGGGATAACAGCTTTGATATTCCGGTGCCGACGTTCACAGAGCTGTTCAAGGAGCATGCGGTCGCCCCGTTCTTTGTGTTTCAGGTCTTCTGCGTGGGCTTGTGGATGCTGGATGATTACTGGTACTACTCGCTCTTTACCCTCTTCATGTTGGTCGCATTTGAGAGCACTGTCGTTTGGCAGAGACAGAGGACCCTGAACGAGTTCCGCGGAATGAGCATCAAACCCTACCATTTGCTAGTATACAGGCAGAAGAAGTGGCAGGAGATACAGAGCGACAAGCTCTTGCCTGGGGATGTTGTCAGCGTGGGCCGGACGAAGGAGGACTCTGGTGTCGCATGTGACATGCTCTTGATTGAGGGCTCTGCGATTGTAAATGAGGCCATGTTGTCCGGAGAGAGCACGCCCGTGCTCAAGGACTCGATTCAGCTAAGACCAGGCGACGCGCAGATTGAGCCCGAGGCATTGGACAAACACGCTTTCCTTTTCGGCGGAACCAAGGTTCTCCAGGTCACCCATGGCACTTCTACCGAGGACGACGTCGATGCAGTCGCCAGATTACCCTCTGGACTCCCCCCTCCCCCGGATAAAGGCGCTGTCGCCGTCGTAATCAAGACAGGGTTTGAGACCAGCCAAGGCAGCCTCGTGAGGACTATGATCTACTCTACAGAGCGAGTCTCCGCCAACAACGTCGAAGCGTTGCTCTTCATCCTCTTCCTTCTCATCTTCGCCATTGCTGCTTCGTGGTATGTCTGGCAGGAGGGCGTTGCGAGGGACCGAAAGCGATCGAAGCTCATGTTGGATTGTGTCTTGATTATTACTAGCGTCGTGCCCCCGGAACTTCCTATGGAGCTCAGCTTGGCTGTCAACACTAGTCTTGCCGCGCTTAGCCGATACGCCATCTTTTGCACTGAACCATTCCGAATCCCGTTTGCGGGACGTGTCGACGTTGCCTGTTTTGACAAGACTGGCACGTTGACTGGCGAGGATTTGGTAGTTGACGGCATTGCTGGACTTACCCTTGCTAAGACTGGGGCCAAGACAGGACCGGATGGGGCACATACCGAGGTCACCGCTGTTGCTGACGTCGGAACAGAAACTACACTGGTCCTTGCTACAGCTCATGCACTAGTCAAGCTAGACGAAGGAGAGGTAGTCGGTGAGCCTATGGAGAAGGCCACGATTACTTCTCTTGGTTGGACTCTTGGCGCGCATGACACCCTTACACCCAAGCAAGGCTCGCCAAAATCACATGCGGACCTTGTTCAGATCCGACGACGATTCCAATTCTCATCCGCCCTTAAGCGCCAAAGCTCTATTGCTACGGTATTGGTTACAGACAAGAAGGCCAGGCGAAAGATCAAGAGCACCTTCGTGGGTGTCAAAGGTGCCCCTGAGACTATCCGGACGATGCTTGTCGATACCCCAGCAAACTACGAGGAGACATTCAAGTACTTCACTCGAAACGGTGGCCGTGTGCTTGCCCTTGCCTACAAATACCTTGCCCATGACTCCGAGCTTGGAATGCATCGCATCAACGACCTCAAGCGAGAGGCTGTAGAATGCGATTTGCATTTCGCCGGTTTCCTGGTTCTCCAATGCCCACTTAAGGATGATGCTGTTCAGGCTGTTCGCATGTTAAATGAGTCTAGCCATCGTGTTGTTATGATCACAGGAGACAATCCCTTGACGGCCGTCCATGTAGCCCGACAAGTGGAGATTGTGGACCGAGACTGTCTTATCCTTGACGCCCCCGAACATGATGATTCCGGCGAGAAGCTGGTCTGGCGTAGCGTTGATGACAAAGTCAGCATTCCTGTGGATCCAACCAAGGCATTAGATGCAGAGGTTCTGAAGACGAAGGATATCTGCGTTACCGGCTACGCGCTCACTAAATTCAAGGACCAGCAAGGGTGGAACCAACTTCTCCGATACACCTGGGTCTACGCTCGTGTTTCTCCAAAGCAGAAAGAGGATATCCTTCTCGGCCTTAAGGACTGTGGTTACACGACCCTCATGTGCGGAGACGGCACCAACGACGTCGGTGCTCTTAAGCAAGCACATATCGGCGTTGCACTTCTCAATGGTACCCGTGACGACCTCGAGAAGATCGGAGAACATTTCCGAAACACCAAGATGAAAGAAGTCTATGAGAAACAATGCCAGTTGATGGCTAGGTTCAATCAACCGGCTCCCCCAGTCCCTGTCATGATTGCTCATCTCTACCCTCCCGGTCCCGGAAATCCACACTATGAGAAGGCGATGTTGGCGCAGGCCGAAAAGAAGGGCATCGCGCCTCCCGCTGCTAATGGAACTGATAACGCTTCAAATGGGACCGCCGCGAAGCAGCCGACCAAGCCTAAAACGGCACAACAAGCTGCTGCTGGCCTGGCTGATTCCTTGAGCCAAAAGATGCTGGAATCAGAGTTATCTGACCTTGATAATGAGCCTCCAACGATCAAATTAGGTGACGCATCGGTTGCTGCTCCCTTTACATCCAAGTTGGCGAATGTGATCGCTATTCCAAACATCATTCGACAAGGACGATGCACCCTCGTGGCTACCATCCAGATGTACAAGATCCTGGCATTAAATTGCTTGATCTCGGCGTACAGCTTGAGTGTTTTGTACCTCGACGGTATTAAGTTTGGTGATGGACAGGTGACAATTTCGGGCATGATGATGAGTGTTTGCTTTTTGTCCATATCCCGTGCAAAGGTATGTTCCTCCTCCCTCGTCTACCTTGTGGCTTATTCTAATATAATCGCAGCCCGTCGAACAACTCTCCAAAGAACGGCCCCAACACAATATCTTCAACTTCTACATCATCGGGTCCGTCCTCGGCCAATTCGCTATCCATATCGCCACTCTAATCTACATCTCCCAATTCGTCCAACGCATTGCTCCCAAAGAAGACAACATTGACCTGGAAAAGGACTTCGAACCCTCGCTCCTCAACTCCGCCATCTACCTTTTACAACTGATCCAACAGATCTCCACCTTCAGCATCAACTACCAAGGTCGGCCGTTCCGCGAATCTATTCGCGAAAACCGAGGAATGTACTGGGGTCTCGTACTCGTCTCCGGCGTCGCGTTCTCTTGCGCAACAGAATTCATTCCCGCGATTAATGAGAAGTTGAGGTTAGTACCGTTTTCGAGTAAGTTTAAAATTACACTTACCACAGTTATGATTGTGGATTATGTGGGCTGTTGGGTGGTGGAGAAAGGGTTAAAATGGGCGTTTAGTGACTATAAACCGAAGGATATTGCGATTAGAAGGGCAGATCAGTTGGAGAGAGAGGCTGCGAGGAAGAAAGAAGAGGAAGAAGAAGCGCAGAAGAAGAGGAATGAGGAGGAAGAGAAGAAGGCGCAGGCGGTGGGGGCGAGAGGATAGAGGAAGCCTGGGTTAGGAGGCTGATTGCTATATTGAGTATTTCGGCATTAGGAGGTCAACAAGGTTTGGCGCGATGGGATTAGGGGGAATGGGATGGGATTGTAGCATAGCGTGTCCATGCTTGCATGTAATAGACTGGGTTTTATTCTTCTCTCTGCATTAACCCCTTCACCCTACGCTCGCTTTCCTTTCCTTCTAATTTCTTTATCTACTTCTTAGACTTCTTTTACTATACCTTAGCTATTACCATCTTAAACTTAAACGCTTTCTGTTATGCGGTATATAGAGGAGGCTGTAGAGTCACTCTCTGGTGCAGACGGATGTTGGAGATGAGATACGTCGTAGACGATAGACAGGAATGAAGGGTGGTAGTAAACTACTGATGAACACAAGATAAGATACTAGTTAAGTGTAAAAGTAAGTTCCAGAACAGATTGTATATTAAATAGTAGGTTAACTACGCTCTCTTTTCTTGTAGAGAGGAGGCTAGATCTATATAAGAGTCTTAGCAATCTATGTAGTGGCTGTGCCGCAGAAACTTGGAGACAGAGAGATATGCTAATAGTTACCCTTAATCATTACACTAATAAGTTAGAACTGTTAGTTATTTGTTAAGCGGAGCTTAGTATATCTCTATGAAATTTTTTGCATATACATATGTATGTATAGTCTATGTTACGACCACTGGTGGGCCAGAGGAACATACGGGTCTCCAACCCCACGGAGGAAGGACGGACCGAATCTGGTGAGGGCACGGCCCGCAGAAGTCACATCACGTGGTGCTTCAGAACAGGTATAGCGCATGTACATAGGCTCAGGTGAGCAAATAGTCGCAGTGGTCGCAGGTCTTAGCTTGCAACCACTCCCAGGTATATAGTCTCAACCTCCCACCACAGTGTGGAAGGTTGTAGTTATTCTTCACTACAGGATGTAACGAGGTCGGCACGGTCAACCACGTGGCCTTCTCTCGCTTATAGAGGTTTAGGCTAGGCTAGAGACAACCGCTAGTGCTAGTGCTTACCCTAGCATTACCTATATATATATTATACTATGCGAGAATACTTAGCTTAAGTATTCTCGTGCGTACCTTTTGGTACAGTGGGGAAAGTCGTATAGTTGTAACGATCCTCATGAATCGTTCCATCTCGAGTCGCCCGGAACCTCCGGAAGGCCCTCGTATCGGCCCCGACCTCGACCTGGCCCCGACCCCTGCTGTTACCCCTATTCCCTCATGTATTTAGTCGCACCTCGCCCCCGTAGCTAGCTCGGTAGTTTTCTGATATCCTTTCGTACTAGGCCTATAGGTGTCAATGGCATTCCCAGGTTCAGAGTCCCCACGCACTCCCATATGCCTCTGAGTGGATTCCCACCGCATTCGGACCCATTGTCTTGCCTGCGCCGTTACAATAGTATCGGCTTGGCAGGCGGGGCGCCTACCTCATTACAACCAGAGCGGCAGGGTCACGCGACGATTCGGATGAAAAAGGACCCGACCCCGTGACCATGCAACTAGGGCTAGTACTAGGTGTAAGGCCGAGATGGCGCTTACGTGCGACGGGTATATATATTATTCTGTACGCAATAATTAACTGTTGGTTGATTATTCGCACCTTTTTGGTTGTATTGGCGCAGTGCTACAGAGCTCCGTCCTTACACTAGGGGTATGCTCCGTCCTATAAGGGCATGCGCGCAGGCCAAGGACAGCGCGCACTGCTAAGAGCGACGCGTACAGCGCGCAAACCTTAAGTATATAGTCTTAATCTTAACTATTGTTAGAAAGAACGTAATTAACGTTTAGTCTTATCTTTATATAGACTAAGTAGTAACATACTATAACAGTTTATAAATGAATGCATAAGCAGAGCTTGTTTTAAGTCACTTATTAAACTCTTTCTAGAGAAGAAGACTGCATTAGAAGAAGCCTATAGAAGAAGACTATAAGTAAAGCAGATAATAAAAGGTAGTCTACAGACTAAAACTTATAAACTATATTTTTATAAATTCTACATAAAGACCTATATACCTATAAATGCTATGTAAGAGAACACCTTTTAGTAGGTTTATCTATATAAGTACTTATTAGTAAAGTTAAAGTACTAGCTAAAATCTTAAGCAATGCAAATAACAAGCTACACATCTTAAGCCTAAATAGTAATGCGCTTGCTATAGATAGTAGCTAGCTAAGTGCTTATAAATTAATAAGTCTAATACTTTATCTAATACTAATACATTAGCACTTACATTCTATTAAAGTTATAATAAAGAACTTAGTAGTTATTTATAATGCATAAAGTGCTTACTTACTTTAGTAAAAAGGTTTATTATTAGTTTAAGCTACATCCTAGGCAACCTTTTAAACAAGATAGTAGAAGGGAGTAATTGCAAAGAAGAACTTAGTATTATGTTATTTAAACTAATAGAACTTAATCTACTAAAAAAGTGCAACTATTTATAGTTAGTAATAAGTATTAAATAGTAAAAATAAAATTTAATAAACTTTTATTTTTTTTAAGCTTCTAGCCCTTACTAGTTCTCTTCTAAGCTAAAACCTAAATGCTAGTCTTTTTATATGTAACATGCTTTAAAGGTAGTAAATTAGCACACCTTAGATGTAAACTCTTTAAAACTATAGGCTTCTTAAAAGAGCGTTTGCCTTTATTAGGCCTAGGAATAGGAGCTTTATAGGGAGCTTTAGTAGCAATAGCCTTCTTCCTAGAAAGAGCTATAATGCATTAGCAGTGTCTATTACTATGTTTAATACTATAATTATACTCTTCCTAGCAGCATTAACATAAACAGGTTAAAAGCAAGACATTTTTAATAAAGTAAATGTTATAATAAAGTAAAAAAGCTATGCAACACATTACTAAGCTATAATATTAGTATAAAAATAGCTTTAAAAGTAAATAAAAGCTTATAGAGAGTATAATAAAGTAGTAAAGTAATTATGTAGTAGGTTATGTTAAGAGTGTAGGTAGAAAAGTCTTAAAAGTTAAATAGTAAACTTTTAAGCTATACTTTTACTTTTATAAACTTACTTAGATTTTTACTGCTACTTTTACCCTTCTACTGCATTTTTATTATAGTAGATAATTACATAAACTATTACATAACTAACTCTTATAATCTGCGTGTAGAATACTCTTAAACTAGTATATAAAGTAGTATTAGACATAGTATTAGACACATTATAGTAAAATAAGTAGAAGTAACATTTTTAAGAAAAATATAATTTTTTTAAATAGCTTACTGCTGCTTTGCCTGTTACCTTAGTAATAGCCTACATAGTATAAATGCTGCTTAAATAACATAATTACTTTTATTTACTTTAAAAATTTAGTTTTTTAAGCCTTTATTATAACTTTAATTTTATAACCTTAACTATACTACTATAAACTTTGTTTATTAGTTTTGCGCAACACTATTTAAACTCTTACTAAGCTATCTATTACCTATCTATTACTACTATATAACTATAGCAAAGCGTAAAAAAAGCTTATTAGAATACTTAACAAATGCTTTTACTATAAGAAATCTTAAGAGACAAACTTAGCTTACTAGAGAGAATGCCTAACACAACCTAGACTATATTGCAACTAATATGTAACGTACCTAACAGGTTGGCCGGCCACTTTTGCCAAGCCCCTACTAAAACCACCCTATTCTCTCGCAAAACAGCCCACTTTAGCCCTGTATAGAGTAATATAACATAAGATATTATTTAGAGTCTACTTCTACTACTTGCTTACATATACATAAGTTATGCCTAGTCTAATTGCACTGCCTACATTACTTTTAACTTAGCTTACCTTCTTTAGCGCGCACCTGCGTCTTTAGCTTCTTCCTATTACTACGCGCTCTAAACTCCTTTAGAGCAGTTAGACAAGCCTTATTTTTAACTATTAAGGTTTTTTCTGCCTAAATCTGCTTCCTTTTATGTAATCTATGTTGTGTAGTAGCCTTATTTACTGCTTAAAGCTCTATAATCTTATAGCTTACCTTATTATATTAATGCTCTAGATAACTGTTGTCTACTTTTTATTACTTTACTATATTACCTTTAGCTGTTCTTATCTTTTTAAAGCTGTAATAACTGCTCTAGTTAATATCTAGCCTATTATAAAGCCTAACTTGTTAAAGTTATACCTATCTTTATTCTAGATACTGTACAGTACCCTCGCATAAGTGATTGGCCACTTAGCCGAGTTCTTCCCCTACCACACAAATGCACTAAAATTAACCCACTATAACTTTATTAAAAGAACCCTATTTTTAATAAGTCTAAAGCTAAATAAAACCTTAAAAAAAGAGCTGTCTAAATGTACTATTAATATAATATAGCAGTTCTACCTTTACAAGGTAAGCGCTAGCAAAATTGCGCGTTATCTTAGCATACTAAAGTTAACAGTTACGTATAACATTAGGAAGCTGCAAAAGCAGCCCTAACACATCTATACTAAAGCCCTGTGTACAGGCAGGCCTCTAAAGCTTAACAAACACGCTAAGAGGCATCTTATTTACTAGGCAGTAAATAATCTCTTTGCTACACTTAACACTATTACAACACTATTAAAGACTAGATGTTAGATCTATGCCTACACTATAAGAAAATACTTTATAAAAAATAAGTACTACGCTTTCTGCCTACGCTGTAAGCCTTAGCTGTTAGCTGTGCATAAAGAAAAGCAACTTTAATTTGCCTAAATACACTAATTTAATAAGGATAAAGACATAGCTTATATAGCGTTTTATAATAAGGCTATGTTTAAAGTTAGATTAGATACTACGCCTCTATAGGTATGTTAAAGAGCTAGGCGTGGGTATAAGAGCTGCTACTTAAAGCCTACATTTAAGTCTAGAAGAACTACAGTTAGTGTTTTTAGTGTAATATCTCTTAATAGTAAATTAGAGCTCTATATTAACACTAACAGTAAGCGCAATAACTCTAGAAAATACTGCTAGATTCTACACAACATTAGAATTTTATTCTATTAGGAACTTATAAAGGCTTAAGGGATTAGCATCTAGATGCAGAATAGAGCCTCTATACACACTGTAAAGGCAACTTAAAAGTATATAGATAATTATAATATAATCTAGATAAAGTAGCCTTTATAGAGCTCTAATTTAAATCTAATTAAGAACGTCTAGCAGATTATAAAGTTACGCATCTTAAAGCAACAAGAATATATTACTACTTACTAGTAAATAGTAAAGGTTCTATAGAAAAAGTAGTTAAAAATTTAACTAGCTAATTATAGAAAGTGTATCCTTAGTTAGTTAAAGCGCATAAAGGAAGTTATTTAAAATAAAGGTAGATTAACTTACTATTAACTAGCTATAACACTAAGAAACTAGCCTATATATAGGCTTTTTATAGAACTAAAAATTTTTAAAT